AACCTAAAGGAGTCCTATAATCTCTTCATTAAAATTGGATATGCAATGGTTAACAGCTTAGAGATGGGGAATTAATGCTTGTGTAGATTTTTTACAACTGTAATTGATGATATTGTTAGTGTTTCATTTCTATAGTAATATTCTAGTCCAACACAAAAACTCTGGCTTTGTCTAGTTCAAAGAGGAGGCTGAGGAGCAACTACATTCCTCCCTGCGGGTTCCTGAGGAGGGGATGTGGAAAGGAAGGTGCTGAGCACTTCTCCCTGGGATCCAGGGATAGGATGCTTGGGAATGGCTCAAAGCTGTTCTAGGCGAGATTCAGACTGGACATTATTGGGAAGTATTTCTTGACCAACAGGGTGGTGAACCACTGGAACAGGCTTCCTAGAGAGGTGTTCTGTGCCTCAGGCCAGTCAGTGTTTAGAGGCATTTGGGCTACATGCACTCTTAACGATACGCTTTAACATTAGGTCAGTCCAGAAATGGTCAGGCAGTTGGACTAGATGACCATTGTTGGTCCTTCCAAATGAACTGTTCTATTTTATTTCTGATGCTATTATACTTCTTTAGCTAGGAAAGGGGTTGAAGCATCTCAGCTTAGTGATACTAAGGTTTTTCAAAAAGGAGTAATTGAATTCACTTAATCATAAATGTCATTCCTAGTATATGAGACTGATTTTTTTTTTTTTAATTTATTTTCGCATGCAACTAAATTTAATGACATGGCCTAGACTGGAGAAAGTACTAGTTTGAAATTCAGCACAAGTCCAGCATGGAACTAGAGCACTGCTGTAAGTCTGAGTAACTTTGTGGAAGTATTACTACTGCTTCTTCTCAAATCCCTGCTAGAATTTCTACATCCCGAAAACTTTGCATCTCCAGGAATTTTATCATCCGCTAGCTTGTTTTAAAAGTTTTAGCACTTCCCGTGGTAAGGAAGAAAATGCCTGTTCAGATGAGATACTAGAATTTTTCTATTTTCAGAGCATCTAAAACTGCTCAGCACATCTGTGGAGGCAAGAAACCGTAGGATTTATTGTTACCTACTGAGGCAGCAGCTACAATTTGGATACATGATGGGAACTCCCCTGTACAAATACAGAGCAAGAGACGACTTTACTGGGTTTAGTCAAGTGGTAAAGAGAGGAAAAAAAAAGAGAAATAAGTAGCTGCAATGTCTGCACCTACTGCAGGCAAATGAGGAGTGGAATTGGTGACAAACCTCTGCTTTCTGCTCCCAGCTATGTGTCCCAATCAGTAGGTCTTGTGGTCTGCCATCCCAGAGGAATCACTAGAAAAGGGGAGCAGAGAGAGATGAAGCAGAGGCCAATTTAGGAGAAAACCACACATATGTGTGCTTTGTTTAGACTATTTGCCAAAGGAAAAGAAGCTTAAAAATCAGTTGTTCATGGATCTGTGTTCTCCATTAATATTTAAACCTTTTTATTAAGTTTAAGGAAGCAGAGGAAAAATCTCAGCGCTTCAACAGTTTTGTAAAGATTGGTGAGGGAGGTAACTATTTCTCCAATTAGAAAGAAAGGCTCATCAGCAAGTTACCTCTTAATATATGCCAGGTTATTCATGCAACCAGGAGAAAAGCTTCTATTGTGGCTTATACTGTAGACCACCGAGAATCAAACCAAAAGATAATACAAAAGAAACTGAGACCTACTTGCTTTACTGTTTATAAATAATGTTTATCATGTTAGTTAGAAGAAACTGTAAGAATTCCTTAATCCTCTAAACATGTGCTCACTGCCATGTGTTAAGTAACATGAACCAAGCAAATAATAGAGCCTAGCTTTTTAGAAGACCATCACATTTATGTAACAGGTGGATTTTTTTTAAGAAAACAAGAACTGTAACTGGCTCTGGGAGGGACAAAGAGAATGCCCATTAGGAAAGGAGAATGTGAAGGGCTGAAATAAGTTCGAGTGACAACATAACATTTTGATTATTCAAACAGAAACACCAAGGTCTTTTCAGTCATATTTGAGTAGGTTACATTATATTGAAATCCTAGCACTAGGGAAAATTTGTGCTAAATACTCATAAGGTCTCAAATAATAAATGTCCAGTCTAGCTTCACTGTAAGATCAAGGTGAGAAGGGCTTCAAAAAGAAGAGGGAATGATCTACAACAGCTTCTGTCATCAGAGAAGTTTGTGACAAGTTTAGGGCAAGACAGAGATGGGAATCGAACCTCTCAATACAGTCTTGAATCAGGTTGTATTCTTTTCATTTATCCAGCTATGCACTTCACACTGTTGAAGTCTCTTTCCTAACCAGACAGATTACAATTTCAGTGCAGTGTTGTAAAAATGGAATTCCACTAAGTACTTTAAACTTGGATTGGATACATGGAATCAGCTGTTCTGGGTTGTTTAGGAGTTTTTCCCCCAGATTTTTCAGAGGCAGAAATAACATTTTATTGTGAAACTTTCTCCAGAATTTTTTATTAATTTAACCGTTGGACTCACTGTGCACATTTGCAAAATTATTAATTAGCTTAGATGTAAATGGCTAATTAAGTGCTTTAGAAGTTACACTTAACATGGTCCAGTTGCAGGGATAGCAGTTCCTGTTACTGCTACGTGAGTCATAACTATATTTCAAAGCTATTTCTTACTACTTCGTGTTTTGAAACATCTTTTTAATTAAGTTATAAACAAGTTCCTATTAAAATAAAACTATTAGTCATTAAAAATAGAAAGTTCATTTTCCATAGGACTTGCACCTTTTTCTGTGTGCCAGTATTCACCTAATGAGTTGCTATGCAGCACTTTGTCTGTTCTTTCTGAATACTGTCTCTTTATCTAGCAAAATCTATGCCTTCTTTCTCCTCACTAGGTTTTTATCAAGTCCTATTGTATGCTGACAAGTAACGCAGTTTCTGTGTCTCATTCCCATCCTCATATACTTATCTTTTACTGAGTCTGAAATTTATTCCCTTCCGCCAAAACTGAGGTCTAGCTGGTTTTTATGCTCAGCTTATCCTAAGCTTAGATGTTTCCCATCCAAGCACTCATCTCATGAGAGCTTGTCCTAAGCATTCTTCTCCTTATAGGGAGCTTTTTCCCTTCTACCCTCATGTCATGTGATCTTTTCTTCCATTTGAACTGAAACCCAGTGGGATACCTGCTTATCCTCAGGTTCCTCCTGTGACTATTACCTTCAGGTTGAGGAGAAAAGAGTGTAATCAGACAGTAAAAGGCACAGATGTACATGCAATTGAGTCACACAAGGGATCCATAGAATTTACAGCCTGTTCAGCTATGAACATCAGAAAAATCTCAAACAGGCATGTGCAAACAGGTGTGTGCGTAGGGGTGGGGGGAGCACTTCTGTCACACTTTTATGCTAAACACTGGCAATTCTAGGTTTTTTGTTCCGATTGTTTAACATGGAAATCAGAAGGAATTATGCTCTTTTGCACCACTCTAACATAATACAAAGGAACCAGGGGACGGGGGGAGGGCAGTCACCAACAGCGGCTATTCTTTTGTTTTCTCTCAAAAACTTGGCAAAGCAACAAGCTAGACACAGCTGAAATGTGCTGGCTAAAAATTTCTCAAAACTTTCATCTGAGACAGACACAAACCATGCCTAACACCATCACAGAGAAAGTTTGTCAAAGCCATGGATACCTGAAAAAGGGTTGCATACCAGAAAGTATTAGCAATCCCTATACATATACAACACCACCAGCACTGCCTACAATTATGATTCACACATTTTTATGCACATGACGTTTTATAAATTAATTATATGCTGAAAAGCATGTTTTGTTTGCTTGGGTTTTTTTGTGGTTAGTCAGGGTATTTTGAAAAGTAAGCAGTTTGATTTTAAAACGCGTGTACAAAAACTGTCTCAGCTCAAACATAATTTCCCATGTTGGGGAAATTTGGAGTGTTCTTTGTTCATCAGTTTATACTTGAGAGTTTGTGGTATTTTAAAATCCTTTCATGACAAACCTCATTTGCTATTTCAAGTTAGAAAGAAATCCTTTTCCTAACAGACTTCCTCAATCTATTGTGATCAAAAAGCAGGTATAGGTCATTGTCTTGAGCAAGATAATGGATTGTGAAAAAGGACCTGGGCGTTCTGGGGGACACTGAATTGAACATGAGGCAGCAATGTGCCCTTGCTGAAAAGGTGAACAGTATCCTGGGCTGCACACAGCAAAATCTGGCTGGAAGGTCGAGGGAGGGGATCCCTCCCCTCTGTTCAGCTCTGCTGAGGCCACACCTGCAGGACTGTCCTGAGTTCTGGGCTCCCCAGAACGGAAGACAGGGACATACTGGAGGACAACAAAGGGCCACAAGAATAACGAAGGGACAAGAAAGCACCTCTCCTACGAGGAAAGGCTGAGAGAGCTGGGACCACTCCGCCTGGAGAAGCAGCAGCTCAGGGGATCTCATCCACCTGTACAAACAGCTTCAGGGAGGATGCCAAGAGGACAGAGCCAGGCTCTTCCTAGCAGTGCCCAGGGGACAGGGCCAGAGGCCACGGGCACCAACTGACACACAGGAGGTTCCCTCCAAACATTAGGAAACAGTCACTGTGAGGGTGACTGGCACAGGCACTGACCAAGCACTGGCACAGGCTGCCAGCAGCAGCCACAGGCCCTAATGCGGCTGGAGGACTGGGGGTGTCTGACACGTGCAGACACTGTAAACCACTCCTCGCAGCTGTGGGTGCCTTTGGACCAGGCCTGGTTTTAGTCTTTTTCCTGCAGGGCTTAGCGGCCACAGGAGAGACGGTCTCCTTGCCACCGCCGCTGCCAGCCTGAGCCACAGCTCCCTGACACAGTCCTACCCTCTATTCGCGCAGTGGAGCAAGCTCCGCTTTACCCGAGAGGTACCGGGGCTGGGCGGAGGTTGAGGACTCCCGGTGCGGGCACGGTCGCGGTCCCGGCCCGGCCGGAGGAGGGGGGTGACGTGCCGCCGCCGCAGAAGGCCATGGCGGGGGCCCCGCCCGCGGCGCCGCGGGCATTCCTCGCGGCGGGGCCTCCGCCCGCGGCCTCGGACGCGCCGCTCGTGGCCCCGCCCCTATAATATAAGGGGCGGCCTCAGCGCGGCCCCGAGCGCGGTCGCCGCCTCTCCCGCAGCCGACCCGCGCACGGGCACCATGGCAGGTCAGTGCGCGCCCGGCACGCGCCGCCGCTCGCGAGGGCCGCGGGAGCGGAGCGGGAGCGGGATCGGGGCGGCCGCGCCTATTTTTAGGCGGCCGGCCCGGCTGCGAGCGGGCTCCGGGGGTCGGCTACGGCCGGTGGGGACAGCGGCTGCCCGCGAGGGGGGTCGGGCACCGCCGTGGGGACTGAGGGACGGGCGCGGTGCAGGCTCGCGCCGCGCCTGCCTTACTGCCCGGCCCCGGGCTCCGGCCCCGGACGGGAGGGATGTAGCCGGCGTGGCGGGGAGCAGGACGGGCGAGAGGGGCCACTGTAGGGCCGCAGCGACTCACAGGGAAAACCCAGCTCTCTCCTGAAACGCCACAGAGAGCGTGTGACTTCGGTGATTTTGATACTTTAAAATGAGTAGTTTCTTACCGCCTCTTTAAGTCCGTCTGGCTTCTTTTTTCCGTTTTTTTCCCCCCGATTCTTACCGTACCTGAGGCTGTCAGCAGAGTAGGTTTCATTTTCAGATCTGGAAGCCTGCAGGAAGTCTGCCTCCCGGTGCTTGTCTTGCTGGATGCTCTTGTCTCTCTAGGAATCCCGTAATCAAAAAAAAATCAGATGTACGAGTACCTAATTCAAAGAACAGGGGGAAAAGCAAGCACCTGTAAACTCTGGCTATGCTTACGAAAAAGCTTCCGGGGAAATTTTGAAAAGATCTGGGGTAAGCACTCCAGTCACTTCCTGCACGCCGTCAAATGAAAGGCTGCTCCTAGCTCAGACTTCCAGGATGCTCTTGGCTGTGTAAGGGCTGGCACAAAGACCCTTACAAAGGGAGATTCTAGCCTCTGAACCGGGCAGCTGAAGGTGTCTCTCAAGTATCACAGTTTTGTCTGGCTAACTCAGTTATGAAGCTTTGCAACTGTATCTCATTCTCTGCTTTTGCAGACATGTTGTTACTAAGAGGTCATCAGGTATCAGGCGCAACAGGGGCTGCTGTGTAAACATGAGACCCCGTGGAGGAAATGTTTACAGAGAATTGAGAAGGGAGACACGAACAGCTGAAATACCTGTAGTTTATGTAGAATGGACTAGTCTCTTGCAGATGTAACTTTCATAATTATCACGAACTGGTCTTGCCTGAATTGTAGCATGGACTCATGTACTTATGAACGTAGAGAAGATCTGAAATACAACACAGTTAATTCAAAACTTTGGAAAGCTGTGCTGACTTGGATGGTCTACAAGTTGGCAATATTCACGTGTCAAGCAGTTGTACAGTCTCCTACTGGAGCTGGATGTAACGGGGGTTCTTAGCCTTTACTCCATCATTAAATGGACTTTATTTCTCTAAGGCAGACCTCTGTGTGTAAATATTCAGTTTCAATAAAATGAGAAGACATGGTAGAAGTATACCTGCTAACAGGTCAATGAAAAAAAGACTATGCTTTCAATGGCAAGGTCACTTTAAGAATTAGTCTTACACTGCTGAAAAAAAAAAAAAAAAAAGCAACACTCAGATGAATGTTGGGCACAATCCCACTTTGTCTACACTGGATTTTTAGTGAGCTGTCTGAGAGCATAGAGTGGCTGACTTCTATGTATTGAGTAGTAACATTCAAATTAACTAGTGAAAAACCTGTGGAGGATGTTCACACCACTTAAAATGTTACACACTTGCCATTTCAAAGAAATATAAAGTTGTTCGGTAGACTTGCTGAATATGAACTGGTACAAATAGGCAGCTAAAAGGGAATTGAAACAAAATATCTTTATTCCTGGCATTATAGAAGCTTTTTTGATCTTTGTGATTGACCACTATAATCTAAATCCCTTGGGACTAGTTGGTTTTGCTGCTAAGCAAAATAGAAGGTTTTGTAGCTGGTCTATAGATCTTGCAAACCAGGTTTGCAGAGCTTATAGACAATTACTGTACGTGACTTTCTGTCGTCAACTGTTAAGGTGCTATTAAATTAAAAAGATACTAATGATGACTCCCTTAAGGAGTTGTGCCAAACAATCTCTCCCAAAGAAGTCAGTATTTTAATCTTACTACTAGGCTTGAAAGTAAGCCTTGAAGTGTCCAGAACCCTCACTCTGATATAACCTAGTTAAATTCTGTAAAGAAATCACAGTTGCTAAAATAAACTTGAATCTGAAAATCTACCCTTGAAATTCTTAAGAAGAAACTATTTTGTTGATAGTGTTTAAAATTGATTGGTAGAAAAGAGCATACTTTATAAAGAGCTGTAGCTTCGAAAGGAGGTCTACATGACAATAGTTAACAATGAACTGAAGAACTTTTGTAAGTTACTTTTTTGCTTTTGTCAGTCCCACCCTGGCAGTTTAAAACAACATGACAATTGAAAGAATGCAAAGCTCGTATTATGTGGCCTCAATAAGCACTATATGGCAAAACAACACATCTTCATCTATTTCTGCGGTACATTTTGAGCAGATTATACTTTATATTAACAATCCAAATTTACCTCTTTTTTGCTTGAAGAGTAAAAATTGTTGCAAATTTTAAATTGCCTTTTGTATTACTAGTTACTTCCCATTTAAATCTTGCATTCTTGGTATAGAGCTGCAACTGTGGGTTGCAGAACTACTCATCTGCAAAATCCTGAGCTAGCAAAACTTAAAACTGTTGTCCAAGATCTGATTCATTGCTTACTTTCATTTGAAAATGAAATGCAAGTTTTACAGTGCCCTAGCTTCAGGGTTGAGAGCTGAACCCACAGTAACTCTACAACACCCTTCTAACTTCAGGCCAAATGCAAGCCCACAGAATCCAAACGCTTCTAGGTTAAAATAGCATATTAATGGTCAAAGTAAAGATCTTTAGACTTTTTGGATTGTCTCTACATTTGGCATGACTCATTTAACATGGGGGCAAATTTGAACTGGTTTTCTCTTGCAATGGTCTCGATTTTGTGGGGTATTTTACTGCATTTCGCCACGTGTCAAGTTACTAATAGCAAGTATAGCTGTGCAAATATAATCTACTTTGTTCAGCCATGTAGGTAGGCCCTACATACAGAGTTAAAAGGCACATCTTAGTTATCACAGCATGATTACCTAACAATACTAGGTTTCTAGTATACCTGTCTCAGAATAAAGTAGTGGATCACACTAACTTGATCAAGTTCATTTCTTCCAGACCAATCTTTTGTGACTCTAGCCACAAATGACTCCTATGTGAAAGGAGCACTGGTACTTGGTTCATCCTTGCAACAGTACAGAACAACAAGGAAGCTGACTGCACTCATAACTCCTCAGGTCTCAGATCTTATGAGGTAAGGTCACTTATACACTTCAAACTGCTACAGTTCCTGCTGATGTGCAGGTTGAGAAATGGAAGTTAAATTCCTTAATAGTAACCTTTCAAAACTCTGGAAGCTTAACAGCTAAGTTTAGTGGAATTCAACTTATCTACATTATCTGGAATTCTCTACGTTCTTCAAACATGAAACTATTTATTATTATGTTCTGGTGGGGTTTTGTTTTTCTTCCCTATGATGAGTTTAACGAATAGTCTGTAGTTACTAAACTGTGACTTGATACTGGTATTTCAGCTGGATCTTTGCTCTTTCATAGTCCTACTTAGAATTGTCCAACAATACAACATTGCTTGTGTGTTCATTAGCGTTGTCTGTCTGCTGTGGAGTGGGGAGTAGGGGTTTGGCATTTGTTTTGCAGAAATATTCCTTAATAAGATAATATAACACAAGCTCTCTTGAAATCTAGCAGATACTTCAAATTTTATCATGAGAGAAGAAAACAAGCAGAACTAAATTATCAATAAGTACATCACATCAGTAGCTCAAAGAGGCATCTAACAAGGTCACCACAGTACAACAAATTAAATTAACAGGCGATGGCTTCCTACAGCGCCTCTGGAATCATCTCAATATGGAGGGGACTGGGTTCTCTTTCCACGTGTACGAGGAAGGAAAAGAAACCCCAAACAGCTAATTAGTACTGTTTGTAAAGCTACAGATGATAGGTCAAGATTCTCTATGTGGGAAAGTTCTTCTGAAAAGATTTCTCAATATTTAGGGACAGTGGAGAGGTGGCTCAAAAAAAAAAAAAAAAAGTCTAACTCTCCCTGCCGTCTCCTGGCAGCTAAATGGCCATATCAATATTAAGATGTTACATATAGGAACATCCATGCCAGCCTATTAGGCAAGTGCTCTTTTAAGACGAATCAATCCTAAATGTGCTTATGTGCTAGTGCAAGCCAGCTAGTACTATGCCCTTAGACTGATACCTTCCTACACAATGGTGTAACTAGAACTTGCATTTCTCACCCTGTCTCCACTAACAAGGTATGCCTTAAGTTCAGAAGCAACTGTCCACACCAAACTGTCAGTATCAAGTCAGCCTTGCAAGGCAGAGTTCCAAAACTCATTTACAAGCTCTGTGGCTCAAACTGCACTGGTAATTGCTGAGCATTCGAGATACACTGTAGAATACCAAGACTTTACAGATGCTTCCTATTTTAAGCAGCATGAGTGCCTTAATCTCTCTTGAACTAATGGTAATGCTTTATTGATGGCAAAGCAGAAGCTGGATATCTGCCACAAAATTTCACTACAGTGCCTGAAAGTTTGTCACTGTTTAGTTAACATGATACTGGTTCAAAACATTTCTGTACCCAAACCCACGACTAAGTGAGTTTTGAAAAAAATTTATGGGACAAACTAAGTTTTAGCAACTGGATCTAGTCAGATCTAGTCCCAGACGTCCCAAATCTAGAAGAGTGTTGTTGTAACTGTTGCAGAAACTTCAGTTTCAGGTGTTTAGGATTCAGCTACTGTCCTGCTCAAGCTACTCCAACAGCTTCCCATTTCTTAATTGCCTGCTCAAAGTAGACTGTTAAGTTGCCAAAAATCAGAGTCTGGATGAAAAAAGGCTTTGTGGAAAGTTTGCACTGCATAGCCACGACTTACTGGACTTGGTAGCAATGCCCTGTTTGTGGAAGAAAAAAAAACCCCAAACCTTTTTCTTCCCCAAAATGTGCCCATTACAAACTAGAAACTTTGAGGCAGACAGGGGAACTTTTGCATTCCAACATATGCAGTCAACTCTTACTGATGAAATAAGAAATGCTGCCAGGTTCCCTATTATACCACTTCTCTTTATGGAATCTTTCATGTGATCTCATGCTGGAGTAACAGTAGAACTAAATCTTGACTCTTCCCCAGGAGAGTGCTGGAAAAGGTCTTTGATGAAGTCATATTGGTAAACGTCTTGGACAGTGGGGATTCAGCACACTTGGCATTAATGAAAAGACCCGAGTTAGGTGTCACACTAACAAAACTTCACTGCTGGGAATTGACACAGTTTACAAAGTGTGTTTTCATGGACGCAGACACAATGGTAAGTAGATTTATGTCCTGGTACCTCTTAATGACCTTGTATGACATTGTTTATGTTGGTTTGTTGTTTGTTTTTAAGAGTAGGGGTAATAGAAACCATTTACTAGTTGGACTAGTAACTGTAAGAATGTGTGTGCCTTTTAATCTAAATTAATTGTAATGAAGTCTGTGGGGACTATTTTCATAAAGTATTGTCTTCTATAGGACAAGAGCATTGATATGAGAACTTTCTTTCATGTCTTAAAGTTGATGTCATAATCCATGAAAACATGATACCACAATTCCCAATCTAAAAACACTTTTTTCTTTTTTACCCCTTTACAATTAGGTTTTGTCAAATATCGATGAGCTTTTTGAGAGAGAGGAGCTGTCTGCAGCACCAGATCCAGGCTGGCCTGACTGTTTTAATTCAGGAGTTTTTGTTTACCGACCTTCCATTGAAACGTACAATCAGCTGTTACAGTTTGCCACAGAGAAAGGCAGCTTTGATGGTATGTATTAATTTGTATTTCAATATAAGTTAGACCAAAATGGTAACAGTAGTTAGGATGGCTCAGTAACTACATACATGTCATGAGGACTTTGTATGACAGATTCTCAATTCAGTGTAACTACACAAAAATTGTATCCTTCTCAGAAATAGAGGTTATCATTACGTTATGTAGTGAAACTACTTTCTTCAGACTTCGTGAAATAAAACCCCTGAGTTTGGCGTCCAAAGCAGCAGCTGTATGCATTAACAGTGTTCATATAACAAGAACTCTTAAGAAGTAGCAAGCACAGTGCATGCTCTAGCAAATAAAACTGCAGTACTATGCTTCATGCATTCCTAACACTCAAGGCTTGAATGTTCTATGCCAACTCAAGTTGATACAGAAAAAATAGCACTGGTCAACTTGAGCACTGCTTCAGAGAATCAAACATTTGAAGATACAACTATCTCTTCATATGCTATGTGATGGCTTCCTGTCATTATAGGGTGGTGGCTGTCTCTTTCCCAATATCAAGTGCATATAGCCTTGGCTGCTTCCCACTATAGGTCACTTGAGATCGGCCACTGTACCAAATTTAAGCTTGAGAAGCCATGTTCTGCTGTCCTGTAAGTCTACTAAATCTACTACCAGTAAAAGCAGTAAAAGCACATGTTGCTTGGAGACTGCTATAGTTAAAGGCTTCTGAGTAACACTGTCTCCTGTCACTACATTTCCTTATATAACTACTGTGGTACAAAACAAAGTCTACCTTAAAAAGCTACAGAAAACTATGTAAATAAGACCATAAAATGGAGCTCTTGGATAGAAAGTAATTAGCCAGCCTGTTGACTTGCCTTTCAGTACTTTTCAAAAAGTAAAAATTCACTAGTCACTCCTAGTCTGCAGAATAATCCCTGTTACTGTGTGGACTCTTGTGTGTGTTTTCTAAAGAACATTAGTCACAGCTGGACACTTAATGCTACCATAGGAATAGACTCTAGTGAAAATGAGTACTGCCATGTAGTGAAGGGTCTGTACCTTGCTACTGGTGAGGTAGCAGTTGATAGCTTTGTGAGCACTCTCAGATGTGGGTGCAAATTGGTCACCAGCTGTGGCAAAATCTATATCATAGTTCTGAATTGTTATGTTAAAAACAAACCAAAACAAATAAAAAAATGCAAACCAAAACAACACAAAAACCACCAACAAAAAAACCCTACAAAAAGACCCCCTCGCACTCCCTCCGCAAAAAAAAAGAAACCACCAACACATCCAAATGCCACCCAGCCAAAAAAACCCCAAACAAACACACATCTTTGTGCAAACTGACTGCTGAGTAGCTCCAGACCATCTGAGACTTGATGGTTGTCCTCTCCAAGTTGTGCTTCACTGCTAGTAGACCCCATCTTCTAGTTCGAAGGCCCCTGTCCTTTAAAAGAATGGAACTGCTTCCACAGTATACTCTGACTTGAAAGCTAAAGGCACACAACAGTGAAACTTCTTCAGTGTCCTAAACACAAACTAATTGTAGGAGCACTTAACAGCAGAAGTGGGTTAATGGTTTAGGTACCAACTTTCCAGAATGTAAATTGTATTTCAGCTTTAAAATTTACTTAGTTTTTATTAAATGATAGCACTGATCTGAGTAATGAGACCATGGAGACTTAGTCCACCTGTATAAGCTACTGCTGAGCTCAGGAACTTGGTGGAGAGAAAGAGGATTGAAATTTAAATTGACCTAGACAGTAATAAAAGGTTCTAGGAAACCTAGACCCTTCAGTGAAGGGTCACTGCTTTTAATAGGACATAGGGATACAAAGTTAACAAGCTATGTGTAGTTGAAGTCAAGCTGCAAGTACCTCATTTGCAGTAGTAGTAAGTAGGGAATGCAAGACTTTCCAGAGTATTTCATGTTTATAACGGCAGACAGGTGCCTTCCATGTAATGCTGTTGTCCAGAAATGGCAGAATGATAGTTACTTAAGTAGACAACCACTTTGTCTATCTGAACTTCACCTTTCTAGATACAAAGCAATGTCATGCAATAACTCTAGATACCATCTAAAAGTAGTGGAAGGGAAAGAAAATTTTGGTTTTAAAAGAAATCTGGTAATACTGATACTTTAGGAACATTGCTATTGCTTTGACAATCCTCTGGCTCTTTAGCCTGGGATCCAAAATAACTGCTTTTACAGTCTCGCTGTATTGTATCTTTGTGTCTGTAAATATGTAGTTAATATAAGTACTGCCTCATTCTTTAACCTTATGTCTAAGATCCAGTTTTTGTAACACAACTACTGTTGAAGTCTGGACTAGGACAGCTAAATGCTGCTTTCATTGTCTGCTTTAGCACAAATGCATGCAATCTGGGAAAAAAAAAAAAAAGCCGAGTATGTAAAACAATCTGAGCGAGAGGAAGTCCTGTAGAGTGTTAGTTAAATACGCTGCTGCTGTCCCTTTAGTTCTCTTGTGATGGACACAACTTCTTTCAAAAGTGCTTTCCTTCCTTTAGGGGTTAAGAGGCAAGTCAGAGATTTGAAATTACTGGACTGAGTCCTCTGGCAGTTTCTCACTCTGCAATCTGCATGTATGCTGACAGCTGCAACACGATACTTAGAATTTATATTTGTCAGTGTACTGTCTGTACATCTAAGTTTATGCCCAGCGTCTAGATACTTCAGTTGCAAAAAGCAAATTCTGCTCAAACAGCACTGGTGGTATAAACCTTAATACTGTCCTAACTCTAGTCACAGGCAAATAAAAACCCTTTTCTGAGTCAGCAGAGACTGAGTGCTTGAGAAAATTAAAGATTAAAATAAAACTTTGTCTATACTAACTAAGCTATCTGTTTATGTACTCTTTAGTAATGCTTCTTGTGAATGCAGTTACAGATGAAAGGAATACAGCAAATGAAAGTTGAGGGACTCTTTTCAGTCTCCTTGATAAGGGGAATTATTACTACTTAAAAACTAATTATATTCACTGCAATAAAGAATGAGTGGATATAAATAAATAGGATTTTACTTCTCAGTAGCTGCTTATAAACTAGTCTGCTGTGGCCCGGAAGCTTTTTTTTATTTATTTATTTTTTTTAGTTGTTCTATTACTGTGATACCAAACAACTTCTGACTCAACCTCATTACAACCTCTACTTGCAAACTTAGGTGGCTCCTCCCAACAAAGATTATTATCCTCACTTAGCAGTTAGCCAAGCAACTTTTTAGTACAGAACTAGGAACACCTCTTGTCTGTTATGGGATTTGGTAAAGTTGTACTAGAGTTGTCACCAAGGCTGATTGTCCCTTTTTTTATCAGATCACCGTGGAGGTAGATGCATCTGGGACTGCAGGTCTAACAGGCCACTGATACCCTTACTCTGGCAGTGAGATGTTGGTTATGCATCCGAAAGCATAAGTAATAAAACTAATTATTGCCACTTGATCGTCTGAGCTACAGCTTTCCTGAAGCTGAACAGTACTCAGTTGTCCTGGTCAATTTTGCTTTTTCTGCCTTATATAGCTTGAACTTCAGTTGTAAAAGAAACTGAATGGCAGAGTTTGTGAGCAGCTTGCTATCTTTTAGCAAAAGTAACCCCACACAGATTATTTAATTTTCTACATTTTTTGGATTTTCAAAGGCTGCAAGGTTTACAGGGTTGTTCACAAACAGAAATTTAGTGCTCTGTGCCAAACTTCTACTGGACATGACAACTGCATTACCAACTCTTACTTACTGAAGTGACTGGAAAAATATCCTCAAATAGCTGTCTGATGCTTGTAGCCTATTAATGCTTTCTCTTTTAGGTGCAGATCAGGGGTTATTAAACACCTTCTTCAGCAGCTGGGCAACAACAGACATGAGCAAACATCTACCATTTATTTATAATTTGAGCAGCACTTCTGTATATTCCTACCTTCCAGCATTTAAAGCGTAAGTTCAAACTTTTTACAAGATTTTCGGAGCTTACATAAACTAATTTCTTGTAACAGAATGAACAGGCATGATGTGAGCTTACATAGGTTTTCTAGAAGGAGACTGTTATTGTCACCGAATATGTAATAGTTTCTTCTCTTATCTCAAGATAAATGCAGAGAGAGCTGTATCTGTAGCTTAAACCACTCATCCCTGGTAGTAACACCAAAGTTTAGAGTAAGTACATTTGACAGGTCACTTGCAAAAAGAAGAACCACTCCTCCAGTATGGACACAGTCTAGTACAGTTCTAACCAATGGCAGTAGATTCTTGAATCAACTTGAGCTGGTATTGTTCCCACTTAGGTAACTTGCCCTTTTCTCACTCAAATTACTTAAGGTGTTTAATAGCCAGTAAAGTTCATCTAATCAGCCTATACCATTCAAATAAATGTGGTGAGGAAAGACTTGTATAAAGCTAGAATTCTTTCCGATTCTTTAAGTAACAGCACTATGGAACAAAGTCTACAGCCAGCCACATACCATCACATGTTTCCTCTGTGAGGAAAACTGTATCCTCCCTAGCTAGCAGTATTCGATTTGGCATGTACATAAAATGTATGTCAGAGGCAGGGACAAAGAGTTATAATAACACAGGAGGAAGAGGGGGGGAAGCAAGGGAAGCTGAAATGTTACATAGAAACTCTTTATCTATTAAGAGCTGCAGAAGATGAGGGCAAGGGGGATGGAAAGTACCAATTGCATAAAAACAATCTGATCTCTGAATGACATCAGGTTACTAGTGTCTGAAGCAGTGGCTAGCATAAGCAGGACTGTTGCTGGCTCAAGATCAAACTGTGTCTTGTGATCAGAATACCATCTGGAATCTTGTCATGCTAAAAGTGGAACACTTATTTAAAGAAATATATGCAAGCCTCAGAATGACTAAGTAGCTGGATAGCATTTGATAAGCTAACATCTATTGTAAAGTACGTCCTCTTTCCATGACTGGCTGTTATTCGCACGACCTTAATTGTACAAATTACCTTGTTGCCACAAAACACTACTTGGATCTAGGGGCTCCTGACAAAAATTCCATTTAACTGATTGAATCAGTTGCCTAACAGAACTCATCAGACCTTCAAAAGTAGAATGCTGGAAGTGTAGCCCTTGTAAGTAAAATTCCCTGTGGAATAATTTCCCTTGGTTAGATCAGCAGCTATGCTCTTGATAACCAGCAGTTGGAATATACTGAAATTTAAACCTACTGACATCAATAGCTAAGTTTTTGCAGCTTTGTACAGCGAGACTAGATTTCACAGCAGCCTCGGTAATCCTTTTTCCAAAGGAAAATGCCAATTCATGACAAATGCTCTCTAACTTCAAAACATTGATGAAGGACTTTTCTGGGAGATGGGGAAAGAGATTAGTTGCAGAGGCCAGTGTGGACATAAAGCTTCCTAACAGTTGAGCTTAAATGTCAGAATAAAATATTGCAGATCCAGAAGGTATCTAGAAAGCAGATACTGAAAATATCATAGAAGCTTGGCATCTGCCAACTGTTGTTCTGGCCATAAGTGTACAGAATATCAAGAGTACACTTACCCATTTGCAGCCGGTGTAGCGTAACACTTCTTAGGCATTCTCTTGCTTAAATAGCCTTGATTTTTGAACAGTAACAAGTTTCTTCAGAACAGCAGCAGCCTAAGATGAAGAAAACTCAGGTTGTTTAGTACTGTGACAGCTAATAAAACTAATGTTGTCCTCTTATGCCAAATCTTGACAGGCAGAATTTAGAGCCCAGTAACTGACCTCTTGAAGACATTTTTTCTTGCAGCTAGTGCAAATATTTGGCCTTGTTTCACACACGTGTGGGTCTTCATTCTGCAATAAGATCAGTTGTGTTCAAAACATTGAACATGAATACTGAAATATAGTCAAAGATCTTACAATAGTGTGGAACCCCCCTCCTACCCCAATGCATACTGCCTTGGTTTCAATATTCTACAGCTTTTGAAACACACCTGTATTGTTTCCATATGTAACACTGCTTAAACGCCTGAGTCCTGGTCAAGCTGACCGGCATGTGCTTAACAAAACGTTAGACAAACTGCTTCGGCATTATTATCCATTTCAGTCATATTATGCTGAGAAGAAATCATAATACAAATTGAACAAATTGACACTAGGCATGACACAATCATGACACAAATTGAACTAGGCAAGACAGTAACTGTTACTCAAGAGACTGGTACTACTTGTTCACAAAACTGACTCAAGCTGAAATCCAGTTCTGGAACTGTAGAAGAGTGAAATGACTGTTATGGCACATCTCATCTGCACTTTTCATGCAGAAGAGCATACTGATAACAAAGCTAGAAGTCCATATTGAAAACTGAGTTAAAATGGGTTTTAAAAGAAACGAAAACAACCCACCACCAACCCCTGCCCCGTGCCTAAACTAGGGTTATTTAGGAAATAACCATTGTCTAGCAGGACCCTGCTGCACCAGAATCAGGAGTCCTTTGAAATGCCTAGGTTATACAAAGCTATTATTTTGCAGGAAAATGGTCTTCCTGCAGCAGGGCCTTCCAATGATCCATTTCTACGGTGCTGTAAACTGAAAGGGTAACTCAACACTGACCCTTCTCTACTTAATGCTTGTAATGCCTAACTCTCTGGCTTGCTGACTTTGGAGTAGAACCTTTTTCACTTTTAAAACCAGTTCCGATTGCAACGGCTGCTTGAGACTGCTCTCTCCTGAGCTATGGACACCACTCTAAAGACTTGAGTTGGCTGTAAGTACTTAAATAGTCCAGATCATTAGGTTTTGGCTGTATTCTGACTAGTGTAATGTAGAATTCAGTTTGCATTTTTTCTGTTTTATAGCAATGCTTTCAGTCCCAGTAGGCATTGGCAGTTTGATGATTTAGCATTTAGCCTCTTAAGTATATTCATATTTCTGTTTTCTGGACAAATACAGAAACTGCAGGTTAAAAAAAAAAACTGTCTGCCAGTCAAAACTCATTTTCTAGACACATATATAAAATGGCTTCCAAAATGTTTCTGTCCAACAGGTTTGGTGCAAGTACTAAAGTGGTGCATTTCCTGGGAAGCACAAAGCCATGGAACTACACATATGACTCCAGAACAAAAAGCATAAAAGGCAACATGGACGACCCTAAAATAGTTCACCCAGAATTCCTCAACATGTGGTGGGATACCTACATAGCTGATGTTTTACCATTATTAGAACAGCATGGAATTGTTAAAGAAATTACGACAGGTGTAAACATGGTAGGTGCTTTAATAATCTTGTATGTCCATACCCAAGTATGGACGATGGGTTATTTACCATTGCAGTGATTTCGCTTCCCTCTGTCCAATTCATAGCATGGGTGTGTTTTAGTTTGGGGGTTGCAGGGTATTTTGGTTTTGCTCTTTTAAGCTTGGAATAAAAAATACTACAGAAAAGAAGCATGCTATAGTGGTCTTGAACATAGCTGTATGCTTGCCTAAAACAAACTTAGTAAGAAGCTAACCTTGCACCAGATATTATACTGTAGTAACTTCTTTAACATATACAGAGAAGGGCCCTAACTCTTAATGTGTTGCAGCTAATAAGGTTCTCAAGCAGAACTCCAGTCCAGCATGCAAATAGGTACATACAGATCTTCCATGGTGAAACAAATTTAGGTAAACCTAGGATAACTAGAGAATCAATACTTACATAAAATGGCAATGATGAATCCCAATAATTATTAAAGCCAAAGTAATGATTCTAACTCATTCAGAGTTTAGTAGCTTGCATCTGACTGCATACTTCTTAGTCTTAGCTTAGTACACGGGCCAATTTAAGTTCTCAACCTTTCCAATACCAAAGTTAATGGTCTCTTAAGATGTGCTTTCTCTTGGTAATCTTGCATCTTTCTAACAAACTATTTGCAGCTATCGGGCTTGGTCTATACTCTGGCTTTCTCTTGTGGCTTCTGTAGAGAGGTATGAAGAACTTTAATTTTTTTTTTTTCCCCTTGCTAACTTCTGTAACTCTGCTTTGTTATTTTGCTAGGAAAGCTGCACAATCCCTGCCCGTTGGCAATGCTTGCTACTGCGCATGAGAACATCTACTTTGTTGTCCCATTCTTCTATGGCCTGTTGCTCACTTTAGCTATGCAAAGTATTTCTGTATTTTTACTCTGCCTTTCCTTTTAGGCAGAGGTTACAGAGGCAGTGTCCCACTTATCAGTATCACCAGTATTACCAACTGAATCTTCAGAAGAACGCAAGGAACGGTGGGAACAGGGCCAAGCTGACTATATGGGAGTGGATTCCTTTGACAACATCAAGAAGAAACTTGATACCTACCTTCAGTAGAAATGCCTGTCTCAAACAGTGGTCATGCAAGGACTTGTTCCAGAACTAACAGCTAGAAAGGTATAGATGGTGGTCAGTTACACTTGCTAGTAGCTTGATGAAAAACTCCTTGGCTGAAGGCCTCTGCAGTGCTACAGATGAAGACTGAGCAAAAGCTAGGAAGCAGAATTCCTTGGGCCACCTATTACTGCCCAATTTCCAATTCTCCCTACTAGATAAAACCAGGTATTTTCAGCTTAAAATTTTTTCTGTTGTGATCAATTGGCTCAAGATATTCCTGAAACTGGGTTTGTTGCCTCACCTCATTAAGGTGATTAGCATTGATTCCTTTGCTTGCTGTTTTAGATGTAAAATCTAATTCATGAGATTGCTCATACACTGGAGTGGTAGCCATTCTGCTTTACCATAAATGTATTAATGACACTGGGATACATACGGTTGTAACAGTAATAGCACTGCTTTGCTCTTCCAGTCACAATTGCACTGAAATTTTGACCAGGTTCTTACGCACAGTGCCTACAGCATGGCAGAATGCGTTTTTCAGTTCTGTATACTATGGGACTAGTAAACTGAGTTTTATCTGTTCCTTGCAATGTTGCACTTGATACAAAAATAAAAAGTTGTCATGCATTTCTGTCTTCCCTAAACTCTTGAGCAATTAAGAAAAAGGGAGATCCAAAGTCCTTTAACTAAAATATCCAAGAGGTATAACCCTTAAGCTTTGCTAATGCTACTCAGGTTCTCATTAGCAAATGTCCAGCTCTTAGTTCTGTAATTATTTACAGAGTAGACAGTAATTTGCTAGGAAGCTGTTTAGGGCCAATCCCCTTATTAGCGTGCCCTAAGTATAGGATAGAGCAGTGGAGGAAGTACCTGCTGAAGCTACTCACATTAGTAACATGGAGTTTGGGAAGAGGGCCTCTTTCTTTCAAGTGACTAAAGAAACATCATCGCTAACTTAAGCCCTGTACAGTCAACTTAGTCTTACATACAGTGGAGATGCTGTTTTGGCAAAGAAAGATTACACAGCTGCTTAAGTAATGGTACTTTCTTGATTAGGAAAACTAGTCTTTCCATGTGTGCAGAGAGTAAAAGAAAGGGCTTTTTTTGCCACACTCAGGCTACACATACTCCAAGATACAAGGGAAAACAGTAAAAATAAAGTATGCTGATGACAGAGATTGGCTGATATCTATACCAAGGTTCAGATTTATCCTTTAGCGAAAAGTCTAACCAGAACAAAATTAGTGTTCTTAGACAGCTATACCCTGTACTAGTCCAGAAACACTAAGAAAATATTTCACTATTTTCTAATAGAGGAGGATTTTGGCTGGAACCTAGTGAGGGTGCTAAACTTTTAACCTAGAGATAAAATAAATAATCAACAAGCTCTCACAATTTGGTGGTAAAGCAGAAGACATAATATGGGTATGAGAGTTAGTCTGTTTTAACTTGTTTTCACTACTTAAGTGCCCTAAGATCAGTTGGTAACCATTTAGGAAAAATGCTAAAAGATGAGGTCCAAAACAAAGTAGCTTGTAGCTATTTAAAAGTACATAGTATCTGAACTCCGAGTTGAAACTAGCCCTTTCCTGTATTTTTTTTTTTTTTGCTGTGGTTTTTTGTTTGTTTGTTTTGTTTTTTTAAAACATATACATTTGAAGTTGTGTGAAAGTAGGAGCGATTACTAGTTACAGTCTGTAATGACAAAAGTGTATCAAACAAGTACTGGAGTTCTGCATGCTCACAGAAGACTCTATGGAAAATAGTAAAATACTCTTTTCAAGACAGCTAAACAGTTTTACTTTTCCTCCCTTTGCCTATATTCATACTGGAGAATAGGCACATTGCTTCTTTTTAAACCTAGCTGGAGAGAACCAAGAACATGTAAAGGTATGAGACTTACCTACCTGCCTGAAAATTTGGGTTAGCATGCAAATTTTGTTACGTTAATACAACAAGGAGAGATGCTGAATCAGATGAAAACCTGCATGTTTTGGGTTAACAAATATAGCTAGTAAAGAAAGAAAACCTGTAAAAATCATTCTGTCCTAGCCTCTGTAACTCATACTATGGTCAAGTGCTTACCCACAGCCTCAGGAAAGTGAAAGGTATGACATCTATACCAAATTCTATGTAGCTTATTCTCAATAAAATGACCTTTATGTAATTATCTGCCACTATTTCCTCCACAATTGCTGCAGGCAGTATTTGCAGAAAAGCGGAGATCCCTTTTCTTCTCTTGCAATAGTATCACTTGATTCATCAAGCAGTTTTCTGCTCTGAACGGAACGTACTCAAAGCAGTAACTGAATCCAAGCACTATACTCAAACATCACTATTCAGAAAAATCACAGGGTGGCTTAGATTGCAACTCAAGTATTGAAACTCCATTTGCCTTTATAAAGCATATAATCTAAGGTGTTCCTTTGATGGTGACAACTCAGAGCAACTCTTAGGAGTTTAGAAGCAATTTTTACATTTACATCTTTATTTTACGTACAAGATAAAAAACCCCAAAAAATCATAATGACAGACTACTAACTCAGTCTTTGGAATTAAAAATAATTCCAAAAGCTCATTTGTAGAACATACTCAAACTCCACAAAAGAGAATGCCAATAGCCAAAGACTACTCAGAGGTCATGAAAAGCAGAAATAAACTCCAAACAACCAGAACACCGGTGGTTTTAACCACCCGAGTAACTGAAGGGGCTCCATCAAATCAGACAGGACTTTTCTGTTCTCAGCTGTTCTCTCAGATACACTAATTACTTTGTTGGCAGGTATCATATAGCTTAGTACAACCTTCAGTAAGTTTTTATTTGGCTTTGGAACATGGAAACAATTGTCTAATAGAAGAAAAAGATACTAGTAGTTGTTTTCTTAATGATAACTAAGACATTCTGTTGAATGTCAGCACATTTTCACACAAGTAATGATGTAGCTTGACTAGCCAAAGAAATGTGTCTCTTTTCTGTGGAATTTTAACTTGGTGAGTGGAAATAATGAAACAAAAAGACAAATCTTTCCTTCATAATCACAAAGTATTTCTCCAGCTTATCTCTAAATATCAGAATCTGAACTAGAAAACCTTTATGCAAAAAAACTCCCCAAAAAACAACTTCAGTCAGGTTTAGCTCTGTTTTCTTGATCTTTTGTCAACTCTCCAGGGATAAATCAGTCAGTGGGGTTCATGCTGTCTTCCATCATTCATGCCCTTTTGATTCTCTCTCTAACAGAGCACACTTTTCTCCATAGCTAAGATGCTGGCTCCCCAAAAACTGCATCAGCTTGTTAAGTTACATATTTTTAATTTCTTTCTCACTTCTTCCATTAGCTCACTGTTTCTCCAAATAGTAGACATCTTCCCTTTATTTTCTCAGTCCTTTTCCCTTTCCTATACTTGCAATTCATCATATAATCAGCTGGCTGGTAGTCTTAGGACATAAGAAGAGGTGAAAGGCATTACAAGCAAAGTTAGATTCCATTTCTCTTCTGCCAAGAGCACTTCCCAGATATAGCAACCTCTGCTTCCAATTCAAAGTCGGAGCATTAGGGTGAAGGCAGCAAAATGTTAGGTAAATGCATATCAGAAGACCAGAATCAAATGGAAAGAAAGGAACAGACAAGAATATTCAACTAATACTCAACTGAGATTCTTCAGTGCTATTTATTAGTTTGCAGTAAATGAACATGAGCAGCTTACCAAATTCCTCCTCCAGAAATCATGCAGCATGTAGATCAGCATTCCGTAAAGACGTATGTATGGAAGTGAAAAACACGTAGTTTTTCCACTACAAGTGGAAAAGCAGTACAAAAAAACTGTTAGAAAGTTGGCAGCTATTAAAATAATTTGTTTAATTTATTGTACAAGGACTAACTGATTCACTGGCATGTGAGTAGGTTATAATCTACTTTGAATATAGCACAGTCTTACTGTTCAAAGTGTCTACTGAAATTACCAGACAGTGTATTATCAATACATGCCTGTGATTCTAGCATTTTATCCAAACAAAAAACTCCTCACTTTTATAAAAATCATTGGAATTCTTCTAAGAGAAGTAAAATATTAAAAGAAAGTGTTTTACGAACTGAAGTATTTCCTTTTTATTAACTCCTGTAAAGTAATCAACAGAGGAACTCCCTGCTGCACCTGTGTATTATTCAGAAATAGTACAAAATATTTTAAAATTTTTAACTAAATACCATCTTTGGAAATAGCCTGAAAAAGTAAGAATTCCTTACAAAGTGTCACTGGCCACCTATTCTGAAACAAACAATCCACATCATCTGTTTATCAGGCAACATTGAGACAGAAACATGAAACTAATTCATTTCTAAAAGGTTTTGTCTGAAGGAGAAAACACACACACTATGTACCTTTTATTACCTTTTCACCTCTAGAAAGAGATGAAATGCTTACAAGTTAGAACGTATGAATATGCATTTCTGTTTTGAGGGACTTTTATGTATTCTTTAGCATTGTACGTAACAGGTAACCTGTTGAAGAAATGAACACTGGAAAAATTTCAGGAGTTTGTGCACTTCTAAATTAAGATTTAGGAGCAAATTAGTTTTTATAATTTATTTGAAGCATTTATATTTTGAGCACAAAGACAGCAAAACTGAAATTTAGTATGGGACATGTAACTTGAAGAGTAGTATTATCTAAAATATTAAACATTTACTGAAAATACAACAGGATGAAGCTATAAATCAATCAGAGCCTTAATTTCATTAATTTTGTTTTGTTTCACTTCGCTTGCTGAAGGCTTTTTGGTAGCAAAGGCTCCTGCTGCAAGTTCCCTCTTCTTGTTCTGAATTTTCAGAATATTTTCCTCCACTGAATCCTTCACAATGAACTGAAATAAAAACAAACAAGCAAGCAAACAAAAACACACTGAAATGAAGATGTTAAATGGTTTTTAAATAAAAGTTTAGGATGAAAAATTAAGGTATTTTGGAAAAAAATGCTAAGCAGCCTAAAGTACAGTTACATTATTTAGTAAGTAAAACATAAAGAAAAGGGCTGGAAAGCAGTTGAAGGAAAAAGTTTGGCGTTTTTTAACTTTTTTTTTTTTTTAATTAATTGGAGGATATCTCTTTCTTCTTTGCTACTTATACTAGAAGAGAACTTGGCTTCAATTTCCAAATAATACTTTTGTGATTGGATATTAACAAGACAGACCAGCTGCTCTTCCACAGCTAATCAAGCTGCTATGACAATGGCAGAAGTGTTCCATATACTTTCAAGATAATGAACTGTTAATAGCCAGGCTAAGCAACAGCAAACTAACCCATCTCAGTCACTCCAAATAGCTCAACAGGGACATCTGATTTCTAATATTAAAATCTTACAATCCAAAGCCCACACTTCAACAGTCACACCACAATTTATGTTTACTGGTGAGAGTATGATGTCACAATTATTTTTATAACATAGGAAAGTTTTGAAAATATTTATTCATAACCAGAAAACTGTTGGGATCATCTCTCAACTTGCCTTAGTAATAATAACATTATGCTTCTGACCCAGCCTGTGACACCTGTCAAAACACTGGTCTTCTGCAGCAGGATTCCAAGCCTAGCAGTTGCAGCAACGAACAAGTTAAATAACCTCACTTCAAAGTACCTAATAATATGCACATGGAATCACAAAGCAAATATTGTACCATCACCTCTTGAATAAATATTGCTTGCAGATTAATTACTCCGAACCTAATGTCTCACTCCTTAAGAATCCCACTGTAAAGAAAGTTTTGAGAACTTCCAGTTATATATTCATAACAAGCAAGAACTTCAGGTAAATGCTTTAAAAACAAAGTTTGTCAGGAGTCTCAAAGACATGAAAACAATCCTGTTATTTTAATTCTGAAATAAACAGTGCATATATTAACTGCCTCAGTACCCTTTTCCTGATAGCAAAATCTAAACCAGCTGAACTCAGGTAGTTACTTAGAAGTAAACTAAGGCCCTGGACTGTTAAGTAAACCCACTTACTCTTTCACTAGTATATACAATAATCACCATGTTACGTAAACAAAAAACTTTGCTGAACACAAAATGAGAGTGTATCTGTTCCTACTTATGCTTAGGATTTAACACTAAGGATTTGTGAAATGCCAAGTCTGTGCATTTTTCGAGCATGTTTTTTCTATCTAAAGGTACAGTACAACTAGTTCTCACAGAGTAGATAATTAGATCTACCTAAACTGTAATAATGTTCTGTCTCTGATAAGCAAGTCTCATTGAACGGACTCACCTTGCCATGTCATCCACATACTGCAAGTTACCTAAGAACTCTGAATGACTCATTTTAGATTCTAAGAAACTCCAATGCCTACACACAAGCAGAGACATCAAGTTGCAAGATAAAAGCCAGACAAGTCTTGTTTCTCCAATCTATGGTAGTGATCAAAAGTATAACAAATTATATGTCTGTCAATGCAAGACGAACATTCCTGGCAAGCTATGTATGGCAAGTCATTGTAATATTAATCTAACTGTATGAACAAGATGATGTCTGGAGGAAACACCTGGTCCAAACATGCAGAAGCATGTTCCATTCTATCTTTGCTGTAGTTGAGGAAAACCAAAATGTGCTACTTTCACTCTTCTCTCATCAATCCTGCAAAGGAAAAATGAATTGCAATACCTCTATCCCTTTCCGCAATCTCATACAAAGGATACTGTATTTTACGTGGGAAAATACAAAGAAACTTGAGCCTTAGAGAAACATCGGCATACTTATGATACTTTTACATTAAAGGTTTGTATTTCTTCCTAAAGGTAAGAATTCAGCAGCTATGATTGTATTTAAAGAAGTAAACAAATAATTCAAAAAAAGCGGGGGAAGGGAGAAAGTAATCTATGGCTGGATAAATATTCCTCCCTTGCACTGTCATATTACACCTCTCAGAGAAGGAATGCAGACCTCTAAGCTACAGTGCTACAACAAATTCACAGAATTTGAAAAACTGGTTACTCTACTGGCTCAAGGTATTTCTGCTTTTTAATTCCTACTATTGCTACTAATGCACTTCAAGGAATGCTAATGTGTGACTGGATCTCATTTGGCATTGACTATTCAAAAGGGAGGTCATAAAGAATCATGTGGTCCCACTACACCTCCATCAAATACAAGTAGTCAACCACTGCCACTTGGGATGGTTACCATCACAGGATGGTTACCAGCAGGATGAGAAGATGCTGTTCAATGGTCTATAAAGGCTGCAATTTTATTTGGCTCTGGTTTGTGAGGTATAACTATATACTGTAGATGACTCAGCGTTAACAAGGCTCAGCTTTCTTTCTTACAACCGCTTGCTGCAATACTCAATGCATTATACCTCATTTATTATCTTCACAGAAAATTGAAATTCTCTTGCTGTTTCCACAAATATTCAGAGAATTGTTAAAAAAGTGAAGTGGTTGGACTAGATGGTGGGGTGGTCATGTAGGTCCCTTCCAGCTGAACACATCAATGCAACACACAGAGAAACAACGTGGGTAAAGATGCACTGCGATTCAGGAAAAAACTTCTCCGTACTCTTACTAAAATGTAATCCCTTTAGTTTATTAAATAAATAGCTTTTGTCTTCATGCTATTATTATCACTAAAGTGATGTCCAAGGTAGTACTTTTTGTTTACTATTGGTACAGATGCCCAAGTCCAAAGATACACCATTACTTTCATTTACTTTGGTTTTGTTTTTTAAGTGCAGAATTTGTCTCGGTTTCCAACTGCCAAAAAACTAGGACATCAGAGGAATAAACAGTGGTGGAGGAAGTGAACAGAAAAACTTTGATTTTGTACAACAACACAACACATGAACCAATTTTGTTAAGAATACCATTTTGCTATCAATAAATGTAATTTACATTTTTATTCCTTACAAGTAGTTTTGTGTTCCTGAGTGCTTTAATGAAAGGAAAAAAATTCCGAAGTTTAAATATTACTAGTCTCCTAAGACTACAAAAAGTAACCTCAGAGTAATGTCTTTATTTATAAATAAATTCACAATAACATCAGAAGAGACTAGAGCAGACAAACACTGCATTAAGTATATACTTATATATTCCTGAAATTCCACTTCATGGCTTTTGAAGTTAACAGAAAACCACATTCAAAAATATTGAAAAATATTTAAAAAATATTGAACCACATTCAAAACCACTGAAGTACAGAAAACCACACTCAAAAATATAAGAAAGAAATAAAGAAGGAACAGATAGCATATACTACACTGTAAGGTGTCACACCACTCTTTTGGTAGTCCTACTAGCCTTCTTTCCATTCACAGTAAATAAATGGACAACACAAAAATATAGTGTTAAAACAAAAAATCTCAGGGAAACAAATGAAGAAAAGTCCTACTTGCCCTTTAACGAATACTCATCAGTATAATTTATTCTCGAGGGGCTTTCCTTCTACCTCTTAGGAAAACACCAAAGGAGCTTCACCTAGATTAAGCCAGATCATTATGAACAACCCATTACTCACAGGATCCATTAAAAACACTCGGGAAGCTGCTGTCAGATTTAATCCAACTCCACCCGCTTTCAGAGACAAAAGCATTATAGTTGCAGACCCTGCTTGGTTGCTTTGGAAACACCGAACTGCTTCCACTCTTTTCTTCTGTGCCATTGACCCATCCAAACGAGTAAAGGCAAACCCTGATTCTCTAAAGAGAAAGTAAAAAAGTTCAACTTAACAAGCCATTTTCTGTGACAACAGGAAATAAGTACATTAAAATCCTGACCTCTACTTTGAAGTGTGTATTTAAAATTCTATTTTCTTTGACAGAACTAAGACACTGTAAAAACACGTTTATTAAAAATAACAGTAGTTCTACTTACTTCAAGGGATTTTCTATCAGGGACAGGAAAGTTGTGAATTGAGAAACAACCAGACATTTAGCAGCTGGATTATCCCTCCGCAGTTCTATCAAAGCATGCATAAGAGCATTTATCTGAAATCAAATGAAGCATTTATCTGAAATTAAATGAACTTAGATTCTATTCCTACAGGCGGCTTTGATAAAGTTCGTATCAACTGAGAGAAATCCCTCTTCAATTAATATCTTTTAAATGAACTAATCTTGAATTCTGTGGGTAGGGTTTCTTTTAATTTCCACAGGAAACCAAGGGTTGAGCATTTTTAATGGACACAAACCACAGGGTGATATTGAGGATGTTTTGGTCACAACCTGTTTTTCAGACATACTTCCCACAGGAATCAGCAAGTCCCATATCTCCAGGGTATATGGAAAATAGGAACAAAGTACTGGAACTCCAAAAAATAAGGCTTAAGCTAAGGACAGCCACAAGGCAAGTGCTTTACTATAGCAATAGTCGGGAAGTGAGAAAGGCTTTCCCTACAAATACTCAGGCAAATAAGCTAGGCAAGACCCTTGGCTGGGGATGACAGAAAAAGGACACACCAGCAGCACTCTTAAACCAGCATGAGAATAAAAGGAACAAGGAATTGGATTTGAGGCAGAAGAACACTGCCAGTTTTCTCATGTAAGGTTTAGTTGTGATGAGATAAAGAACCACTAACTAGAGAATGCAAGTAACAGCACCAGGTAACAAAACAAATAAAAAAAAAAAAATCTGAATTTATTCTAGAGCATAATGTCCTAAATTAGTTCTTAGGTCTCCACGGAAAGATTTTTAGGGCATAGATTTGTAACCAGCATTTGAAAGAACAATTTCTTCATTTAAAGTAACATACAGAAAAGCAATCTCAAAACAAAAAGGTCAAAATCTAAGCAGGAAGATTTAATTTCTGGCAGCAAATGTACAACGAGAGTTAGGCAAAAAAAATGATGCGGCAGACCTTGACAAACAGGTCTGCAAAGTAAAACAACAGTATCTCACTAGTTTATCTGACAAGTGTTATATGATGCCCATTTAGTTTTCCCTTCTAGAGGAAAATATATATTCTTTATACAAGATTTAAGAAGGAAGGATTTATTTAGATTTTGTTTCCAAAAGTAAATTAAGAGCTGGAAAAGTTTCAGTGGTTATAAAATTGCTCTATCTTCAGAAACTGAAAAAAAAGGCAAAGCCCTTTACTGAAGTTTTATTTAATTAATACACATCTATGTACTGAACAACGACCAGCATCAAATTGCAACTCGTCTTCCTTCCATCTTGTTTCTCTGCTGCAAAATCTAGCTGTGGTGGGATTTTATTACACGCTTTCTTCTGTGCTGGTTATAGACGTGCTGGGCAGACTTTTAAATAAGAATTTAAAGTATGTTTTCCACATGTATAATATATTCAGCATATTTACATAACAAGGATAGAGTATGTCCTACAAAATCATAATGAAAGCCCAATAAAACGCAATAGAATGTACCTTTGAACTGGATATCCACTCCTGATCAGGCTTCTTTCCACTACTGGAGTCTATTTCTTCTTCTAGAGGACATTCCACCAAGTGCTCTACTTGAAGTTCATTCCTACAGAGAGGGCACTTGGCATTTGGCTAAAAAAAAAAAGCCCCAAAACATTACAAGAAACATATTAAATCAAATTATTTATAGTGAATACTAAAGAACACCTTTATAATTATTATACTGATGTTCATGTAAAACATGATTCATTCTTGTAACACACTCATTTCTGACACGACAGTCGCAATATTTTATATTTGACAACATTAACATGACATAAACACTACCTGTTTTAAAAACACTCAGCCTTCATTAAAAGTGGTCTTCTTTTGGAGCACATTTATACTTGAAATAAGTAGCTCAATATTTTAAGGCAAGCAAATACTTGGGCTATGGGGGGATAGACTATTTAAAATATCAGAAAAATAATCCATCTTTCAATGATTATCTTTCTTAGTTACAAACAAAGAATGACCTTTTACCCTTTTTCTTCAAAGCCTGCATAGAAATAACAGCAGTCTGATGAAATATGCTTTGTCAGGACAAAAACACGGTATCTTCTCTTTTTCCCCAGCAGACATGAGAAACGAGACATAATTTAACACCAAAAGCTTTTTTCTCTGAAGTATATATACTCTGGATAAAGCAAAATTTATATTATAGCACTTTCATAGGACTAACTCACAAAATTTAACAAAAGACTGTGAGCACTGTACAAATACAGAACTTTGTGAAGCAAAAATGACAGACACGAAAAACCTTTGCCAACAGAGCAACCCTTTAAAAGTAGCTAGTTCTGTTTATATAGCAATCAGGCCACAGACCCAAGGCATCTTTAGACAGGCTACAAAGCAGACCTACAAACCATGGGAATATTGGGGGCTGCTAATATGGACTGAACTGCCAGCCAACTAAAGAGGCCGGCAGTCACAGTCTGAATACATTAATTTATTGCAACAATAAAGCTATCCTTTCAGGAGAGAGAATCTTAACACAAACACATCTGAAATAACAGTCTCCCAAATGTAGTGAACCAATGAACCATTCCTGATTTGGCACCAATCCAAAAATCCTCCAGTGACAAGACAAAATAAATGAATTCCATTAAATCTGAAAAAGGTTTTCTGGAAAAAAAAAATCCTATCAGTGCTGATAAAGACTTTTCTTTCTTTTTAAATACAAGGCTCACATCTTTCTGCATCCCTTCTCCACTTTAGCAATTATAAACAAAACACAAAACGCAGCTGAACAATGCCAGCAGAAACACCAAACACTTTCAGTAAAAGCATATGAAAATGACCAAAAATGTCTCAGAATCAACACCTAAAAGAAGAAAAAGCATTTTAATTTGTATCTGGCAAGCTTTTACAAGAATGTAGTTAATACACAAAGACATTAGATTACTGTAGAGGTTTTACAGCTTTATTGGGACTTTTGCATAGGATCTTCACTTATTTGCACAACTCTGAATTTAACCTTAGCAGAAGATTGAAATGAAGGTGGTGTTAACTACTAAAAAGTTTTTCCAAAGTCGGTAAATACTTTTAGGTTAACAACAGAAAGATAAAATGATCTTCAAGTTCACAGTACAACAAAAGGCCAAACTTTTCACTCAGCAGTTTTGTGTTTGCAGTTTCACCTCTCACTGCTCACTGATGGCTTAATGCTGTCATTTGTATTAATAATGGAAACTCCAGGCATCTTGCCTGGAAGAATCCTGTTTGAACCCAAGCTGTTTTGGAGAGAGGGTATGCAGTTTGCTGGCTTCCTTTGTTTTTAAGGTGATGCCTAAAAGTACTTCCCTGAGCTATTTACTAGGAGAGAGTTGCTTTATAACTATTCAGGCACACGATTACCCAACTAAGACGCAGTATTAACAAAAATACCTATCATGTGGAAACACTGAATTCCCCCACTCTGGAATTTAGATGTGTGCCAGTGTGGAAACTGACAGATGCAGATTAACAAAGATGGCCACCACTCACAGCTGAAGTGCGAAGACAGATTTATTCCATCATTTGCAGGAACACATACACACTACTGAGTCCAAACTCAGCAGGGGCAAAAAGGACGAGGAAGGCCCCAGCCTTGCCTTACATACCAAAGCCTAATGCGTGTGAAAAGGGTCATCAGCCTGTATTTTCACAATTCTGAACTCTCTATCCCCATTCCCCCCAAGTCTGTGGGAAAGAATGCTTTTAAGTCTTTAACAACATTGTTATCTTCCTTGAGAGAATTCCATTTCTTTCAAGAGACAGAAAACAACCCAAAGGAAACACAGGGCATGAAAATTCCCACACTGAAACACTACTCTTAGCACTCTCAGCTGCAAAGGTATCTTGAGTGAAAACAGCTAAAGAAAAACACCTCCTCATCAAATCTTCTGCTTGCAACCCCTCTTCAGTCAGTGTTCAACACAGTCAGTGTTTTGGCTGGAAGCTGCAAAAACTTCCTTGGGAATTGGTTTAAATCAGGAATCATTTTGAGAGTAAGAAAGGCTTATTCATTCACTGTTTTAGAAACTCATGATAGTTCAAAAGAGCAGAAGTTACACCCATCTCTGTTTAGACTTCACTACTATGAAGGTAGGAACACCATGGGTTTGGACAAAGACACTAGTTCTGGAGATTCCACAGTCCTTTCCAGGCGAAACATAGTAAGTAACTTGACTGTAAAGTCAAGTAATGCACTATAATAATTCCATCACATCATATCCCAATTTATTTCTCTGCATGTTAAAAACACCAGAAGGTTCAGCAGGGGCGCCAGCTCTGACACAGACACATCAAGAATCTCTGCATTGGAAAAAGCACTCTGCAAGTGCTCTTCCCTTAAAGAATAATTTCACAACACTAGTTTCCCTTAAATTTTTCAGAAACCCTGGAGTGGGATATCTGCATCAGAACCTTGCGTATCTGGCAATGGAATAAAGTCAATCTACAAGCCAGACAGACAACACTTCCCACCTCTGTCTTGTTCACTGCTTATGCACAAGAAGGAACTAATCTGTTCCCTGCTGTCTCCTAATAAAGAACACCTAGGTTTAGGCTGGCAGTTGCAGCTCTACTCTGGCTAGGAGGAGGTAGAACAATTCCAGAGAGTAAGTGCAGTAGCACTCAATACATATGGTAAGACTTCCATAGGGAAGGGCAAACAAGAAAGAAAAGCATAGCTTAGAAGCACAGAAGAAAAATAAATACTATGGTTTTCAAAAAAGCAATCAAAAGATGCTCATCCACAAGCTTATTCTGGATAGAGTGTCCAGAGAGGGTCATAAAGATGACCCTCTAACAAGGCAGCTATTTCACTGTGGAGCCCCTGGTGGTCTAGTGGTAAGGGCGCGGCGCTATCACCTCCGAGACCCGGGTTCGATTCCCGGTCAGGGCCACTCCCGGGCAGGTGGGGCTCGTTAGCCCTTAAAGGCAACCCACCTACGTCCTAAGGACCTCACTGCCACTGTCCAAGCTTGCTTGGCCCCGGCAGATGAATCTTAGGATTAAAGGGTGGGCTCAGTTCCGCGCACACTGTGTCTCACCTAAAAAATCCAATGCGCAGGCTGGAAGGTGTAAAGACCTTCCCCGGATCTTTGCTCGCGAAGACTGGCCATTATTATTATTTCACTGTAGAAGTTCATCAGTTTTTAAGCACAATATACACATATATCACACCACACACAAGCAGTGAAGAAGCATCCAGCTATATGGAGGCATACATTGCTGCACACTTTGACCCTAGGGACAAAGTAAGGTGACAACTATGGAATAGGTCTTCGAAAATACTGATGGACCTTACCTTACCACTGATCAGTTTGACAGCTACTCTCTCCACAGTTTGACTTCAGGCCAATAGTTTTTATAAGTCAGCTGATAACTAGGTTTACACTGTTTACCATGACTTAAAAGAACAATAGCTAGATGGCCTCCTGGTGATACTAGTTCATTGCTTTCAAATAGCTATTACAATTAATTGTAACCATAGAGCAACCAACCTGTTCATTTCTGAGGACTTCAAAAATACATGGTTTACAAAACACATGTGCACAGTGTGTTATCACAGGAAGAGTCAATGATTCCAAGCAAACTGCGCATTCTTCATCTGAACCAGAGCTCAGAACCAACTTCATTTTACTCACTAATCTCACATGCAGTTCTTCAGGAGTTCTACTATCTGGAAATATAGAAACATACTTAAACCCAGAGATTTCCATACAGAAACACTCTGAGCTCTCATGCATCAAAAACGTTCCATTGATCAAAATGCAACTAGAACAGTTTATACACAATGAGGATATAGCTTACAATGTATAAAAACACAAGATGCCCCACACTACAGAAAATTTTGACCTACTAATTCAAAACACATTTTGAGTAATCTTACTTGAAAAAATAGTAATTTGAATTCAAAGAACCTCAACTGTATGCAATGGTAAGTATAAGTGCAACACAATACCTAAGGAGAACAAGCAATTTTCATGTGGCAGCTGTTCAAGCAGCAAAAATCTTACAAACATGACACTATTTACAGTCAAGATTGCTTCTTTTAAAGTAAAGAAATTAAATTCATACTTACTAGCCATTAATTAATTTCTAAATAATTATGGAACAATTATCAAATAATTTCTCCATCCTGTAATTTTAAGGAAGATAAACAGCAACCTTCTGAAAAAGGTTCTGACCATATCACACCTATGCCAATGGCATCTCAAAACAGGTTTTTCCTAAATATTACATTTGCAAATTCTCAGTTTTAGAGTATTTCCAACAGACTGTTCTTTCTTCTGAAAGAAACACATGTAAATTTTTAACACTATGCAGCTGTACCGTTCTGGCTTGTCAAAAATAAAACTTCGCTCTCCTTTCAGTCCTCTGTGTTCACCTTTCCTTACAGCTGTGACAAAGTCAACAGTGTCCTATTCTGCTGAAGAGACAATGGTTCTGCTGACACAGCTACCACTTTACAAGCCATTCCCCAAATCTCCTCTACATCTTCTCTCCTGAGGCAAAGAAAAAAATCTGCTGTAAAAGCACTTCTGTAAATTATTACAACAACAGACATGCTGCTTTTTAACAAGCCTTCTGCATTTGATTCTGCAGAGGTCCTCTCTGGTCATTTCTGTATGGGCTGTCAAAGCTTATTAACTCCTGCTTCTGGCCTTCATAACTACTCATACTTCATTATTTCATTCATATGTGAGAATGTGCTCGATATCACCTTCTCAAACATATTCAAACCTATTACGCCACCAAAAAAAAAAAAAAAGTAACTAAAGGAAGTTGAAAGTTCAATAATCCATGCTGAAAAGAGGATGGCTAAAGCTACAAAGCTTGGAAAACACAAATATATTTCTGTTCTTGAATACAAAGTGACAGTTCTTGTTCTTAAAAAACACAGGAACCAAAAGTATTCACTCACCATTTGAAAAACTAGAAGAGGTATTTATACAAAGATGAGGATGACAACAAATCTGTCTTAATCTGAGTAGAACTCCAAGGATGTCAGCATAATGAGCTAGTACATTCCCTTCATTGAAAAATCTGAGTAAGAGTTTTATGGTTAGTGTGAAATACTACAGCCTGAAATAACAGATGACATTACATGATAAGAGTTTAGCTGTTACAATGATGTTCTGATTCTTCACCTTTCTGTCTGACTACCTTTTCTCAAATCCTCTTCTTAAACAAGGCACAAAATGCTATCAGTAGCATGTTCTACTAGAAGAAATGTTAATACATGGTGACGAAAGTTTTAAGGCCATTCTTTACATATTTGGTATCTCTTTCCAGTTCTCACAAGACAGAACTTCTAAATATAGTTCTGTAACACTCTCTGCTTCACTCTTCAGAATTGAACAGATGCTAAAATAATTTGCAGTTATTAGCCTACAATATACAAACTGACGCACTTGGCTACTACAGTTAACATAATCAAAACTTCTGAAATATAACTTTGTGGTATCAAATTTCAACCTTCAGGATAAAGAAAACCTCTGACTTACCTGCTAATAGTAGCTTTGCCCTCATTCTTCACAGACTGGTAGATTTGTCTCTCCTCCTCTGTAAGCGTAACATACTGAATAAGTACTTTACGTTCTGGTAAATCCAAAATCGGTGCTCCTTTAACTTGACTTGTTTTAGATCTTCTAAGGGTAATACTCTTAATCAGAGACTGTAAACGCCTAAAAATATATATAGACAATATATTACTCAAGTGGTGTTGGGTGTGGGGTTTATTTTTTTCTTCTTTTTTTTCTTCAGTTTACTGCATAAATTCATTTTTTGTACATATTTCAAGCCCAGTAGTACAATATAACTCATTAATCTGAAATATAAACATTTTTAATTATTTGATATTTACTAATTTGAAGTAAAAAAACTGAAATAAGAACTGATGATATATAGGCATTTCAAGTTTAAATGTGAAACACTAATTTGTCACATTGCCCAAGCACTGCTAGTTATACTCATTCACAAACCCTTTGGGAACATTTCATACCAAAGTCCTCCTGGAGCTCCCATTGTGACTGGATGTTGAATTGTTCTGTGCCACCACTCTCGATCAGCAAAAGGTTTCAGTTTTAAGAAGGAAATAAGAGACCACAAATCTTTTACATAATTCTGAATAGGAGTGCCTAAACAGAAAATGAAGACAGTAAAACCTCAAAGAAACTAAAACTCACAAATTTTTACCAAAGAGAAAATTGTGTGCTTTCTCCTAATCTCAAAACTAGGTTGACATGTCATTAAGTATAATATTATTTTTTTAAAATACATAAGAGCGAGAAAACCACAGCTCTCAGTGTCAGGAATACTTGGTTGTTATCTTTCTGTTTCAGTTTCACCAGCAGTGGTCATGATCTTTAAATTACATTTTTAGGATCATATGCTTGCATGGTCTGTGCCAATTTTTATGATACCTAATACATTTTATAAAGTTACTGAGGTTGGGATAAGTATGCATCAGTGTGAGCTTCTAACCAAACCTAACTTGCTAACTTCATAAATAGGTCTGTTTTTATTTGTACTTCCACCAAACTTGTGCATCAAAAGTTATTTTGAATTTTCTCTGTAATCACTGAATGGGTCAGGCTAGAAGGAACCACAGTAGGTCACCTAGTCCCACCTCCCTGCTCAAGCAGAGTCAATCCAGAGCACACGGCACAGGATTGTGTCCAGACAGTTCTGGCATATCCCCATGAGGGAGACTCCACACCCTTTGTGATCTCTTCTCCAGTGCTCGGTCACTGCACAGGAAAGAAGTTCTTCCTTATGTTCAGGTGGAACTTCCTGGGCATCAGTTTCTGACCTTCCCTCTTGTTCTATTGCTGGGCACCCCTGAGCAGAGCCTGGTCCATCCTCTGACCCCTCCCTATAGACACTGACAGACATGGATGAGGTCCCCTCTCAGTGTCTCTTACTGAAGCTGAACAGCCCCAGCTCTCTCCCCAGCCTTTCCAATCCCTTCATCATTTCCATAGCCTCCACTGGAGCCACTCAGGGAGCTCCATGTCCCTCCTGTCCTGAAGAGCCCAGACCTGGACACAGTACTCCAGCTGTGCCTCACCAGGGTTGAGCAGAGGGGCAGGATCCCTTCCCTGACCTGCTGGCAATGCTCTTCGCAATGCAACCCAGGATCCCACTGGCCCTCTTGGACCCCAGGATACACTGCTGGCTCATGGACAGCTGCTGGCTGTCCACCAGCACTCCCAAGTCCTTCTCCACAGAGCTGCTCTCCAGCAGGTCACCCCCAGCTTGTGCCGGTTATGGCATGGGGTTATTCCTCCCCGAGTGCAGGACCATGCACTTGCCCTTGTTGAACTTGTGGCGTTCTTCCCTGCCCATCTCTCCAACATGTCGAGGTCCCTCTGAAGGGCTGCACAGCCCTGGGGAACCAGCCACTCCTCCAGCTTTGTGTCATCAGCAAACTTGTTGAGAAGGAATCTGCCCCTTTATCCAAGTCACTGATGAACAAGTTAAACAACACTGGGCCCAACACTGACCCCTGGGGGACAACACTAATGACAGGCCTCCAACTAGACCCTGTGCCACTGGTTATGACTCCCTGGGATCTGCCATTCAGACAGTTCTCAATCCACCTTAATAACTGAATAAAACAAAAAAATAAACACAAACACCACCCCACAAAACCCCCAAACAAATAAGCAAAACCAAGCAAAAAACCCACAACAAAACAAAAAAACCAACCAAGCCAACAAAATCAAAAACCACTAAATGAAGACACAATCCCTGCTCAAAGACAACATTCCAAATGAACCTGAGATAGGCAGACATGAACTATTTCCAAAAAAAAAAAAAAAGCCAAAATGGAAACACCATGTGGGAAACAAGATGGTGCTGTACTAAGGTAATTTGCACTGCATTTCCACTGGCGGCAGCAAATCGTTTACCTGTAAGTACCCATCTTCTGTGTCCCTCCAGATTTAAGGCAGCTTTAGTCTGCTGAGCATTTGGGTTTCGTATAGCATGCCCCTCATCCAACACAATTCTCAGCCACTTGACTTTGTGTAAAGGGCTATTACCTCTGATCTGAAAAAGAGTATTTTTTTTTTTAATCTTTGACTCAAATTAAAACACCTCTTTTTCAATTTGGATAAAGTAAGATATTATTACAACAACCCCACATTTAAAAATGGATAGTATTTATCTGCATCTTGTTTATTTATCTGCACAGAAAGGCAAAACTAAGAGTAAGGTCTTCCTGCTTTTAGACGTATTGATTCCTGGAAAATGTTACTGATCTCCTCATACTTGAGCTAAAGTAAAAACAACCTAAGGCTGAAAAGAAGCGTTTCGGTATGGAAAATGGATCAGAGAGCAAATCAGAAGTCATATATCATATTTAAAGATGTAATCTTCAGGCTTTTAAAAATGGTTGTAATTCCTATATAGATAACTTTACAAATACATCTCATGCAATGAGCTACTTGGTTGAAGCCCATGTGCAACAAGAACTATGAAATTAAACTTTTATATGCTCCATACTCTTCAAATTTGATAGGGCAACACAGAAATGGGAACTTCATGCCACCAAGATCTTGGGAGATTTGCATACTTGACACCCTTTTCTATCCTTAAAAAGTCCTTTCCTTAAGCTGTCATAATTGCAATCAAATAATTTTCTGTAGAGGAGCAGTTAATAAAAAACTCTCTCTGTTACCACACTGAATACATAAGAAAGTATGTAAAAGCAAAATCACAGCTATACTTTTTTGACTGCCTACCAGAACAGCACTTGAATATGCTATCATTAGCCCAAACACTGTGAGTCTTAAATAGTAAGGAACCTTCAAACACCTTCTCATTTACTTACCCCATAGTCAGTAGCTAAAATGCTGTATGTTGTCAATACAACGTCTTGTTCTGAAAGAACTGATGGGTCTTTGCTACGCTCAGAACCGTAATAAACATAAATCTTTACATTAAAATCTTGGTGGATATGTTGTTCAAACTGATCCTGAAAGAAAAGTTGTCAAAAGTAATCAAAAACATACTGTGTTACTAAATGATTGCTAGAATTATTCTTCTTGTAAATTGTTATTATTAGTAGTATTATTCTTGTAAGTCGCCTTATCTAAAACACACTTTCTCTAGCTCTGTGACATTCTACATCCACTTACATAACAAAAGCAATTTGAATTTGGGTTGCTTTTTACATCTCTACCCAGGTGTGAAGAGGGACCAGAAGTAGTCACCTCAATCATTAGTAACAGACACTGTATCACATTGTGGTAACTCTAGCTTTACTTCTTACAGTGTACTGGTTTACATCCTGATGAAATATGTACTTCAAAATGCACTGTTCCTTACAAACTGTAATGGAAGAGCTTTTATGTTCTTTTTCACTTTCTACCTTAAACATCCCTTTGTTTATTCTTTCACTGTTTTGTTTTTTTTTTCTACTTCTTCTTATTACTGGGTTAACTACCTAAGGTGTTTTTAGCATAAAAAAATTACGTTTGAAAAAAAATAAAATATTAATTGTAAAACCAGTGTTTATATTTCCTATATTTGTTCTGTGAAAGACTCAGTATACAGTAACCTTGAGAGATAATAAAAATCACAATTTTATTTCTGAAGCACCAGGCTCAAGTTTTCTTTTAAAATACTTAATTTGCCTTGAATTGACAAAAAGTACTTTGTTTACACTATCTGATGTTTCTCAGTTATATGACTTTCATGTTTCACCTACAAAGATTAAACTAATGTTCTAACCACAGACAGCAAAATCTTCCAAATGAAATATAAGTTGCGAGTTAAAGATATCTCCTTAATGTTTGTATTCAAAATGTCATGAAAACAAAAAATTTAACTAATGCAGAGACAGAGCTAGAAGGGTCCTTCAGCCTTTTCACTACAGCAGACTTAATCCCACAAATCACCACCAGTATCACCAAATTACTGAACTCCTCTAGTAAATCAACAGTCACATGCATTATCAATGAAATACAGTAATACTTTATTCTGAGCATGTAACAAAAAGGACCGGTCTCCTCTCCCTTCCTCAGCTCGTTTAAAGAGGTAAATTGCACAAGTTCCAGAAGTGACAAAGTGTATCAGCCTAGTCAAAAGCAGAAAATGGAAAGAGAGCTCACTACTGATGGAACTGCACTCTCGTTGCAATACTAGTCCAGTTTTTTATTTCTATCAAATCAATCTCCCTTGTGAAAGCAGTTCTCTTTCATAAAAAGGATAACCACGACCTTTTACTATAATTAAGGACTACAGGGAGTGCTATTTCTACAGCATCATAATCAATACAGATTACATTTACATATTAAAAAGGCTTAGCACTTACAATCCAGTTGCTTAGGACAGACAGTGGGCACACAATCAGTGTTGCTCTGGGGCCATCATCAGAATATTTCTTCTCAACTGACTGAACACTAGCAGTACCTGAGAAAACAGAAGCCATTTAGTGGTGAAACAGTTCACTTTAAAGCAAAGTAGAAGTAACGGATTCCTGAAGTTCTTCACCTGAAGAGCATTAAAACAATTTAAAAAGACATAAGCTTCATTTATTAAATATGTGTAATATTTAAGCTTAAAAACCTCAGAAACTATCTGTTCAGCCCTTTGTTACCTTTTCTCCTTCTTTGTCTTTTTAAACAAGCAGATGAAGGTAGAAGAACAGATGCAAAGCCTGAATCTTCTTGGTTAACACAAGAAGTTGCTGTAAAAAGCCAGACAAAACAGATTTTTCACACCACGCAGAGCATAGGTCTATATTTATTTTTATGACACGATTCATAAAAGTCAAACTTGTTAGTCAAAGTATTTCGCCTCTCAAATATAATAATATAGAGTCTCTTGTGTTGGAAGGAACACATAAAGATTATCAAGTCCAACTCCCTGTTCCTCACAGGACTGCCTAAACTGAACCATACGGCTAAAAGATTCTCCAGATATTCCTTGACCTCTGATATGAATGTGTGCAGAAATATAGTATATTATACATCTCTTCGAAGTCACAAATCTTCAGAGGAATGCAGTTTACCAGTCAATAAAAAAAATATATAGTTTAGCACAGGTTTCACTTCAAGTGCTTTAAATCTAAACTTAACTGCTTACTCCAGAGTACCTGCAGACCTTAATACTTTTTTCCATGCAAGACGTTAGTTCAACAAATGACATAATATTACCTCCCTCCTCATGATCACATTTCAGGTATTTGCCACAAAAGATGGACAAAAGATGTTTTTCCAACCCTAGTGCCCTCACAACAAGTCTTATGTCCAATTCTAAAAATCTTAGCAATTCTGGTTTTCATCATCCATTTGACCCTGCTCACAACTTGTTACACCACCACTCACTCAGTAAAGAAAACAAACTACAACTGGATTAAATATTTAGGACTAAAATATTGCTTTCCCATTCAGCAATTTCTAAAATTTTCTGCTTAAAATTCTGGTTAAATAAAAACCAAACAAATAGGAAAAAAAAAAAACAACAAAACACCAACAAGAGAAAAAACTCAAGTATTTTAGTTAATTCCTTTTCCGATTAATTAGAAATCCTTTCCAGTTTGGTTTCGAAAGAAAGACACCAGGTGTCACAGTGACCAATTAAAAAAAAAAAAAACCAACCCACAAAAAAGTTCTTGCAACTTACTTTCTGTTCGTTGCAATTGCTGTTCTTCAGACTCTTCCAAGTCACTGCTTCCCAAATATCTGGGTTTCTTAGCTTTATCTCTAAGATATTATTATTAAGAAAGAAAAAATGAAAACAGAACAAAACAAACCCACAAGTCTCCTATTGCTTGAATTTACACATTAAATCTCACAAGTAGAAAGCAAATGAATTTCATATTGCAAATAAGATACCGTGATTTGAAAAGTTTGAGAAAGGGAAAGCACAGGACACAGAGCTGCAGGGTGAATGATACTCATAAAACTTGCTACAGATTATCACTAAAGTTCACATCAATTATAAGACGCTATTGTGGTGGGAAGGTTCAGACACATTCATAAGCTTCACAACTTCATCAGATCACAGGTGTCTCTGTCAGAAGCATGCCTACAAAGTATTTCTTAACCCCTTGAAAACCCAACTGATTCTAAAAGGAAGATTACTTCATAGCCAGTTTTTTAGATGCCATATATAGATGTTATTAGGCACCTTTACTTCTGAAGGAGATATACAAGCATGCAGTAACAAGTCACACAGAACGGGTTAAACGGGTTAATATGTTCCAAAGTGCAACTCAAATACAGAACACTTATGATAAATATAAGCAGAAGCATAGAATACTGTAAGGTGAGGAAGATAACAAGTACATATTTTAGACTAAGATTAATTATAACCAAGTACCACTTTAATTTTACTCAAAACCTATGTAGCAAACCAACAAGACTATTCCAGCTATATACCTTTTAGGAAGACAACTCGAGTATTTCAACGGAGTAGTTCCAAACTTTTTTACATTAGAAACACCAGGCTCCATCACATTGCTAGAGTCTTCATAAAGAAGAAATTGGTATTTATGAAAAATATACATAGTCTTTAGCTTGGTTATCAAACTAACTTTAGCATAACTTGATTAAGAACAAGTACAAACTTCCACTAAAACAACCTTTAGCTGTTTAAAAATACTTAGTACTGCATGGGACAAATGTTACTTACTGTCATCACAAATGAAAAAATACTCTTAAAACAGTCTTAAATATCTAAAAAGTCATAAAATGTGTACTGACTGGGTTTGCAGGTAGTCAAAACCAAACAGTCAAGAAAATAGGAGAAAGCAAATGTAAGCATTGTACAGTTAACAGTAAGGGTAAAGTTTTAAATAACACTAAATTGTAAAGGTTTTTTACAGGTCACACCTGTAAATACTGATATCTACATTGCCTAAAACTAATAACAGCAACATAAACAGAAAAAATGTGACAATATCACAGACTGCAGAGGACATGTTATTTTGTTTTGTTGGGGTTTTTTTAAGGTCTTCTATTATGAAGTAAACAAAAAGTCACCTCTGCACCCTGACAAAAATAGCACATCAGAAGCAAACACACCAAAAAAAGGCATTAGAACAGAGCTGATATCAAAACTGGAAGCAACATTTCTCGCAGAAATAGTTTTGCTATAACTCAGGTAAGTAAATTCATTCCCAAATTCCAGATTTAAACTTCAGTAAATATAAGTATAAATATATTTGTAGAACTAAAGGAAAGGTTTGATGCAATCCTGAAGATGACAAAATTTGCAAAGATTCAAGAAATAGGTATCAATTTAAGGTACAATAGAATGAGAAATGGGAGCAGGAGAGTATAAGGCTTTGAAGGACATTATCATCACTTTTTCATATTAAATAATAGTAGAAACAGGCTCTTCCCTCACTGCTGTAAATAGTATCTTGTTAAAATGCTCAAAGCTTTGGGGAAAAAAAAATCTTGCATGCTGCTAGCCATATCAGCTGTGGTAAACGCTATCATTTTCTGGTGCTACTCATATTGACCCCCGTTAAAAGTATGCATTTTCTCCCTTCCAGAGAACTGACAAAAATAACTTTCAGCAGAGGCAGTTCATACTAATGTGTTGTCTCCTTATTGGTCCCTTTTATTTCTCGTATGCTACCAGTTAGGTCATCAATATTCAAGTTTGTTGCATGGGAGGACAGCGAGCAAAAGTTACTGCAAGAAAACTTCAAGCCCCATACCTTTCTTCAGTCATTTTCAGGAGCACGATGAGTTATAAAACATACTAACAGCACCTGTAATTTTTATATATGTCTATAAATTCTCCTAATACCACCTGAAAACTAGAGGTGTGATAAAATCCTTCTGAATACTTGCAATTGCCTCATTACCTTAAAATATTTCCAAAAAAAGTGACTTAATATAGAACCCAATTACAATTTAACTACTGATGTTTACTGTTTAAATAAACAAGATTTTAACAAATGCATAAGTGCTCCTGTTTTACTTGCAAGGAAGGAAAAAGCAAAAAGATCTCAGAATCCATTTCCTGAATGTGGGAACTTTCCTAGCAAGGTGCAATTTTATCACAAGGCACTTAATCTTCTCATGTGTCAACTGAAACACTTTAAAGGTACATTTTATTTACTTCTCCAAGATAGTTTGTGAAGCATTTGTGAAGACTAGCACTGATCACAGACAAAGAGTGCCGCAGATAATAACATTAATTATCATGCAAACATTACTAGACTAGTAGATTAGTTTGTTGTCACCTTTACAAAGTCTGCGTCCAACGCTGCTCATGCTGTTAGTACCAGATTCCTATTGAGGAATGGAAACTTTTATTCTTTAGTGTAGCAACTAGAAATAATGCCAACATTATTATACTAATTGGACCATCAATTAATTACTGCTCTGAAACATGAAAGACTTGCCCAGTGGCAAGTCAGTCACTCAAAGGTACTGACAAACTTCTTTTTTTCAGCAGCCACATACAGAGTTTAAATGAAACCGTGGAGAAGCAGAGGAGAGAAACTCAGTCTACACAGCTGTCCTAAAACACAGAACACACTGATAACATTTCCCAGTTTAACATTCTGAGGTCAAACACAAAGTATTATTTTGTTAAAGTTAGACAAGTATGGTAAAATAAAACAAAACCCCCAGCCTTAACACTGTCAGGGAATATTGCATAAAACATCAACTAATTCTAGAATTTAGTTTATTTCACCATCTTGAAAACCATGTCATAATGAAAGCAAAAAGCGCTTAACTATACTAACTAAGCAGAGTTTGTACATTAATGGCCAGTCTTTGCGAGCGAAGATCCGGGGAAGGTCTTTACACCTTCCAGCCTGCGCATTGGATTTTTTAGGTGAGACACAGTGTGCGCGGAACTGAGCCCACCCTTTAATCCTAAGGTTCATCTGCCGGGGCCAAGCGAGCTTGGACGGTGGCAGTAAGTAGTTTCCCCTCCTCTCCTCATTTCAAGTATTTGGCAAAAATATAAACTGAGATTGATTGATTTATTTACTTTACATCAAGACCCTCTGCTTGCTTTGGTTGTTTCAGGTACTTCCTCGAAACCACACAGGAATTATGCATGCACATTCCCAGAAAAAATACCACTTCTATCTGTGCAGCCACAATTTACCTACAGGAGAAATGTATAAGAAACTTCTGGAAAGACATTTATGTCATCAGAAATTCTTCCTTAGAGTAGATGTAAGCATACACTCCTAAGATAACAGCCTACAGTTCAATTAAACACTCTGAAGTAACATAGTCCACCTACCTTCAATTCATCTACCCAAACTCCTCTTGTTTGGCATATGTGAATAAGTTTTTCTACAAAATGTATAAAAACTTCACCATACTGGATACAGGTATTTTTAACTGCTATTTCAACCATTAAAACTATTTTCCTTTCATCTCACCTCATAAAATTTATCACTTGCGATCTTTTCAACAGGAAGGGGCTTGCCATCTTGAAAATTTGTGAGAATCAATGCAATAGTAGTAAGTGTTTTACCCTGCATAATAGAAAAGAACATCATCTTTTCTACAGATGAAAACAAACCAAAGGATCAATCAATCAAGAAGCATGCACGCACATTCTTTTAAAAAGGATTCAAGCTTGGCAAGTATTACCAGTCCCATATCATCAGCCAGTATTCCTCCAAGAACATTTTTAGGTCGTTTCTTTTCTGCATAATTTGTCAGTGTATTGTAATAGAAGTTACTTCTCTCTTCCCAGAATGGTGGCAAATCATTACTGTTTTCACGTGAAACCATCCAACATAAGGCCTGCTTCTGATGAGGAAGTAAACGTGTACCAACAGCCTGCAAGTCAAAGATACACATTATGCATTATTCCCATATTAAATATGACACTCCATTTTTCAGAAGAAAATTTTTCTATAAAGTCCTCTCTATCTATTTGATTTTTTTCTCATCCAAGTATCTTCTGTATCCAGACAAAAGTAAATATACATCTAGATGCTTAAGTAATTGTATTTTTTAAGAAAACGGTTTCTAGCTTAAAAAATACCTCTGCTGCTTCCATTTCACAAGTTTTATCGTCTTCCTTTAGGTCCTCAAACAATTTGTCAAATTCACCTTTAAGCTGAATAAATGAACACAAAAATTGTAATTAAAACTACTGCAATTAAAAATAACCTCACTAAATAAACAATTACTTTATTAAATTACAATTACCTGACATACGGTAATCAGTAAATATAGGTCTACCACTTTAGACCTGATTTGCTGGAATACATTTGTTAGCTACACTACGGCCAAATGAAAATTAAGTTCAGTTTTACCAAGAAAAATGCAAGCCAATACGAGCAAGAGCTTCAGAAGGAATGGCTAAATATATTCACATCCTTGTCCAACACTCACTAAAGTAACTATTTCACTCTAGTTTGAAAGAGCAAACAAAAAGCAAAACCAAAGCGTCACCCAACCCTTCACCTATAATCTGGACCAAACCTGAAGACAAAAATCCAGAAGTCTGATTTTGAGAACTTAACATACTTGTTACCTGGTAAAGCATTAGGTCAGAGAAAAGAAAACGTGCCACAACAATGTAAAAAAGTTATTGAACAACCAAAACCTCCCAAAATTACATAGCACTCAAGGCTGTCATAGTTAAAATGTCTGCTTACAGGATAAAAACAAAGGAAAAAAATTCAAAAGCTCAAGATGACTTCTAAAGATATCTGTGGTCAAAAAAAAAATAAATAAAAAAAGCAACAGACTTCCACTTCAGAAGCACTGTTTTATTAATTAAAAAGTTAAGGGTTCCCACTGTTAAAACTGCAGCTTCCAGTTGCTCAAGTGTGAAATGCAAACCTGTTCAGTTGTCAATTGCACAGCAGCATGAACCGGAGCGCTGTAGCTTGGACCAGCTCTCCCAGAAATCCACTTTGATTCAAAACCATCTTCTGAACCTACTTGTCATTAAAAAGATAGTATTTTGAAATTCAGTGATACTTCCCAGACTCCACATTCTCTGGTTCATGAGCAACAGTGCTGGTCAGACTGTGGGTTATCAAACAGCATCTTTTACCATTAGTCTTTTAGCCTCAACAATTTATCCTTGACTTTCAATGACTGCAAAGGTTTTCCACAAAGCTTAAGACCCACAGCTATGGGTTGGGATCTTTCAAGACGGCAACCGTGTTTCTTAAAAATTGTTGTGTTACATGAAATTTGACTTGGTGACAGTATGATGAATGATAACACAAAATACTTTACTCCAAACTCTTCTTCTGTGCACAATAGAACCTACAATATAAGAACTGAAATCTTGCTATATGTAAAACACATCTATCCCTCACTAAATGTTTCTTTCTGCAGCATCCTTACTCCTGACTACCACTGCTTGAACAGAGTCTAGTTCCAGGAGCCACAGGTGTTTTCTTGTGTCAGGCTCACTCTGAAAAGCATCAGGTTTGCTAAACTTATTTGTTCAGAGACATCTCATTCACTTGTTCATTTCTCACTAGTATGATACACATCCTAGTGCTCTGCTAAAAAGCAGCACTTTCCCTGAAACTTTCTCCCTGAAAAGGTGTCTCTTAACCTTGTTTCTTAAAATTTTTTTTCAAGACTAGAAAGATGCAGGGGATCATTATGAACTTTTAGGGAACTTACATAATCTAGTATTTTTCTGAGGATGCTCAAATGCCTCTCCAATTGCTGGCAGATTACTTTTGTCTCGTGTCTTTTACTTCTTATGAAGTTTAAAATTAATAGCTGCGAGTTCTGCATTATTCCCCAACTAAGTAAAAAAAAAATCACTCCACGAATGACAAGACTAGCATGAAGATTAAGCCCTTATAAGCATTTCTTCCAATCAGCGTAAAGGTCAATCAAAATATTTTTAAAAGGAAAAAAGCCCAAAATTTCAAGTCTTACCTTTTGGAGGAGGAGCCAACTTAAATCCATGCCTTTTTAGTTGATCTAGCACTGCTTCTTTATTTTCTTCTCTTCCCCAAAAGCTCATTTCCACAGGCATGGTGAACGAATTTTTTGCTCCATACGGGACAACCCTGATAAAGAGCAGGAAAAATCCCACAGCAGTAATCTTCTAATTGTTTAATTATCTTTTTTTTTATAATAAACCTTTCTTGACCAAGAGGTACTCCAAAGTGCTTACTTTCATCAAAACACAGACTGTTCCAGATAGGTGACAGTACACTGTGTAAACCTTTTATACAAACTACAATATGCCATTAAGTGTTCCACAACAGTCTTTAAGGAATTCACTCACATTAGTGTTTCTACATTTTATCATATATGGGAAAGAATAAACTGTATGCAAATAGTTCAACAGTATAAAGAATCTGAAAAAATAAAGCTTTAAGTACATTACCAAGAGTTGTAATTTCTGTCAAAAGAGAACACTTACAAATAGTTTTCAGAATTTGCTAGTGTAGTAACAAAAAAAATGTTTCCAAAAAAAACCAGAAGCATCATATTCACACTTACCCTTCAACTACTGCTAGTTTGTTGTCCATAATCTCAGCCAATGCTGGCGCAAGTTCTTTTTTGATATGGCCTACCTGATCTCCATTCACATTATTTACTTGCACTGCATTTTTATCATAAGGATTATTGGGCTCCCTCTGAAGTGCAACCATTTCATTGTTACTAACCTAACAAAGCAAAAGAGACAAACACCAAAATCCATTCACTTAGCTGCAAATTATTTAAAGAAATATAACATTGCGAACTAAAACATCATGAAGCTTAAAGATTCACTTGGCATAGCACTCTGTTCCATCAATCTAATAATCTACTACTTCCTCAAAATACCAAACACATTACAGAAGAGTTCCCTGATAGATGTCAGTGATTTCAAAAGTATTCCTGAGAGCAAGAACTATCTTCAACTGCTAACATGTTTTATAAGGTAATAACCATCCTTTTTTTGCTCATGTAAACAGTTTAAAAATCTATCTAATTTCTTGTTTTCAGTCACTTTCATTTGCATTATGTGGGTGAGCAGAGCTGCCAAACAACTAAACCAGATTTGAAAGCTTGCTATCTTAATTCAATTTTGAATTAAAGTTTTAGATTAAGAACTTCCCATTAAGAATGCTGAATACTGCAAGTAAGGAAAAAAAACACAAAAAAGCACCAACTATTAAAATTATACCTGGTCAGCAGTTCTATGAATTTTTGAAATTTATTTAATCTTATTTTCTGAAACTAACAACTTTATCTTCTGCTTTGTAATCTTTCAGGCACTTACAATCCCTGTGTAGTATCGTAATCCAACAATGCTTCCTCGCAAAGTTCCATATAGGATAGTTGACTCTGTATCCTCCTCTGTTCCAGAAGTGTCACCTAGAAAGTCAAAGCCTTTCAATCCAAGACTGGAGTAAAAGTCAGAAGACGAAAAGCAGGAACAGTTTCTCTCTCCTCTGCAGGTGTTATCTTGAGAGCATGCTCTTGCAGAGTCTCTGCAAAGACAAATGTGACATACTGGACAATAATTATTATTATTATTTCCTTGTAATCTTTCATCCCTTTATGTAAGGTTATCTATAAACTCATTTTATGACTGTACTCAGACAACATGTACCTGGAAACATTCAAAAAAGGTTTTTACTTGGAGAAAACTTTGTCTGTCACTTTTAACCTCAAATACATTAAGCCAATTACAATGAAGAGCTGACAAACCAAACTGCAGTATCTGTGTATTCCTATTTTTCCTCACAGGATTATCTTTGTCAACATCAAGATTTCTCCGCATTTAGTTATATCCCTAATTATACCTGGCACAGTAAAATTCCCTTGTATTTTCTTAACCCGACTTTTTCTCATCTAAAAAAAAGGTTAAAATTACCTGTTTGTAACTGATTAACTGTGTAACTTTACATCTGTATCCACAAATGCTGAAATGCTAAAACAACTGTTCCCTAAGTACTTATTTAGTTTACCTGCACACATTGACATCTCTTGTCACTTTATTGTAAACTTCAGAGATAATCACTCCAACCTAACCCGGATAATTACACTACGTATCTCTAATACAAACTTCTGTCAGTGCGGGTCCCCTCTGGGTGATGGGATACATCTAGAAACTCACATTACTGGGTGCCAAGAGATGGACACACTCCTGCTCATGCATTTAACCCATGTTTGAGCAAAGATTGACACTAACAATTGCTTCAACCAAGTAATACATAACAGTAAAATTTTGGTAGATTCCAAAACTATCCTACTGTGCTGCTGGATTAATTTAAGAGTAAAATCAATTAAAATGCTTCTATATACTATTCAGAGCCCTGCCTAGCAAACTTTGGGATTTTTCTACTAATTATATCTAAAGTCACTGTATTATCGGCATTCCATTTTCTCTGGCAGAAAAGAAGCAATAGGCTTTGCTCTCAGCTCATTGCAGCTGAGCCTGCGAGGCTTTAACCTGGAGCCATTTATGCCACTGCCCTGCGGAAACCCCCTCCGGGAGCAAGAACGCAGCGGCCCCGCGCACGGCCTCGAAGGCTCCGCGCTCCTGCGCCCGCCTGCACCGTCCCCCGCCCCGGCCGGGCCCCACCGCAGCTCACCCGGGCCCCCTCCCCGCCATGGTGGCCCCGGCTCTCCCGGAGCAAGGCCCACACCCTGCCCGGCGGCCACCAATGGCCGCGGGGAGGCCTCCGGTCGCTGCCAATGGAGCCACCGCGGGCGGGAAGAGGCGGCGCCTTCCCGCCCCTCCGGCTGGGGCTGTGCCGGCCCAGGCAGCGCCCCCTCCGCGGGGTCCCCGGTACTGCCAGCGCGCCCCTCGCCGGGATACCCGGGCTCTGCCCCGGCCCCCTCTGCGGGTTATTCGGCCGTGCCACGGGCCATGTACTCTTTACCCGACAAGTGCTAATGGTAAAAGAAACTGTCTACAGTGGCAAGAGCACGTGCAGTTAGCCGTCAGTTACAGACAGAATATTTACAAGTTTATAAAGATGCCAAGAAAAACGAGGATGCCAAGGGCAAAGCATGATGTTGTCAGAATGTGATTTTCTGAAGCTTTATGTTGTAATAAAAATCTGACTTAGAAAGCAGCAACTCTACTACACTAAAGATAAAAAGCATATGGTACACTAACTTAGGCACAAATAGTCATGGTCAGTGATAATTAAAAACATTTATAACCTTGTAGAATAGAGCCTTTTGAAACAATATTTTCATGTCACTTAAGTGAAACCACTCTGAAGTCTCCTATAGCTTCTCCCAAAAATTGTAATAGAATGAGCTCCAATTTAAGTCAAATAGATACATGCTGTAGCCAACAACAGATGAGGGAAACAGAATTTTTCTTCTTCACTGGGCTACTGTTTAAAAATAAAATAAAATAAAATAGACAAAAAAAAGGGTGAGTTTTAAAAGCTTCATTTTCTAAAATCTGCATACTGTCACACAGCATTCCAGGATGCCATTCCATTCCATTAAATAACTGAAATATTTTTGCAAACTCACTGAGGCAGCCACTGCTATTCACTGAAATATGTTTTGCCAAACAGGGATTTCTGTAGCAGTCTTTTTGGACAAGCCTGAATGCTATATGAAAGCAAATGATATAGTTTTATCTGAAGATGCAGGTGGATGTTAAAAAAAAAAAAAAAACAGAAAAACAACCAACCAAATTCACCACCACCAATAAAAAGGAACAAAATCCTAGCTTTTCACTAACTTATCCTTAAAATGTTGTCAATAAATTTTGTATAAAGATTTATCATCAGGGCAAACTGTCCCAGCATTAAAATCTAATGTATCTGATACATAAATTTTGACACAGTCTGGCTTAATAGTAGATTTGCCAGACCAACCTTGTCAGAGGCAAAAACAACAAAAGAAACCCCAGACCATTATGTTGATTTTTGACCAAATTTTCTTCTACGTGAATACATAGTTGTTCTCTTTAGATTTATATAGATATTGCCATGGTCCTAGATAGTTTTAAGATGGCTTATTCCAGCTTTTAGAAGCCAATTTTAATTTCACTCTACAAAGATCTTTCAAACAGAATTGTAGTTTTCTACGCAAGACTTTTTCATTACATTACTGACACTTTCTTACAGATTCAGTTGTTCAAGATGAAGTTTAAAATCTGTCCAGGTACCTCTTTTAGTCAGTGTAAATTCACAGGTCACAAATACTGAAATAAAACTTCTATTATAGCTTTTACAATCAAAGCTATATACTTAGAAGGAAATAAGACAGGATTCTAGAAAACTATTAGACATTTTTTGAAGGATAAGAAAAGATCATTCTCCCATAAAGACTTGCACATTCATCAAAACCAAGAGTGACAGAGAGCTCAATTAAAGTAATTTTCTAACAGAAGCTCTCCTGCAAACTGGACTGCATCCTAACTACTAAGCAAGGCATATTGCAGACTGAATCCTACTCTTCGGCAAGCCAGGAGACCCAGAAATTGGAGTCTAACACTGAGCTTCCTATATCCACAGTTTCATGAAAACTTAAAACAGATAATGTCTGACAGTCACAAATGCTAAGACTTGTACAGTTCACTGCTGTTCCTTTCATGCATCACTTCAAGATTGCTTCATATTTGAACAGGAACAATTTTAAATATCAAAATCCTTTCAGAACAAATACTTTTTTTCATTCATTTATACTGTTTATCATCCCCATACTGTTTCCTTAACACACTACCCCAACCCTGTAATTTTTCTTCTTTCATACAAAGCTTGCAAGATTTTTGTTACCTTCTCTGGAATATACCAGAAACACAGACTAAGTCATCTATAAAACAGCATATTGCAGTCTGGTTATTTTCCAATCTGACATGATCAATATGGCTGAGATCACAAATATCAGCACACACCATATCCTATAAAAGGTTAGGTATAGCAGCTTAAGTCCTGGTTGTGTTCCTAAAAGGGCTGTATTTTCAGCATAAGGAATTCAGTATCTACAGATGTATCGGGTTTGTGTGACAAGGTTTGGGGGGGATATACAGGGGTGATTTACATGAGAAGCTGCTGGAAGCTTTCCCCATTCCTGACAGAGCCAATGCCAGCTGGGTAATAAATTAAGCTAAGTTCCCAACTCAAGTCTGGTTTGCCTGTGGTGGTAATTGCTGAATGATCTCTTCCTGTCCTTATGTCAACCTGCAAGCCTTTTATTATATTTTCTCTCGCCTGTCCAGTTGAGGAGTGATGGAGTGGCTTTTGTGGGCACCTGGCATCCAGCCAGAGTCTGCCCACCACAACAAACAAAACATCTGGCAGTGATGGAATATTGAGTCCTTTTAGATTTTTTTAAGGGACTTTTTTTATGATAATTTCTTTTTGAAGAATATATGAGAAAGGCTGAATAAACAGTCTCTCTTAGAGGGCGTGAACTTACAAATGATATTTTTGAGAACTTACTTTCTCAGACTCATTTCCCAAAGCGAAAGAAGAGGTCTACAACGATGCCTCCTCTCCCTTCTCCCTTTGTTGATGCTAAACATTTTTTCCATCATTACCATAAGCTGCCAATGCTGCACAGACCTCTTTTTTTTTTTCTCTTCTGTGGCATAGTCATTGCTATAGGTTTAGGTTATCTGCCTTTTAAAAAAGATTTATGTTCATGAAGAGTCAAGGTGAAAAATCTTCCTGAGTTTGTATGACCTATCAGGCTAGAATGCTTAAGGTGTACAAGGAAGTCTGTAACTAAGAGCATATAAAGGAGTTTAACAAATACTAAAGGTTAATAATTGAATACAGTCAAGTCATTCAGTGGTAAAGGGATAATTTATCATTCCAAAGCTATCTTGGTATATATATGCATAACTCTTTTCAGCAGACAGTAGAATTAATGGCCCCACAAAAGTTTTGGCTGTAAAACACGGAATACAGTTTTGTGCAGAATTCTAAACACTCAAGTACATGAGAAATAAACTTGATAAGCTTCAGTTAGGCAGCGTTAAGGAATAAAAAAAATGTGCATCCTGAGAGGCCTAAAAGAGCTTGTCTCTTTTAATTAATAGCGATTTCTTAATTTTAATTTTTACCAGTTCTCAATTATTAACAGCAAATCTGCCTTTTGCTTTTCTTTGGGGAGACAGGAAGAAAGAGGAAAGAAGGGGAAAAAAAGGAAAGAAAGAGAGGGAAGAAACCCTATAAGTGGCACGGCTGCTACTCGAGAAAACAACAAGAGTTTGCTCACTTCAACTCCGGCCATCCAGCGGCACCTGTCGAACTACCGGCCCCACTCTGCCTCACGGGGCCTCCCGACCGCCGCCGCAACCCTTCCCGCCGCCGCTTTCCCGCCTCGAGATCCCGCCCCGCCCGGCACCTCTCCAGCCCCGCCCCCGGACACGCCCCTGCACGTGCGGCAGCCATTCCCGCCTCGCCGGGAGAAGAACGGCCCCGCCAATCAGCGGTGCTCGCTCGCGCGTAGCGCGCGCGGGTAAGGGCCAATGGGGAGCCAGCGCCTGAGGCGAGGGGTTTGGGGCCGTTAACGGTCGGCAGTTGGTACCGGTCGGTGGGCACCGGCGGACGGGCTGTGGCGCAGCTGGAGTTCGTCACCTTAGCAAGGCATCATGGTGGGAAACGCGATCCTCGCGGCTGGGATGGAGGAAGGACGTTTGGGAGGGCTTCTGCTGTGGCAGTCGGACGAGTTTGTGACTGCAAGTACTGCGGCAGGACTTGCAGGCAGTCTCTGCTTGAAGTCCCCGCGGTAGCACTAAGGCCGAAGGACTGGGGAGAAGGAGGGAAATCAGTGCAAAGGTTAATAGTTCAAGGAAGGCGAGGCACAGAAAGCGATCCGTGGCTAGCCAGGGATATGTGGAAGTGCAAGGGAAGGATGTTCGTAGCGGGCATCTCCCGTGCGGAGGGGCGAGAGGCAGACTGAAACCTGACCCAGGCGGCAGAGGGACAGCGGGAAAGAGCACGGCGGCCACCGGCCGCATTTTTCCGCCATTTCTCGGCTGCCTTGGCGCGCGAAGCCGCAGAGGACGCGGCGCCTGCTCCTGAGGGGGCGGCGGTGAGGGACGGGCGGGCGGCGCGTCCTGGGAGGAGCTGTGTGCTTGGCGCAGCCAATCAGAGGAAGGGGTTGGGAAGGGCCAAGCGGAGGGCGGACCTGCGGGAGTGAGAATGGAAAGAGCTGAGAGTACAGGGCTGGATGCAGCTGTCAAAAAAATGGGAAAGAGCAGCCTAGACACTTTGCTTTTTCTTTTCCAGCTCTGCTTTTTCCTAGATACACTGTAACAGTAAACTAGAATTGCATCTTATTTCCATCTCGGGTGTAAGATAAATTGAGGTATTGGGAGATTAAACATATGTGGCAGTTGCTTAGAATCATAGGAGCTGACTTAAAATGGGCAGATGATATGTGATTGGACTCTTGGAGGATTTCACTTAAGAATATATATGAAAAAAAAATTCAAATTGTCAGGGGCTAGATACCACTATGCTTATTATAAAGAAAAATGTACTGAGTGGTCTTGTGCAGAAAAACAGTTATCCAGTACATGGTTTGGGAACAAGTCAGGGAAATTTGGGGGTATTATATAAAGAATTCTTCCAAAAGCTAAAAGAAGGTGAAAAAGAGACTAGGTTGAATATTAAAGATATATATGCAGCATCGTGAAGGATGATGAATCTTTATTCACCCTATGTGAAAGGGTGAATTACCCTATTCATAGAGTTTAGGTTGCCTTTGGGGTCCTCCAATATTCTCAAAATCAGTGCAGGTCAACTAAGGTGAGTAGTGTCTTGCTAGCAATAGACAACATTTGTTCTCTTAAATTGTCACTTAAGAGAAACCAGAGAATATTGAAGCAGAGAAAGATCATGGAAAAATACAACCCACAGATAGCTAGTTATAATGAGAATAAAATCTAGAAGCAGGTAGCTCCATGTCTTATTATTGTTGTGTTTTAACTTCACAGCGTGAATGCATATCCATCCATGTTGGTCAGGCTGGTGTTCAGATTGGCAATGCATGTTGGGAATTGTATTGTCTTGAACATGGGATCCAGCCTGATGGTCAAGTGCCTAGCGATAATACTATGGGACGTGGAGATGATTCATTTAACACTTTCTTCAGTGAGACAGGAGCTGGTAAACATGTTCCGAGAGCAGTGTTTGTGGACCTAGAGCCAACCGTAGTTGGTATGTACACAGCATTAAAGATCTTCAGTGAAAAAGTGAGGATCCTTTATGGATTCCTTACTGTCTTTTTTTGTCTGTTAAGAACGCTATAGATTTTAAAAGATGTGTGTCTGGATGCTGTTTTGACATTTGAGGTTATTGTTATCTGAAAGAAATTAAATAATGGCCTACAGGTAAGTATTTAGAAAACGACAGAACTTTTCTTTGATCTGGATAATCTTTCCAGACTGCTTTCAGAGTTCTGTGTGATTGTTGTCCAGTATCTTGTCTGTACCTGTAATGTAGTTTTCTGAGTGACCTCCGTGTTCCTTGAGTACACATACTGCTTTGTGTGTGCCTGATGTTTACCCCTAAACAAAGTGGCTGAAGTTGAGCCTAGTCAGACAAGCTGTGTACAGTCAGAGATGCTGTCTGCACTCTTTTGACACACGTACTTAGTGTGTAGTCACACAGAACTGATCAAATTTATGATGTGGTGTTTTGGGCTTTTTTTGTAGATGAAGTACGTACAGGCACATACAGGCAGTTATTCCATCCGGAGCAGCTCATTACTGGGAAAGAAGATGCAGCCAATAATTATGCCAGAGGCCATTATACCATTGGAAAAGAGATTGTTGATCTAGTGCTAGACCGCATTCGCAAACTGGTAGGAATTCATACTGCAAGTTAGTCTTTAAAATAATTGATACAGCTCTATAGCTATATTGATGGTTTTCTGTTTTTTTTTCCATACGAATTTTGTGCATACTTAATTGTTTAAAACAAAATGCAATAAACCTTTTATTTCCTTGCCTGCCCCACCCCCCCTTTAAATAAAAATTCAGCCAGTTAAACCAGGACCTTTCAAGAAAGCTGGTTTTTTTTTATTATAACAATGTAAAACTAACAAACTTATGACAAATGCTTTTGAATTACTGATTTCTCCAAAACCATCACTAACTTTTTTTTCTCCTATTTTTTTTTCCCACTCCATTATAGGCTGATCTATGCACAGGGCTGCAAGGTTTTCTTATCTTTCATAGTTTTGGAGGAGGCACTGGTTCAGGGTTTGCTTCACTGCTTATGGAAAGGCTCTCTGTTGACTATGGCAAGAAATCTAAACTGGAGTTTGCAATTTATCCAGCACCACAAGTTTCCACTGCTGTAGTGGAACCCTACAACTCAATTCTAACTACCCACACAACATTAGAGCATTCAGACTGTGCCTTCATGGTAGATAATGAAGCCATTTATGATATATGTCGTCGTAACCTGGACATTGGCCGTCCTACTTACACAAATTTAAACCGATTAATTGGGCAAATTGTATCATCCATCACAGCCTCACTGCGTTTTGATGGAGCCCTTAATGTAGATCTGACAGAATTTCAAACTAACCTGGTTCCATACCCACGAATCCATTTCCCCTTGGTAACATATGCCCCCATCATCTCTGCTGAAAAAGCGTATCATGAGCAGTTATCTGTGGCTGAAATTACCCACTCTTGCTTTGAACCAGCCAACCAGATGGTCAAATGTGACCCTCGCCATGGCAAGTACATGGCCTGCTGCATGTTATATAGAGGCGATGTTGTGCCCAAGGATGTCAATGCAGCCATTGCCACTATCAAGACTAAACGTACCATTCAGTTTGTGGATTGGTGCCCAACTGGATTCAAGGTATGTAGCTTTTTAAGTTCTCAATATCTGAATGATTAGGAATTGTGTAGTTTTGAGAGGTAACAGTCACGCTAAAATATTGTGATGTCCCTGTTAAATATTTTGATAAAGTCTAAAATAACTCTAAGCTATTTTATTTAATTGTAACTACGGTGATTTTTGATTGTTAATGGAAATGAGCGTTTAAACCTTAGCGCTCCTAAGGAAAGTTTTCATTTGTTGTCTTAAAGGTGGGCATTAACTATCAGCCTCCAACTGTGGTGCCAGGTGCTGACCTTGCCAAGGTGCAGCGGGCTGTGTGTATGCTGAGTAACACAACTGCTATTGCTGAAGCGTGGGCACGGCTTGACCACAAATTTGATCTCATGTATACTAAGCGTGCCTTTGTGCATTGGTATGTTGGGGAAGGGATGGAGGAAGGAGAATTTTCTGAAGCCCGTGAAGATCTAGCTGCCCTTGAGAAAGATTATGAAGAAGTTGGCCTAGACTCAGTAGAAGCAGAGGCTGAAGAAGGAGATGAATATTGAGAAAACTAAAGCCTGGAAAAATTTATTTACCAAAAAAAGAAAAAGAAAAAAAAAAAGGAATTGCAGAACCCTGTTCACTTGTTTTTCAGTAAAGTTTTCAAATGTGTTTTCAAATAAAGTTTTAAAGATTATATCATCTCTGTTTTTTCTTCACTTAATAATGTGTGTATTCACTAAGGAAGGACCATTTGAGATTACAGGTTTTGGTAGCAGATCTGTTATCTGCTTTAAAAGTGTGTTGTGATTTTTACATTCCTACATTCACCTAGTAATGAAAAAAATCTAATGTCCTTTACAAATGAATAGAGCTTTAGAGACATGTGGAAGCAGTGAATTATAGGGCACGTGGCTTGTGTAAAAACTGCTGACCCAGTTGGTGAGAGCATGGTCCCAGTAACACCAAGGTCATGGGTTTGATCCCCATACAAGCCATTTACTTAACAGTTAGCCTGGATCCTTATGGGTCCCTTCCAACTAAGGATATTCTGTGAAATACACTTCCTTTAGTCCTGAATCTGGAAATTGAGACAAAACTTAAGTTTTGCTTGGGGGAGTTTTGTTGGTCTCGATGTGGCTTGTACATTTTGGGTTGTTTTCTTGCCTACATGTTCTTTAAAACCGGGAGAGAGAAAAGGGGCAACATAAACTAAAGATACCAGAAGTGATTTTTTTTTTTCCCCCCAGAAGTATTTGTAACTAATATCCGTGGAGCATGCAGTGTATGCAGAGCATATGGAATTATGAAGAAAGAACTGCTGCATTTAAATACAAAGAAGTATTTATGTTTGTATCTGGGAGACTGAAAGACCCCAGGCCTCAGCAGCCTGAAAGGTTACGTTCGCTGATTGTCGGCGGCAGCTGCTCCGATCCGCGCCCGCGGAAAATCCGCTCCGCACACGCACCTCCGCCCCAAACACTCGAAAGTGAGGTCTACTTCGGAGCCGCCGTTCCCAGTCCTGTCTTAGCGCAATGATCGCTTCCAACTTACCCTCCCACTCGGGAGTTCCCGCAGTGCACGGCGCTGCTCTGCCACGGCAGAGCATGCCCGGGAGTGCTCACACAGTAACGGAGCCACACGAAGGCCACAAAATCCCTCGTGCCACGCTACCTGCCCCAGGGGAGCCGAACGCTGCCGGCGGAGCCGGGCCCCGCAGCCCGCCAGGGGAAGTGTCTCTGCCCGCTCAGCCGCCGCGGAAGTGCAGGCGCCGCCCCGAGAGGCCTTCGGCGCGCACTCCGCTGCTGCGGTACCATGGTGCAGCTTTACAACTTGCACCCGTTCGGGTCGCAGCGAGTAGTGCCCTGTAAGCAGGAGCCGGCACACTTCTGCTGCGGCCAGGACGTGCTGTTCGTGGCCAGCACGGCGGCCAGCTGCAGAGTGGAGGTGTTCGCCATGCACGACCAGGGCCGCTGCGAGCCCCTGGGCTCCTTCGCCACGCTGGGGCCCGTGCTGCGCATGGCGCACAGCTCGGCAGGTCAGTCCCGGCGGCGCCGGCTCCGGGGGTGCTCGTCTGGGGAGGCTGGGACGTGTCCGGCTCGAGTGCGCAAACAGGCCCTGGGCCTCCGCCGGGCGAGGGGGAGCCGGGCCAGGAGTGGAGGCTGGCGTGCGGCCCCCCTCGGGGCCTGGCGCTCCCACCCGCTCCTCCCTCAGGCTCCGTCCGAGGCAGGGGTCGGCTTGGGCGCGGCGGCTGGAGCGGGTTGGCCCGCGGGCCGGGCCCGAGGAGGGCGCGGGCCGCGTCTCCCTTGTGTTCACCGTCTGCGTCCGCCCAGAGTAGAGTCAGTACTCCCTCCCCTGCTTTTGTTCTACTGGGTTTTTGTTTTCAGAGCACGGGGTGGGTGATCGTTCCAGCCAGTCCCACAGCTCTTCATGAGTCTGTTTGCTGCTTTCTGTGGTTTGTAGATAATAAAACGGGACTGGGGACGCAGGTTGGGGGTAGGAAGGGGACCTTGTCTGCAAATACAGCTCATACAGCAGATTCACTTACGAGTTATTCTGGACCTAGATGTATGAGTCCTTTTTTTTTAGTGGTATGTTAAATGTGTGCAACCCAGCAAAAAAACTTGCACTTTGTATTTAATTAGAGAAAAATTGGTGAAGACTGGTTTGGGAATTTTATGGATGAGTTGAGACTTTTAAGATGTTCTTTGTAATGAACTACAGAAGCTAAAGAGCTCAAAAATTGTCATCTATTCTGTAATGATGTATTTCTTTTAAGGAGACTACCTGGTGACAATTGAAGAAAAAAGCAAAGCAACTTTCCTAAGAGCATATACGAACTGGAGATGTATGTCTGCAGGGAGCTCTCGTGTGTGTGTTCGGATGGTTGGTCACAAGATGGAAGAGTCATATAGTGAAACCTGGAAAGAACAGATGTCAGTTGTTGAAATGCCACTTTCAGACCCTCCACTGTGCATTTCATGTTGTCCTGTAAATGGAGATCTTCTTGTGGGCTGCAAGAATAAATTAGTCATATTCTGTTTGAAATACCTGGTCATAAACCAGAATTTGACTGTGTTAGATTTTGAACGCTCCTTAATTTTGCACATTGATAATCTCATTCCTGCTGAAGTTGCATTTTGTGCCAGACATATAGCCATAACAACAGAGCTGGATGTTCTAATCCTGAAACTGGAACTGGTCCAGCAAAGTGCAGACAGGACAGAGCAATGTGCTCAGGGAGTCAGCGCACCAGAAAAGACTGTGGATGGAGGTAAGTGCAGAAATAATTTTTTTTTTTTTTTTTGTATCTTTAAGAATCTGCTCACTGATTCCTGTTATTCTGAAAGTAGGCTCAAACAAGGTCTTTGCCCTTCGGCAAATATTTCTAGATCGTCCTGTGACTGTCAGCAGAATGTTCTAGGGCATGGAAAGTTGTACCAACCCTGCAGTTGGAGGTAACAATTGAAACAAATATGCCATCATTCTGCACACTTTCAGGATAGCCTCTACAGATAGAGAATTAGGTTGCTGTTTCGGCATGCTACCATGGGCCAAACTAAAGTGTTCTTTACTAAAGTAAAGTAGTTCAGTGTGCTATGTTCAGAAAATTTATTCTGTCAGTGTCACTGCCTAAATAACTGGCTTACACATTTAAGAATGTTTCTGTGGCAATGCCTGTGTACTTTTGTAACTGTTAGTAGGCTCAGACCTGCATAATCAAGCAAATTCTCCTTTTTCAGTCCTTTTTCTTATTCGAGGCCTTTCCTTAAAATCCTAGATATCCCAGAAGTACATGCAGGTGGTAGGTTTCATTCCTGTGTATTGCAAGACATCAGTCCATACATAATCAAGTATCAGTTCCCACCTTTCAAAAGTATATGTATCAGGTGAACAACAACAAACTTTAGGAAAGTTTATAATTTGCTTATAATTAAACTTAGAATGATGGTCTTGTAGAAATGGAAACTGCACCTACAGAAAGATTTAAAGGTAAATAAGACTTGTCACAGGGAAAATATAAAAGGAATGTTCTTCACTGAGTGAAGATGGAACTTTTCTCAGATCATGTAGTTGTTTTTATTACTAAAAACTAGACAGAAAAGTTCCAGTTTCTTCCCGAGTGTTGTTAGGATTTGCTTTCCAGAACTTAAGTTTAAGAGAGCACAACTTCCTGTCATTGCTGCCTTTTTGTTCTCAAAACCCCTCCAGCCAAAAGACAACAGTTTTTGATGACCAACCATTTGCAGCACAAGTTGCTTTGGACTTGCTTTCTAATGAACAGTCTACATGAGGTTTTTTTCAGAAATCTTGACTTCTGGGTATTCAGACTGCTGAGGCTTAATTAAGGAATAGTTCTTCTAGCATGGCTGTTTTCAAAATCTGATGGTTTGAGGAAGCAAACCCTAGCTATGTAGCTGTAATTGGAGTATTTAATTGATACTGTGTCATACCAATTTCTTACTGCTGAATGGAATGGTTTGAACAATTAAGATAACATTTTCATTGTTCAGGTGTGAAAGATGAAAGCCCTTCAACACATACTTTGCAGCTTGAATTAGATGAGTTCATCATATGCCAGAAGCCAGTGGAACTGCTTGGGGAAGAAAGTAAGCTATGTGAGATACCCATCACATTGGAATCCACAGAGTTACCTACTGAGGAGACAAAGTGCTTCCAAGTGCAGTATCTGCTTTTCAGGTATTACAAATGTATTTTCCCCCTTTATGAGTTAATTTACTACAAGAAATCAAAATGAGTTGTGGATTATGTCTTTCTGAAAGAAAACTGATATTTTTAACTTTTGGGGATTTTTTAAGGGTTAGGGTTTCTTTTGAACTGAGGAAATAATGGGATACCAAAGAAAGCCCTTTATTAAATATATTGGGATATTTCACTTGGAAGGGATCTGCAACAATCATCTAGTCCAGCTGCCTGACCACTTCTGAGCTACTGTGAAAGCATAGTACTAAAGGCACAGTCCATATGCCTCTTAAATAATTCACAGGCCTGGGGCATTGACCACCTCTCTAGGAAGCATGTTCCAGTGTTTCACCATTCTCTTGGTAAGGAAATGCTTCCTCATGTCAAACCTGAAACTCCCCTGGCGCAGCTTTGAGTCCTCCCAGGTGTCCTGTCCCAGGGAGAAGAGCTCAGCATCTCCCTCTCCACGTCCCCTTCTCAGGAAGCTGATTTAGTCTTCCTCTTTTATCAGCATTTTTATCAAAGACCGAGGAAGAATTAATGTCGCAGTCCAGCAGTGAATTCCAAAGCAAAGTAGGGAAAAAGATGACACGTAATAGGAAAGAAAAACAGGATTGGAGATGACATGATGTTACATACAGCTCAGTAGAATAAAAAGGGAGAAAAAAAAGGTTAAATTGAGGTCCAAATCAATTGCAACATATCTTCCAATGATCTCAGACTTTGACATGCATCTTGCAGACAAGCAAAGAAAGAGGATTTTGGCTGCAGGAACTCAAGATAGTTGTATGTAGCTGTGCCCCGTGCTGCTTGGCATTGCTATGCTAATGACATTGGTAATAGGAGTGTGAATTGTTGTTGAGTGTTAAAACATGAACCATGCCTGTTATAACCAGTGCCATTTCTTTGTCCAAAGTAGATCATCATAATCTCTCACTGTGGTCTCGTGTTGTTGTTTTGGATTTTTTTCTCTAGACATTTTACACCTGACCAGTCGCCTTTTGGGTTTTGTGAAGAGACAAAGTTGCACTCTGTTCAGCTGCTCCCTATATATCAGACAGGTACATGGCTACATGACTGTGAAAGGAAAAAGCTTCGTTCTGTATCCTGTTTTGTACACTGTTTCTGGATTATTTGTTTTTCAAATTGACATCTTTCCTCCCTTTTCCATGATTTTAAACTGAGCTTCTGTTAACAAAAAAGTCTTTAAATTTCTCCAAGTTCCGCATAAACCTTGAACTAAAATACCAATTCATCACACCAAATGAGGAAGACTAAATCAGCTTATATCAGTTCTCTGCTGATTAATTTTGTGTTGCAAAACAGTCACTCTTTACATTGCACTAATAAAATTATCCTCAGTGTTTTAAGATATTAGACTGCTACTCATTAGCCCACAGAGGAAATCAGGGTAGTAAACCTTAATAATCACTAAGATACAGGTTACCTTTCTGACAGGCTTTAATTAAAACTGGAAAGGGAGAGGTGAATGCAAATTTTAGGGGTTCACTAGCTCAAGCCCCAGAAGACTCATGGAAGAATTTAATGCTGTATGTTAGCAGTCGGATTTCATAGAATCATAGAATATGCTAAAGTTGGAAGGGATCCATGGGGGTCATTGAATCCAATTCCTGGCTCTGCACAGACACCCTGACAATCCTACCCTGTCCCTGAGAGCGTTGTCCAACCACTCCTAGAGCTCTGGCAGCCTTGGGACCATGCCCACTGCCCTGGGGAGCCTGGTTAATGCCCCACCACCCTCTGGGGGAAGAATCTTTTCCTGATGTTCGACCTAAACCTCCCCTGACACAACTTCAGGTCATTCCCTCAGGAACTGCATGGAGACTGCTGTTAGGTCTCCCATCACACTCCTCCAGGCTGAACAAAGCAAGTAACCTCAGCCACTCCTTGTATGGCTTCCCCTCTAGGCTTTCACCATCTTAGTAGCTCTCCCTTGGTCTCTCTCTAATAACTTCATATAGTTCTTTTTATTAGCTACTAACAAAACCAGTCTGCAACTTGGACAGGTTTGATAGTATCTTTTAGGCATCAGGCTTGCAATGGAATTGCCAGGTTTGGATTTATGAAGTATGTAAAATGTCTTTCTTATTGTTACATCTAGGAAGTTCTGTGACAGCCTATGAGGAAACTGAGAACAAGAGAGAACTACTGAGTCTCTTTTGCTTTTTCTCTTTACCTCATGTTGGATATCTCTACTCTCTTGGGAAGCTAGTAGAAGTAATTTCTACTTACCAGTATTCAGAGAAGTCCGAGCAGGCAGTCCTTACTCCACAGTTCCTACATGTCATTACAAGGTACTAAGTTTATGATTTTGCTGATACTATTACTGTGTTTCTCTATGCTACTGCCCTTTTTTTTTTTTTTTCCCCCTCTGATACATCCTTCATAGTCTCCTGGAAATCTCTGGGCAGGCTCATATGTTAGTCCAGTGGGCCCTCCTGCTTAGGCTTCGAAGCCCATTTCTTCAAAGCAAAAAGAGGTGATTCTCTGTAGTCTTGGCTACTTGATTTTTGCAAGTCTCAATTTCTTTCCTTCATCGTTGCATTTTCATCTTTCCCTCTAGTGAGAACCTGCAGTGTTTCACAGTGCGATGCAGTGCAGCAGCAGCTCGTGATGAGGATCCCTACATTGATACAACTGTGAAGGTGCATCTCTCGTTATCTCACTAAAACTATTGGAGTAGTGGTATGGCACTTAGTTGACTTATTTTCCGTTTGAAATTTTGTTAGTTTCTATTGGATGAATAAAATAACATCCAAAATTAATATTTTACTTCAATCTATGGAGTATTGTATTTTGATGGTCTACAGATGTCTCAATGAAACAATCTCTTGTTGCCGTCTTAAATTCTAGACTGTGAGTAGAATGTGTTCAAAAAAACTATAAAATCACTTCTGTTTTAAGCTAAATTCCATGCTTTTCTGTAGAAAACTGAATGAAGGGTGCAGAGTTTTCCGTTATTGTAGCTGATGATGTTTCTCTCTCTCAGGTGCCCTTGAAAAAACAGATTTTGTAGGAGGAGTGTAGACAATCAAACAAGTCTGCTACCACATACTTACAGCATGCTTTTTAGGAGGAGGGCTTTTGATCCTTGGAGGTCTAAACTTTCCCCCTTCCTTAAATGGCTTATCAGTAAAAATCTATTGAATTGTAAAGGTTCCGATATACATTAATAGGCGTAGTAGATTGAAGTGTGTTTTATGTTAGCATTTAAGGATTTCTGTTGAGCATGCGGACAGCGGACATAAAGATACCATAGGACAGTAGAAGTTTTATAAAATTTTCAAGAGTCAAACACATATTCTCTGCTCTTTACAGAGGTACTAGATAACCGATACAAACATGTGACACAATCTGTCCTGTCTATTCTCCAGTCTCAGCTTTCTGTGTTTTCACCATGGGTTACATTAAAGTCCATCACAATTCCTCCAGTCAGCCAAATGCTGCCTCCTGCCTCCAGAGGAGGTTTGGAGGCGTGTGCAGGCTGCTGTCCCGCACAGATGTCTTTGCTGCAGCTTGCTGTCCAGAGGCTGCAGATCCTCCATGGGCTCCAGTCCCACAGGGCTATAGGAGTTTGAAGTGTGAGGATGATGATGGTTATTTTTATTATTTGCTATTATTATTTTTCCTGCTTGTTTTTTACACCAGTTTAAGAGCTGCCTGGTTCTGGTTCTGACTAGCCCAGGGCAGTTCAGAGTCTCTAGGTCATGCCTGCAGGCCTCCACCTCTTACAAGAAACGTTGAGGTGTCTTCAAAAATCAGGTTACTCATATAATACTGTGTTGCCTTGCTTCACTGTGTATGTTAATTTGTAAATGTAGTATTTTATCTATTTAAAGTGGTAAATTTAAAATATTTCTGTGCAAATGAGGTTGCGTTTTTCAATTTTTAGTCCAGTGTGATAGGGTAAGTTTTTCCTGAAAGGTGCATATTGAACAAATTGGAGATATAATATGGAGTACGTCATTTAACAATAGACAAGCAAATATAATACTTCTGTCTGTAATTGCTTTTTATAAGCAACTGAAATCAAGACTTTTATAACCAGGCAGTCTTTTACAACTTGGCCAAATTCAGACTATTTGGGATTAGGTTTTCCACATTAGACATCTGGCTCAGCCTGCATTATTTTAAGACACACAGCTAAAACTGTAGTTGCTTTGAAGAGGGAAATGATTTTTTTTTTCTTTTACTCATTGTTAAATGTTTCTTGTCATGCTTTTATAAGTATTTTTATTCTTGTTTAAGTGAAGCACTCCAAATTAGAAAAAGCCAAGGAATGTTTTTAATGTCAGATCATTGTACAAAGGTTACTTTTTTCCCTGATTTATTTAAAGACTCAAAGTATGTACTAACTGAAATGACAAAACAATCTCTTTCCTTTATAGGCTTGTCCACCTGTCACACTGGATGTCTGCACATTAAGAATGCAGCTTTTTATAGGACCAAGAGCTATCTGTCATTTCAAAAACCATATAATTCTTTTGACAAAGGCAGACACAGAAGATATTACTGAAAGGAGAAAGCCTACAAGAAGGATGCTGTAAGGATTTGTGTCTTTTAGAGAGATGGTACTTACAGCTCTGGGTACAGTGCTGAATTTGTGGGTACTGCAGTGGGAGTAGTTCCTCTGTGGAAAAACTGTTTGAAAAGAATTCCATTCTTAGTGAATGAGAACAGAAATCAAACTTTTTTTTTTTAAATTCTGTTGTATTAACTGATGCAGAAGAAATGAGAGTAGGATCATAGATGCTTGAAATCAACAAAATGTTAAAATAACATTACTAAGAACTTAGCCAGCGAAGAAAAAAATATTTATCTTGAGAAACTAAAGTACTATGTAGAGTACCAAAGCTACAGGTTACAAAATGTGCTGTAGCACAAAATGAAAATGTCTTATCTTTGGGGTTCTTTACAAGAAAAGTTATGAACATCGCAACAGTTATCCATGACAAAAGTTGGATCAAACTTTGGCCCAAGTTACTTTTGTAGCATGTAAGTAGCCAGAGGCATATGTGACTTTTTATCAATTTCCATGGGAACTGCTATCCCCCTTATTTTTTGTGGGCTTTTCATAAAACATATAAGGAGCTATTCTAAACAGCTATTCGGGAACCACATTTCTTAAAGTCAGTTCAAGTTAATTAACAAGAGTGGGACAGCTATAGTTGATTGAAGCAGTTATTTGAACCAGTATTTCTTAAAGCCTAGAGCAGACATTATTCAGGAGAAGATAAGGATAAGCCTATCAGGGAGAATGCCTATTCAAAATACTGTCGTTTTTTGGAATAAAGCACATTTTCTTCTGACAATTGTGTTGTTTCAAATATTCTAATTGGCATTTGAGGAAGATACTCTTTATGCCTTCTGTAAAGGACACGAGTTGAACAAATAGTAGGCTACTTAGTACCATAATTTGAAAATAAAGATGTAAATATCCCAGAACAGTTAAAAACCAAAAAGAAGAACAAAAAGAGTCTGTGTTTTCCTGTGGTGTTTTTTTGGGCATATCAAACCTAACCAACATGTGAGTAAAAGCATTCTGGTATTTCTTTACACAATGTCTTGGCAAACACTTTGATAAAACTGCGGGGGCAAACGTGCATTAAGTCCTTACAGAATGAACGTAAACACCTTAGCTAATTTAAAGTACTTAAATATTCAAGGTCAGGTTGGATGGGGCCCTGGGCAGTCTGACCTGTCCCATGCTCATGACAGGGGGGTTGGAACTAGATGATCTTTAAAAGGTCCCTTCCAAGCTAAGCCATTTGATGATTCTGTGATCCCTGTAAGTATCTGATACTACCTGGTGTAAAACACCAGAGAAGATGTAGTATACAGTTCTGATGATGTTCCCGGTGTGTGAACATGCCTATCCCCATTTTGTTATTAGCTGTTCTGACTCAAATTCACAGTTAAAGTCTCCAACATTCACTTGTCTGCAAACATACCTATTTATGCATTTGAATTATCAAATGAATGGTGGTGTTTTGGCTGCATAGTGTTTATTTCAACATTGACAACTCAATTTTTTTCCTCCTCTAGTTCCAGAAAGGCTGACAGCATCAAATCCAGAACAAATTCTGAGTCAGAGCCTGGTTGGAATTTATATATTATAAACACTGTTTCAACCATTCAGCTTTACAGAGAAATGGTATTGCCCGACTCCTGCTTTTGTTGCTTGCTAACTAAAATAAGTACTGTTAATTAATCTCCGATGCATGCCATTGCTGAATATAATGTAATGTATTTCTCATGTATAGCACATAATCCTGTTTCAAATGGCTTTCCTCATTAGAATTGCTCCTGTATATTCTTAATTTTTGCCAGTAGCTCAAGTATATCCTGTGTCTGTTCTAGGTAGATTATAGTAGAACTTATGAAAATGTTAAAACTGAGAGCTGCATCCATCTTTTAAGTGAGGCTCACTTACTGATCCGAGCAGCTATAATGGACCCTCACTTCCTTAAATCAGATGAGAAAGAAGAACTTCTAAGAGCGTTCAGAGAAAGTTGTGCATTCTTAGGAGACTGCTACAGCAGGTATGTTTTACATGTTGAGGTGGTATAGGTGAGCTGTGTTTCCAATAATGTAACCTTAAAATGAAAATCCGTAATTCTTTGCTGGTTTACATTAGTATTACATATGTAATGTAAGTCTCTCTTTTACAAAAACAGCTTGATCTGGTCAGTCTGGTTGTCTTTATTGTCATTAAACACAGAATGCAACCATTATGTGAATATGAACTATGAACATGCAGATAACTGACGTGTCTGACTTTGTTTGATGTATTGTTTTAGTTCTTACCAAGAGTGATGGCAAAAGTGTTGCCCTTAGTTTTTTTGTTATTTTTTTTTCCTTCCTCTCTGTTGTCTACAGGTTTGACACTAAGGATTACCACCTTGCTTTGCCATACTACAGAATGTCAGGCTTATCCATGACTGAGGTTTTAAAGAGACTGGTTTCAGAAGGTGATGAAACACAGACATATGAGAAAGGATTCATATTTTACTTAACTCACTCTCTTAATGAAGACTTGAATGAAGAATTAAGCAAGGTAGAAACAAGTTGTTTTTTCTGTAATCTGTTTAGTTCTGATTTTAAGAACTGTGTATCAAATTTTAATCAAATTCCCATTGACAATGATGAGCTGCTTATTTAGTTTTACAGTTATTCTTGTTCACATTATTTTTATTTTCCCATTTTCACTGAAAAAATAGCAAGCAGCACTTGTGATGCTCTGGCCTACTTTCAAGCTACGTATTATGGGTTTGGCTATCATGATGCATGTTGCTAGTGATCTGTTTCCCACTTGCACACAGAGACACTTCTGTTTTAGGAAAGCTCTGCCTCAGATTTCTTTCATCTCCCATTTCTGTAGCAAAACAAACTGTTTCTTTGAACATTGCCAAATTGTAGAGGTTGGTAAAAACAATTCACTGTGGGGTTCTAGCTAGCACCCCAGAATATGGGTTGAATCACTACCAGTTAGTGATCCTTTATTTTTATTAGTAGGGAGGAGAGAGGCAGGAGAGGCACTGTGATTTGATAGCTAAGCTGTACTTGTCTGTTTAAAAAAAAACAAACTCAAAACCAAAACAACCACAAAACTGCACTACTTTCATATGCCATAGTAGACTTTATATCTGAAAAGGTCTAAACTGTCAAATGGCTTTTATTTCAATAGGAATCAGGAAATAAAGTTCTCCAGATATTCTATCTCGCTGACCCCGTGCAGCTGCCTCAAATCCTTTGCAGCCCCTGCATGAGAAATGTATGTCCTTTGACAGCTGTGAAGTATCTTCAGAAAGTAGAAAAGATGATGCCATCAGTGGTCCTGACGCTTACTAAGGCTTATCTGGCTCTGAAAATGGGAGACCTGATAATGTATGAACATGAGATGGACTCCTATAATGAGGTAAAGTATGCTGAGAGCATGAGCTATTCACACTTTGCCAAAGCCCACATCAGTCGTTTGATTTGTACTTGCACTTTACAGTAAAAGAAACTTTCAGTCACTCCTCTTCCTCCTGATGTGCTATGTAGGCTCCACTGAATGTGTGCAATGGCAGTAAAATGGAGGGCTGGCACACACTGGGACTATACAGTTTACCCTGCAGGTAGGGTAATCTTGTCTTGGCAAAGCCTTACCAAATAAGTAAAAGTTCTGAAGCTCTTAATTCTTGATAAATTAAATGCTGTTTACTGGGAGGTAACAAGCTCTGCAGAGCCAGTGCTCTTCAGCTGCCTGGCCTGTATAGCAGTATAGGGTTGTATAGTAGCGTTTCTACAGCCCTACACCTGAAATTAACATGTGATACACCCATGAAAACACCATCTCTATGCAAACAGTTGTTATAAAATTGCTCTTCAAGCAGTATATTTGTCCATTGTGCACACAAACTGAAATTTCTGTATACAGTTTCACACGTTTCTTATGTGGAATCAAAGCACTTAACCCTTACTAAGACCAGATCAGAATCTACTTCAGTGCTATCAAAATATGAATTCCTCATCAGTGTATGTGGGGGAAACCTTAGTGGAGCTGTCTCTGCCATAGATGTTCACATGTGATTTTAGACTGAGATCAGTCTGTAAATTACTTCTTGGTAAGGTTGATCAGAACTGTGGAATATTCAAAGGTGACAGAGCTTGAAATACAGACTTTTCTTAGAGTGAGATGTTTGGAAGTCTAAAAAACTTTTGAAATAAATGGATAGCTGTTCCAAAGTTAGATACTATGCTTTGTTGAAAGAAGTCCTGGAGAGCTTTTAAAATCAGAAGTTTTTAAATTGCAAGGTGGGAACTGTGGGGAGCTCTTTCAAAAATTATATTCAGTATCATCTGCTTTTGCCGTGTGATCAAATGAAATTGCCATGTTGTGAGCAAACATACACATTCCACTGCATGGTTGTTATTTACAGAATAGAATAGAAATTATTTACAGAAGGTGCCTGAGATATGGGTGTTGGGTTGTTTGGTTGCATTTTCTTTCTTTTTAATCTGATCTATTAAATATGTTTTATTGCAGTTCATCTTTAAAAAAGCATTTTGTTTCAAAGTAGAAAAAACTCACACTTTTAGAAAACTAAAGAAAGAAAAATAGTTTGTATTCATAGCAGGGTGAAATCTGAATTTTCCTCCTAGGTCTGCCTTAATATTTGTGTCATTAATTTAATTTCCTTAGGCATCATTTCTCCACTGTCTTTAAAGTGGCAATAGCACCTTGTGATGGTTACCTTTGAAAGCACTCACATACCCAGAAACAACTTACTGTTGCACAAAGCGCAGCACATTTTGATCACTGTTTCTGGGGTATTTTCAAAATAAAAATCACACTTTAGCAAAGTAATCTACTGAAATTTAGCAAAGTAGTCCATTGGAAATTCAGCCAGTGATTTTTCAAAGCACTGTGTGTATTGAATGTCTTGGATTTCTTCGCAAAGTCCAACTTTCTTATGTGCACAGTAACTTCAGCTTTTATCAGCATGTTACTTTCAGTGTTCAAGCACAAGGCCTATTGTTTTGGAGTGTTCATGCAGTTTGGAGCTTAGTTTCTGAAGAGTTACTCTATGAAAAAGGATTTATTTTCTTCCCCTGAGTTTCCTTCATTTCTTCTCAGAAAATATTGAGTTTATTGGGTTGAATCATGCATATATTGAATTCCTTACCTGATTTATATCTGATTATGTTTGTAGACAATACTGGCTTGTGGCTTCATTGGGCAACCGCGACTCTTGAGGCAGTGTAAGGGAGGAATTGTTATGCCAACTGAGTTTGCTGTTCACCTGAAGGAGATGCAGCCTGGTTTACTCGTGGCTGCCACTGTGGCTTTACATGAGAACAGTAAAATTGAATTGGAAGAAGCAGCTACCTTTTTCAAGGTGATCATTTTTTTGCTTCTGTTTTTTTCATAGTGATGTTGCTGTTGGTAAGAAAAGCAGACTCAGCTGCTCCTTCACTCTGAAGAAATTTCAGCATTTGTTCAGAAAGAGGGTTATATTCCAGTCATGATAGATGATTAGAGAGTCAGAAACTGGACCTTCTGGAAAGAAATATTGGTTAAATGAAACAAAAACAAAAAAAAATCCATTAAGTTCTTTGTTTTTACCCTGTCATTTGAATAGAGAATATTCTGATCTCAGTGGTCTTTCAATTGCTTCCTAGTGACTGAGCTTCCTAAGGCTAATGAAATTTAACAGAATTTAGATAAATTAATTCCATAAGCTCCTTTTAAAGAAGACATTGGGATTAAAAGATAGTTCCAGACAATCAGACTTTAAATATGAAGGTATATAATGTTCTGATGTTCTGTATAAATTCCTGAAAGAAAAGTGTGTCTCTGCAGTTTATGAGAAGAAATATTAATAGAATAGCTTTTTTAGCATCCCTGAAGTTTGCTTTCTTTCAGCTGGGAATAGACAAACCTTTTTTTTTTTTTTTCTCTACAATTAATAACTTAATTGGGTTAAAACATGTTCTTTAATGTAGGCATGTTGCAGTCTTACTGTACCTGTTACTGTGAAAGATCCGTATCAAAAATAGCAAGTCATAAAGTTCAAATTGGAACAGATGTGTTGTTTAAAACCATTTGGAAACCAAGTAAAAGTCCTTTTTGCTGACACAGCACACCTTAAAACATCTCCCTTGTGGGTCCTGCCATGATACCCACCTGAGCTACACAGCATCTCTCATCATGGCCTCTATAGTCCTCTTTTGAAGACACCTGCTTGGCTATTGGCATATATAAAATCCTCCAAATTAGCAGTCTGTAAATATTTGCTGACGGTGGTGGTGACATTTCTGGCAGTGGAGTAAATCTTGAAGAAGAAATAAAATCTCTTGATTAGAATTGATTACCTTAAAATCATTCTATGAACTTTTTATTTTGCCTAGCAGTGTATTATGTAGAATATCTAATTTCTAATAATCACCATAGTCTGTGTTAACTTGCTGTCTTCTGTCATTTTTGTTCTTAGATGTTGTGTAGTCATAGTGAAAACACTATTCCTCAGCTCTTGGTGGATTTCTGGGAAGCTCTCCTTGTAGTGTGCTCTCAGGAAGAAATACTTCAGGAGCTCTTATTGAGGGTTACTTCTCAGTATGTTTGGAGGATATCAAAGAAGCAACTTCCTGAGACTAAGCCATTGAAAACAACAGACGATCTGGTAAGTGGTAAACCACTCAGAGGAGGTTTTAGGACAGAGGAGGTTTTAGTGTTCCTCCAAAATCTGTCCAAATACCATTCTTAGTATTTTAATTCTGGACAGTTTATCTGTTAAAAGAAGTAAGACTGAAAGCAAATAAGGTAGTGTGCAGTTACAGACCGGTATTGCTAGCTCTGGGCAGTCCTGCTCCTTGGGGACATTTGCAAATATACTTCCAACAGGAATCTCAGCTCTGGATAGAAGTAGGGGCTAAAATGAAAAATGCGAAAGTGTCAGGTGGAGTGTTTGCAATTTTACAAAGCTTACTGAATGAGAAAATTGTGTGAATGATGAATTTTAAAGAATTATGAATAGGGAAGCTGAAATACAGAACTGAATAAAAGCTTCCAGTTCATTTGTTACTAAATTGCATGAACCAGAAGAAAAGAGTAGCTGCTCTTCTAAATTACACTATTTGAGATTAAAATTTTCTTCACTTGTGGTGAGTTTCACATGGAACCGTCACTAATAAAAATGTTTCTTTTATTGCAATTTTATTCTTTCTTGCACAGATAAACTCCTGTAATCATTTTGGGTTGATTTTCCCATGGGTGACTTCCATAATGTCAGTGGGATGTTCATCTGATAAAGTTTACGATGAAGACATCTCAAGACTACAGGTATGAAACAGGTATTGACTCTTACTGCTTACAACTTAAGAGTCATTCTGCAAATATTCATGTATGTATTAACAACTTCCTCCAGCAGACTCTTCTCCTCCTTCCCCCCCTAGTTATCCAAGGTGAAATAAAAGGCCAATTGAAATGATGGAAGAAAAAAATACTGAAGAGATCTGTTGATAACAATAATATTTACATTTGCCTCCTCCCTAAACTTGTTTTCTCAATTTTTAGCAACATTTATTAAGGGAAGTATTATTTTAGAATTATTCCAACAAGTAACAGCTTCTGTTCTAAGATATAGTTAGCATTTTTCGCAAAGTTTGTCTTGAATTTGAACAATACTTTTTGTTCTTCTCTTCAGTCTCTTTTATGTAGTCAGTCAATCAATGTAGCTTCAGCTCTGCCTGTCCTGGAGGCCCTGCCAGAGGCTGACAATGTCGGCCTAACCATCCGTGTTCTCTGCAATACCCGTCTAGGCAAGTATGAGGAAGCCATTGACCAGCTCCTCCTGAGGTGTCCTGATGCAGCTGTGCTCTATGCTCAGCACGAGCTGAAAGGTGACAAGCAGGTGTGCTACTTTCATTAAAGTTGTTCCCTGTCTTTTAGGGGTTTTTTTGGTAACTAAAATGCTGTTATGTTCAGCTGGGCTCTGGATGGATCACATAGCCCAGCTTCCAGACAAAGTAAATGGCTTAGCTTGCACTGAACCTATTGCTTGGTGTTTTAACTCAGTCCCCACTGATTTTAATGGAATATTTTTTCCTCCAGTTTCTTCTGTCACTTAATGTATTCATTATAGTAAATTTAAAGCATCGTCTTTTCAGGTGGCAGACTGCCTCAGAAAAGGGAGAGTAATATGGGGGGTTTTCCACTGTAAATGAAAAACTACCTTGTTTCTCACTAATTGGTGTTCTAAATTGACAGTGTTTATAGGTGAAGTCTTACTGATAAGCTAATAGGAGAACATGCTCCTTCAAATAAAATTAGACTTAAATAATGTTCTTCCTGTGTTCTAGTGACATCTTCTGACCTTACAACATCAGACTGGTACTGATGCTCTAGTGGAAAGATTGTCTTTATGTCTCATTTTCTCTTTAGGCTTCTATACAGTTTTAATGTTGAAACGTATTATGTGAGTGTTCGAGGAGTACAGGAGTTTACTCCCATTGCCAATCACAGCTGCTCAATTAATTGTACACAGCTTTACTGACCAGAGTCAGTAAAGATGATCCTCTACTAGATGGATGTACTAGAACTCTGTTCAAAACCTGATCTAACTTTTTACTCAGATCTGAAGCTAGTTTCTTTGATTGTTTCCACATTAGAGTTGAACATGAGGTTGCAGTACTGCATCTGAGTGCAGGTGAAAGAAAAGTTCTCAAGTTTAAAGAAGGAGGAAAGAAGTCCCTTCCCTTCACTCCATTCTTATCAACAAAATCGTACACAAAACCTAATTCACTGCTACAGCTGTTGGGAGTAGACAGATGAGGTCAGGAGACAGAGCAATGTTCTTATAGTAATGCTGTTCACCACTTTGCATGGAGCTGTTTAGAGGGAAAAAAATAAATTCTCTGACATCAGTCTTGCTAGTGACTTTTGTCTTCTAAACTTGTCTATAGAGGTATAAGGGGCACTGTGTGAAGATTTTTGAGCAGAGAAAGGTTGCACTTAAGATGGAAAAATACAATACATGCAAAATCACTGCATTTCTGGCATTAACTTCATTGTGACTGACCTGTATTTTTAGCAGCTCTTTCATACCCTTTTGCAATCCTTGTTGATTTATACTTTTGCTGTGTGTTTTTGTGGATTTAGGCTCTGTGGTGGAACAAGCTGCTTCCTGAACTTTGCAAGAGAACTAGACTTACTGGTAATGGCTGCCCTGTTCTCATTTCATCACTCAAAGGTAAATCAGTTGGTTGTAACTCACCTCCAGAAGCCTTTGTACGTCAGTTAACATTCTTAATAACTGTCCAGACTAAGGACAACTGATGTGGTAATTTGGAAGAAAAAGGGACCTTTTTCTCCAGCTAAAGCTAATACAGTTTAACAGTCTTTCTGGTCATTAGCAAGGGATTCTGTAATGTATGCATTGTACCCTCAGATAAAAATCATGGCATTCATTTTGTATCAAAAACAGTTACTTGTTGTAATCATACTGTTTCTGTATAGATAGGAATAGACACCAGTAAAAAACTTAGTAAATATAGTTATTTGTGATTGTTTCTGGTTTTCCTAGGCTAAGTGACTGTACGGTTCTTAGGTAAAGGACTGTTATTGGTAACACAGGGGAGGCTTCAGTATGTATTGATGATTAGGTCATAGACTGAAAAAAACCACAGTGTGTTATTACTAGAAGTAGAGAAATCCAGCTTAGTGGTTATGTAGTCGTATTGTTACATATTTGTAGGAAGTTAATAATACTGAGTATAGCTGAGGGGCCAGTGTGTTTGTTTTGACAAATTAAGGATACTGAATAAAGCACATACATTGTTAAAAGTATGTCAATGGAATGCCTGAGAAAAATAACACCAAGGGGTTGCATTGTGCTGCACAGGTTGTCATGCTTTATCATAAAGTTTTAGTTTCTGGTGCCAGCAGTTTTTCTTTGGATTTTTTTTTGATACAATAACTGTCCTGTGATCGCTTAGGAACATAACGTTGAACAGCTTGGTCTGAGAAGCCGCTCGCAAAACATTCAGTTTTACAGATAGTGCTGAGTTAGGGTACTTATAATAAGATTTCCAGGGCGTCCTTTGCATTTCATACAAAACATGTGAAGTACTAGCAGACTTCCATTAGCATTAGTGCCATGTGTAGACCTGATGAGTCAAGAAGTATGGTTTTAATTTAAGTCATAATTTCAGCTGACTTTTGAGATTTCCTATAGTTGTATTCGTATCCAAATGGCTATGTCTCCAATTTCATTCCACTTGCAGTATTTAGATAATTTGATGACTTCAGTTCGTAATTACATTGTTGATGACTTTTTTTGTTTCTTTGTTCTAAACTCAAAATACCTAAACAAGATTTTTCTCCCCTGCTCTGAGCAGAAACTTTATCAGTTGTTGCAGTGGAGCTGGAACTAAGGGATTTTGTCAGTCTTCTACCAGAGGATGGAACTGCAGCATTTTTCCTGCCACATGTTCTTCACTGCAGCCAGAGGAAGCTGCTGACCTAAAACAACGAAGCGTACTATCCACTCAAATGCAAAGAATGTGCTGGAATAAAAAAGCAAATGAAACAAATAAAAAAGCAAATGAAACAAACAGTAGAGCTGCATACTGTGGGACTACCCTCACATAAATCATCTTACTTCTTCATTGAAATCTTACATCAACTATTGAAGGACAACTGTTGTCTGAGGTAAAGCATCTGTTTTGAAGCTAACTGTGGTGACAAGGCAACTGGAAAATACTGTACAGCACAACTGGACATACAGTGTTCACTGAAAGTAAAGCAGGAAGTCAGTCTCAAATCTGTATTACTTGGATCACTGACCTAGGGAGTTCAGGGTCCCTCAGTCATCCCATCTTTTAAATGTACCAATCATCTTGAAAGGTGTTACTGGATAAAATTATAAAAATAATTCAACAGAAAGAACTATTTTGTTAACTGGTCAGTTATACAATACTATATATATTTTCAGTGTCAACTTATGGATAACCAAATTCCTGTTTTCTAAGTAATAACTACTACCATATCTGTCTAGTAAAATGTGACAATGTGATGGCAGATACGCAAAACGAATTTTGCTGTTACACAGGGTTATTTTCAAACTTAAAAAAAGGTACATTTCATTGGGCTCTTCACATTCCTCTGCTGTTAAATAACATGCATTAGGCATCACCTAGAATATGTTTAGCTTGCAAGATACAACCTTTATTTAGAGAAAAATACATTTATGAGCTGTCATATCCATTTAGCTGTCTTAGTCTATGGCCTTTTGGTACCTGTGGCCAGTATATCCATGTGGCCACTAGATGAAATCTTCCAAAACATACATGGAGATGAGTTGCCCAGGAGAGAATATTTTCCAAGAAATGCTTCACTGAAGAGACACCTTGGAGAACCACTGTGTTAAAATGCTTTCATCAATCTTGTGTGCCTGCCATGCCTTTACACTTGAACTGATTGAATAATCTTGGGAACAAAGACTGTTTATCTGTAAGGGGGAAAATAGCTTTTTTTACATGCATTTCATCAGAAGAATAGTCTGTGCATATTGCCAGCAGAGTCCAAAATGAGCACAGTGGATCCCAGTACCTTCTGGACATTGTGAGTTAGATTTAAAAACAGCTTTAAGATGCACTGAAGGGTACATTTTGATACTCTTTAGATGGCTAATAATGAAAAATCCAACATGTTGCTACAAGTTAAAGTCTCTTTCCACATCTCTTTCTGTGTACTCTCAAATCATCTTTTTTTATTGTCGGTGCAGGTTAGGCACAATGTACTCTGTAAATCAGTAGTGTTTATAATATAGAACTAGATTGTGGTTTACATGCCAGTGGTTTATAATATAGAATTAGATTCTGTTTAACATTCCAGTCTGTATTTTCAGTATAGATACAAAAAAACCCATATATGTATATGTATATATATGTGCATATATATATATGCATATACATACACATATCTTGAAATATTCCTATCTCCTTCTGTCAGTTACAAGGAATGCCTGTTATGCTCTATCTTTTGAGCACTGGAAAGAGTTGCTTTTAAAGTTGTATTAACTTTGTAGAAACAAGAGCTTTCAAAATTCTTCACAATTCAAAGATTTTTTACAGGTAATACTGCTAGAGTAAGGTAACAGTGTCTGTAAAGCCAAAACACATTGTTGAGAAAGAAAACACTATTTTAGTTTTTCAGTACTTCAGCTGTGTAGGAATGATGACTTGAGCTGTATTTACCAACTGTTCTTATTGTTTTAAATGAAGACTGAGATGGAGTATGACAGTACTGGCAATTCTTGGGTATAGAGTACTGGCAATTCTTGGGTATAGAAACACTGTCTCATGAATTCTTTTTAAATAAAAATCTATCACTTTATATGGATTGGAAGCTGAAACAATAGCCACTTAACATCCAGTCCTTTAATTACTTTGGTCTCCTGAGCAGCCCTGAGGGAAGCATGACCAAGTGGCTTCTAGACGTGGAGTATCTCTGGATGTCTGAACTGGTTCTGAGTACACTGGACTGTCTGTGAGCCCCACTGTGCATCTTTAAACATAATGACCATTACTGAGCTCGAGAGCTCTTACCTTCCTTTGGGAGCACAGTGTAGGTTGCTTCCATGCCTGCGTGGATGTGGTCAGTAACGTGACAGTGTAACAGCCAGGTTCCAGGGTTCCGTGGAGTCATTTCCACAGTTTGAAATGTCCCAGGGAACAGATCAAAGACATCTGCCCGGTAAACCCCTGTTTGCTTCAGGACAAACAGAAGCAACAGTTAAATGGTGGCGTTACCAGATGGCAGTAATTTAAGCTTTATCCATTTACTCACCAAACATTTCAATCACAACTGAATGATAAGACACCTGTGTGTCATTTCTACTGAAGCATCACTTTTGTACATCCATTTCATGCTCCAAAGTTTAATAAACTATCAGCTAAGTGAAAATTAAGGACAACTACAGCTTTTGTCTTGCAACAGTCATGAGAAGTTCACAGCTGTCTTGTTAAAGCAACTGGCTACCAGTCAGCAGATGCTGCTGTCAGATATTCTCTGGCTCATGTATGTTGATCAGATAAAGGTTTGGGGCATAAAACCCTTACAATCAAATTACAAGCCCCACTAAATATTGTAATGTGACTTTTCACCATAGATTACAATCCTTGGTAATTTACCTACCTCTCATTCTTAACACAGCAAGAAATAAATGAAAAGGGCTTGATACCTTGTAGTCAAAGCTGTGGCCATGGAAGTGTGCTGTGTGAATGTCTATCTCATTGCCCATTCCCACCAGATACCAGCTGACTTTATCTCCAACATGCATATTCAGGCCATGCAAATTTCCAAACACCTTTCCATTAATGGCTAAATAGAAGGAAAGAACAGGACAGAAAAAACAAATTGTGTGCATTGTTGATCTCTAAACTTTCATATAATACAAGATTTGAAAGCAATGCCAGATAAAAGTAATGGCTTTGGACAGCACATTATAAACATGTGTTTATATTCCATATTTAACTAGAAAGAATAACATGGTAAATAAAATTTCTTAGCTGTACACTGTTGGTAATTTTGCAGTTCTTGAAGATCTGTAATTCCCGCAGCTCTTTGTAAAGGGTAAGCTTTAACCAGGACATGCTTTCAGGATGCACATAACCTTTCCAGCTTATTCAGAACAGTTGTTTGCTGACATCAAAAAACTTCATCATGGGAATATTTAGGGGGAGGGGAGGGGTATTTGTTTGGGAATTTAGGGAGAGTGAGAACAAATTTATATGAAGTACTTTCAAATATATAATTTTATCGAGTTCCCCAGAGTTACATTAACTAAAGTGGGAAACATACCATGCATTTTATTACTTTCAAGGAAGTCCTCCTCCTCTTTGTCAATAAGATGTGGGTTGGTAGAATAGGTTTTAATGTTTTCATCCAAGTACCATGATTCATTTTCATCAAAAACCATAAAAAGAAGAGCAAATTGAACTTTCTTTTTAGTATGAAATGATGGCAGATAATGTCTATGACACACAATAAGTGTCCCTATTAATCCACTGTAAGTGTCCTGAAATGACAAATGAAAAACCACATAATTGCAAGATTTAACTAAGCAGAAGCACATTTAATGACAGACCTGAATCCTCTTACTATCTTTACAGCTGTCAGTAGCTGAGAATAAAAGGCAGTCAGTGTCAGGCAAACAAGGCTATTTTTCCACTGTTATATACTACCCATGGATCAACTTCAATGAAGATCTACTGCCTCATTTTCATCTCCTGCTAGAAATAAGCATTCATTCCACATTAATTTCTTGCCTTTTTTTTTTCCCCAAGCTATTTTTATAATTTTATAATTTTGAGCTTGGTTTCCATTCAAAATATACTTCTTGACACTATTTGTATTTTTTGAGACATGAAGGCAAGAATACATTCATTTCCATTAAAAAGTATTACTCATTAAGTTAATGCATGCTTGGTAAGAAACGGCAGAGTTGTGTTTCACAGCTGCATGTAAGTTTTCCCCCACACAATTGATTAGATACTGAGCAAGCTATAAAGTGCTAGCTTTAACAGGGAAATCTGAGTGAGGTGATTATACCATCAGCAGAAGAACCAGAAAGCAAGAACATGGAGGGCCATGACTCAAATTATGCCCTGACTTTCCTGCAATTTGACTTCAAGAAGTGTTTAAATTCAAAGGTATGGTAACAGGGGAAATAACCTGGCAGAGAAAGCAGAAGGAATTTCAAATTCACCTCCCTTTTTCTATAAGTATATCCATGTTGGACTCATGAACAAAACCCTTTAGACTGATACTAATTATATACCTTAATGATGTCCACTGTTGAATGGTATGCCCATGCAATGCAATGTGGATCTCCTCTCTCAGGACTAGATCTCTCTGGGATTTTCCAGACATACATTTTTGTTTCACCTGAATTAAAAAAGTATCAATGAATTTTAGAAATCTTCAGTATGATGACCTATAGGAGGTCATTCTGAAACAGATGTTATCTCCATTTACAGCTTGTATTTGTCTTGAACTTCCCAATTACTGCACTGGCTAACTTCTGCAGACCCTTGATTTTTCTTGACAGCGTTTGGGGTTTTTTATTGTGTCTTCCCTGTCCAGTTTACCATATTAATAAGGACAATTGTATCTTTTGTAAAGATCACAGAGGAACTTCAGAAATTATAGCATAAGCTATGCTTTCCCTATGTAACCAAATCTGTTTGCTTTCATGGAAGGTGCAGCCACGATGTGTCAAAAAATTACTGATCAGTCAAGGACTAGGATACAGAGCCATAGTTAGCAGGGCCATTTGAACTGTAGAAATATTTGTCATAATCAACACCAAAAATTTAAGAACCTGAGGCAAAACATACAAACAGAAACTATATCTTTCCTGCTATCTTAAATAAACCTTACTAGAAGTCTTGATGTTACCTGCTAGAAATAAGGAAGGATGGTTTGATACCTGGATTAGTTACAGCAATAGCAGAACTGTCTGTTTTCACTCCATGGGCGTGGATAGAATAAGGTCTTGATGCTAAGTTCTTAAAAACTATTATAATTTTATCTCCAACATTTGACATAAGCAGTGGCCCTGTTGGATTGAAAAGAAAGTTGAACTTGGTTTTACAAAAGATCAGAGCAAACAGTTTGTGTTCAAATTCACACCACCAGCTTAGAATTCAACAGAAAACATTATACAGATAGTGTTGTTCACTATGACTTTCCAACTTGAGATGCTGAAGTTAAGCCTCTAGGTCTCAAAAGTTCTGAGCACTTACTGTGTACCTGAAGTCAGTTTGGATGTTGCTACCCAGTTTTATGCTGGAAATACTGACCTCTGATCAGGCAGCTAGCCAGAAGGGTTTTTAACTTCTACATCAAGCAATATAATCTTGCAGGAAAAACACCATAATAAAAGTAGTCATTTCCTGTAGGGTTTCCACATAGGTTTAGGCACTTTGTGTGAGTAGAACTATACTCAACATTATTCAAATAGTATCTTTTGTGTCACTGCATTTCTCACATTTTCAAAACTGAACTTTATGATGACTCTACCTTGAATTTCCAGGTGCTGCTGCTCCTCTGTTCTGTTTTTGGGAGTACTGAATGTCTGATCAGTGTATTCACGATATACTACCTTTTTGTATTTTGAGCCAATGAATTTGTCATTTTTATTTAAAAATGGATTGCCAGGGCTGCCAAAAGAAAAAACCAAAACATTTCTTCATGTATTTTACAACATCTTTTGCAGACATGTCAATTAACTATCAAGCAAGAGTCCTGCTCAGCAAAACAGTAATCTCATAAAATTCTGGTATCTTCAGCATGAAAACATTCTTGTTAAGATGGGAAATTTCTCTTCGAAAGGTTAAAAAACTCACTATAATTAGACCAAGTCTACATAGTACTTAAAAGAAAGTTGAGCACTTGTCCTGGTAGATATTTCAAATTGCAAGAAGTCACACAGTAACTTGTATACTGAAAAACAAAGCCCTCAGTGACTTCTGTAATCTGAAAAGAAGCCTAAAACTTGTAAATCTTAAGTGCCTTGATGAAATTAAATGTGAGGGACTGATTCTCTGCTGGTCATGGGGGCTGGAGACAGTGGGGGAAAAAAAAGTCTGTAACAGCATAGTCCATATTACTTGTGCTTAGTACTGTGTCAGAGTCCACTGTGGTATGCAGGGCAAGGAAATGTGCTATCAAGCTGAGGACAAAGAAGAAAATACAATTAAGTTAATAACAAAATACAGGCAGTTACAATCTGCTACTTTAACCTCAACTGAAGTTATTAAGGTGAAGCACTGAAAATCATCAGTTCTTGTTTAGCCTCTTCTGTTAACTGGCATGCATTATTTGATCCAATCAGTCCTCTCTCACTGAGATTCAAATACTGGAAGTGAAACACCAAGACAACAAGCTTCACAGTGAGTGGGTTAGGTCATGGTTGTATCCTGTGTAATCTCATAAAACTGAGAAGAGTAAAAAAGAACCTGACTCAGACAAATAAACATGAGACAAAGACTTGTTAAGATTGTAAGCAATTATGAGGACAAAGTAGTCATCGTAGATGCGATGATGATGAATGTTATAAGCTTTCCACATCAAGGACTGCTAACACCAGTAAATAATAAATTCACTATCCAGGAATCATGAAAATATACACTTGTCCCACAGAAGATCTATGGTGGACTATTTCTTGAACATTGTACTGTCATGGCAACAGTACAGGGAAAGGACCACAAATTCAAGTGAGCCCTAAAAATATATACGAAAATAAAGTGTGTCTAGAAATGTCTGGAGGAGGAAAAGGTTCAGAGGAGAAGTGAGTTGCTGTTTTGCTTGGTTTGCATTTTTTCCCCTGTGTATATTCCAAAGTACCTTTCCTCATGGTGTTGATGCCGTTCAAATTCCCATGTCCTGTTAGGAGAATAGTCCCATTCAACTTCCACTGCAGCAATGTAATAAGTCTTTTCATGCAAATACATAGATGGATCTACATTCCACCAGTGGCATTGTTTCACGTTGTAGTTCTGTTTCATGCCCCCAGTGTAATGGTCGGTTGTCAGGCAGGACACTTCAAAAATTCCTAGAGGTCATACAAGAAATAAAGACTTGAGGACAAAAGTCTGTTACCTTTAGATTGTATTATCAATGTTGATTTAGTGTTTAAAGACTGAGACACAGGCTATTGTTCATATAAGATCCAAACTCTTTGTGCAGGATGGCTACTTGTAATAAAATTCAGCACACAGAGAAGTTGGAAAAATCAAGGCTTTAGCAATAATAACACATGTCCTTAGAGTTTGCTGCCTTTCAAACACAGCTGTGCACAGTTTTAGCACCAGGATCAAAATACCAGCTATTTAAGGCTTGTCTCTAAGCATAAAACATTCATTGGTAAAACAGTTTCTGCATTACTAATAGGATTTTTAAACAAGACATTTACCTTCAGAATCAGGCTTCATAATAGCTGTAAGAACTGTATGTGGAAACAGATTTGCTGTATCCCTTCTTGTTCCTTTAGTTACAAATGTGTTTCCTGAGAAGTATATCCCATGGACATCAACTTCTGAACCCAATCCCATCAAATGCCAAGAAACCACACTTCCTTTACACATCTCAAGACCAGGCTGATTTCCATACATATAACCATTAATGGCTGTAGAAGATTTGAGAAAGCAAAATCCACCTTTATTAATATATTATTTAATTCTGCAATACAGATTACTTAATAAACACTTCAGATGTAATGTGATGCCTTAGAGTGACAAATATCAATGATAAAATATCAACAAAACTAGTAAATCAACTCAAGCAAAACAACTTTTAAACCCCAGTATTGAAAAATAATTTCTAACTGTTCTCCTTTTCAATGTCTAAGGCACAGGTTACTGCCTTAACCAACTGGAATTTCCTCTGCTTTATACCTGTCAAGTATTCAGGATGCATAACGCATCCCACCTTATATCCTGTGACCCCCTCCAGTCATACAGTGGAGGTAATTGGAAGGGTTTTTGAGTTACTAACCCTTTCTAGCTACTTCTGTGCAAAACTTTCAAATCCTGGGCCTCACAGGTACCACTGAATGCTCAGCACCAATGGTCTGTAAATAGCAGCAATGCCCCGAGAGCAAAATTCAAGAAAGCACTCACGTAAATGTGCTTAAAGAGTAGGACTTACTGGCAGGGCTGGGCCCTGAAGGTAAAAATGTTTTCCTCAGAGGAAACTTGAAAAATATTTCTGCAGTACCAAAACAGAATCAGCACGAAACTTAGGTCTGCTCTATTAAAGAAGCAAAGACTTTAGTTCTGAAGCAAAGTCCGGCCGGCAGGTCAAGGAAGGGGATCCTCAGCTCTGCTGAGGCCACACCTGCAGGACTGTCCTGAGTTCTGGGCTCCCCAGAACGGAAGACAGGGACATACTGGAGGACAACAAAGGGCCACAAGAATAACGAAGGGACAAGAAAGCACCTCTCCTACGAGGAAAGGCTGAGAGAGCTGGGACCACTCCGCCTGGAGAAGCAGCAGCTCAGGGGATCTCATCCACCTGTACAAACAGCTTCAGGGAGGATGCCAAGAGGACAGAGCCAGGCTCTTCCTAGCAGTGCCCAGGGGACAGGGCCAGAGGCCACGGGCACCAACTGACACACAGGAGGTTCCCTCCAAACATCAGGAAACAGTCACTGTGAGGGTGACCAAGCACTGGCACAGGCTGCCCAGGGAGATGATGGAGTCTCCATCCTTGAAGGTACTGAGAAGCCATCAGGATGTGGTCCTTGGCAAGCGGGTCTGGGTGGTCAACCTTGAGCATGGGGTTGGAGAAGGTGACCTCCAGAGGTCCCTTTCAACCTCAACTCTTCTGTGATTCTGTGAAAAACGTCATTTCAGCTACATCATCTGTAGGGCAGAGGTCAGTCTTCTCTAGCTGCCTGGTTGCATTCATAGAGGTTGCACATGGGCTGAAGACCTAATTCCTGCTTCTGTCTGCTCAAAGTGATACATAACCATGTAAATCCTAAACTGCCATGCAAGACATTGAACAGCTGGCATTACTGTACTTTGGACTACCACATTTAGTTGAAATTGAATTGCATTGAAACGTTTTGTGGTTTTTTTCCACTGGAAATGAATGAAATATCTCTGCCACCATACACTTTTTTAGCCTCCAACATGAAATCATAAAGGTAAAACCTTATTGTAGAAATTATTTTTGGCTAACTAATAATTTTCTTACAGTGCATTTTGTTAGACTCTTGGAAATCTTCATCATCTTTTTCAGTTTTATCAGGATTTAAGGTAAACATCAAAATATTGTCATCCAAGTACCAGCTCAGATTCTCATCAAATACTGTGGCAAGTAGAAAAAACTCCATGTTCACATTTTTCTGTTAAGAAGAAATAGCACAAAGGAAAACAGACATGAGTGAATAGAAAATGTCAGAAAAAAAATATCTATGCTTATAATAATTTATAAGTCACAAAATAGGGTAGATGCATACATTGATACTTCAATCTGATCACCTCAAAGCTCTGTAATTGCTGTATCTGGTGAGTATTTGCTGCTAATGCTCTTTTTACCAGCAGGAACCACCTCTGAAAATGAATTTGTCTTTAAAAATCTCTACATTTTCCTAGACATTCTCATCCTAGCTGAGACTTGAATGCCAGCGGCTGCTGACAACAGTAGTGTTTTCACAATGAAGTGACTCTCTATCTGGAGCTAGACTGAAAACCAAACCCACTTTCTTCACGTTTTGAAATCCCCTTAGCACATGGATGAGCCTGAGACATGGAGAGGAGGTGGTGCAATTCAGGGGGAGAAAGCAGGTACAGCTGTGACAATGCAAATGCTTCCATTTTTCTACTTTGACTGACCTGTTTCCCAGAGGAAAGAAGAGTTCCTTTCCTGCACACCAGGAGAGGACCCACAAGGCCAGAACTGGTGTCTCTGACTGCATCCACAGCTGAGTAATAAAGCCAGGTTAAGCACTCTGGGTCTTGGTCTGTGGGACCCACATGTTCTGGCACATTCCACTCATATGTAAACGTAGCACCGGGATTCACATGAGATGCTGGAGATTCGGTACCTCCTACAGAAATCACCATTGGGAATTATGTCAAGTGAACATTACTTTATCCCCTTTAACACATGGACAGTGAGACAGCACATGCTCAAGTGCTGCAGCGCCCCCCCCCCATCTTCACCTCTGGGCACGGGGCCATACTGTGCCCCTGCTGTGCTCCGGCCATAGCTCACTCCGTGGGCCTGGATGCTGAATGGGCGGCTGGCATTGTTCCGGAAGGTCACCCTGATGCGCTCACCCACTTCAGCCTTGATAACAGGTCCTGGAAAAGAGCACACGGTCTAATTACAGGACATTTCTATCAAGTGGTGTACAGGTCACCATGAACTTAGCTGCAATCAGTGGCTGGCTGCTTTTCCCCTTGCAGGGGAATGCCCCAGGCCTCTGTGGCATGGCCCCTGGCACATGGCCTGAATCACGTGGCAGCCCAGCAGCAACTATTCCCAGTTCACGTGGAGGCCCAGTGACTTTCAGGACAGTTCTTCCCTTTGGAAAGGAATTTACAGACATTAGCACCAACACCTGCAGAAGCAGACAGGTTATCAATAGGACTAGACCTACCTAGCCTGACCTTTGCAGACCATGGCATGCTCCCACAGGGAAGCTGGGCACCACCACTGCATTGCCTTACACCCTGGGGTGTCTCTTGGGGGAAGCCACAGGCACCAGCATCTGCAGGAGGCAGGGAGAGCTTAGGGCTCCTCCTTGGAGGCGGGGGCACTGCTTGCTAACTAGTGTGACTGTTTACTCTCATAAATCTTTGATATGAAAAAATTTTAGACTATCTTACCCAAGAGTCCAAGATGTGCTTCCTCTGCGAGTCTTTTTTTATGTTCAGTAAAAGAACCATCTGTGTATTCTTTGTAAATTGCTTTTTTATAAGAGCCACCAATTCTTGTCTCACTTTGTTCAAAGAAGATGTGAGATTCACTGTGTAAAAGAAATTGCAATAGACACAAACAGTTCAAGTCATAATGCTCAGCTGTCCAAAGGCAGTCAAGGATCTCAGCCCTGTTTTCTGAAGTACGACATGCCGAGTTTGTCTCTATTCGGTGGTCTGGCCACACATTTTTATGCAGTCCCATTAAGATGAGCAGGAATACATTATCCTTCACTAATTTCTCTTTAAGAAAAAGCCACTGTGTTCTGTTGCCCTTACAATGCCAGTGTGCTTAGAGAGTCATCAACAATGATTTCTAGTCAACATTTCATAACCTTGAGTTTACTTTTAATTAAATGCTATAAATAATCCAACAACAGCAGATAAAAATACCAAGAATATGTAACATCTAAATACAAAGTGAGAAGATTCAATCTACACTTCTACTCTTCAAGAAAGGACCTTTCAGTGTTTTACAAACACTATTCAAACAATGCACTGTGCCTTGTCCCTTGGGGAGGAGGTGTTTAACTCACAGATAAAAAATTTGAGGAATCAGTGTATTCAGGGATTGGATCCAAGTTTTAAATATGTAAACACAGCACAAAGGGCAAAGCTATATTGTGCAGACTGTTTCCTAGATGAGATGCTGTGTGATTTCCATCAGTGAGGCCATGAGCATGAATTCCTAGCTTTGTTCTCTTACTCAGAATAATCAACCCTCTTGAATCATCAGGGGTCACTGCCTACATGGGACATAATAATTAATCTTAATCCCAGTGAAATGTCTAACATAGCAGCAAAATTTACAGTAAGATTACAAGGAAAACAATACATCTAATTTGATCTGATATTTATTCTAGCATTAATATTTAAGCAGAGGTAAGGACCATGAGCAATTTGGCTTAAAAGTCAGTTCTACTATACGTCTTACCTTATTTAGCATGTTCAAATCAATTCTGCTTGGAAAATAAAACACCATTTACCTGTCAACAATTTATTAGAAGCATTTACCTGTCAACAATTAATTCCTGTCCTGTAAAATGGTTCATTGCAGATGGGCCATAATTCCAGATGATCTCCTCAGCAGCAATGAAGTACTGTCTTATCTTTGTACTCTCATTGTGATCTGGTGTGGATTTCTTACAGTCTTTTACTTTAAAAAGGGCCTGCATACCACCTAGGAAAAAAAAGAGGAGGTAGAGAAACCTAAGGAGAAGGAACTGCACTTTGTTTTCTCTTCTCCTCTTCCCACAGCTGTCCTTGAAGAATTCCCACACCACTGATGGACGTGCAAATCACAAACAAAGAAGATGAATGTTCTAAAAGAATGCATGCCAGCTGAGCTAGGAGAGACCCAGCTGTGGTACCTACAGCAGGTAAACAGGTATGGTAAAGGGCTTTCTGCTTGTAAAGCTGCAACTGGCACAGCAGAGAAGACAAGTGTAGGGTGGACGCAGTTCTGTTGATGAGCACTTCAGCCAAGGTCAAGTGCTACCAAACTAAGCATCTTCCATTTAAATGTAACCAAGAACTTACTTGTGAAACTGCTGGGTCTCTGAACACTAAGGAAATGGTCTGTTAGCAAATCTGCTTGCTGGAGATGCAAATAATATAGTAAAGAGAGGGCTTTTACAGCAATACATTAGGTCAATTTGTAGGATTCAAGTCGTGCCCAGGATGCTTCAACCGTATCAGGAAGTTGCTGGATGTGATAACTATTTCAAAGTTTATAATCTTTGTGCTGTTGAATCTGTAGGTTACATAATCCTTTTTATATTAGAATTTTCAAATCTTGGAGAATGATTTTTAGTTCTATGTTCTTTTCCACTTTTGTGACAATTTACTTCTTTCCCTTACAGGGATATAGATCATTCAAAACATGGAATTAGCTTCTAAGTATCTCATACGGTTATCAAAACCTGAAAACAGGAAGACACAGGGAAGAAGACAGAACATCTCTGCTTATTTGACAATTTCAGAACATGTCTTTGTCTGCAGGCAAGTTGCCCCTTTCCAAAAATGGAACAAGCCCCAGCTTTTTTGTTGTCAAACAGAAAATTGCGGTTAGTTAGTAAAAGGCAAACACTGTGCTAGTTTTTTGTCCAAAGCTGAGGCTTGCAAAAGTGCAGCTGTGCTAATTGCAGCTCCATTAGAGGTAAGAATTCGCTTGATTTTCATGGCTACATGCCCCAGCCCATCTAATGTACTTGTAGGCGTTTCAGTTACTAAGAGAGTTTTGTTACCCAGAGGAGAATATAACTAGTCAGGAGCCCTGCCAAAGTGAGTCAGTAAGCTCTTAGCTCAAGCTAAAAAACATTCTGATCACCAAAACTTTTACTGTACCTTCAATATGGTCATTCACTTGGCAGCTAAGCAGCCATTCCCCAGGGCTCCTTGGTGTCATGACAGCATCAACGAATGTGGCTGGGAAGAGGCTGATGGTGTCAACTCGATGATGCCTTTCTATTAAGGTCTGTCCATGAAAGTATGCTGAATGGACATCAGCTTCATTACCCATGCCAAAAAGATGCCATTTTACCTTATCTTCCACACACATTGTAAGGTTTGGTAGGTATCCATACATGTACCCATTGATAGCTAAAATAAATGTTGTTTATTACAGTTAACTTCACAGGCCTTAGGATCGTTTCTTCAAAAGCAGGTATCATACAACCATTGCTTTATTCTTCAAAATAGAAAGAGGTTCAAAAGAAAGCTCCACACCTTTGAAAGCGAGCCAATACCAGATACACGCTTCATCTGCACAGCTACCTTTATGATTCTGGAATTCCACTGGTCAGAGCCAAAGGTATCTTACTTGTTTACATTAACAATAAAAACTGCTTTTCTAAACTGTGATATTATAGTACAGAGCTCAGGACTAAGAAACAGAACAAAGTAACACAACTCTGTTTAGAATGCCTGGGAAACTACACTGGCAAAAAGCTCCTTGGCCCCTAAGAATTTCATATCACAACTCCAAAGGTGTGATTGTACAATACTTACCATCACTTTTTTTTTTTTAATTTAAAAGGATCTTTCTTAATCCTCCAAGAAAAAGTCTTGATTGAAAAAAAAGATTATCTACAATTCGTCTTCATAAAAGATAAGACACAAAAACATTATTTCACCATATCAATGACAAGCAACATTAATATAATATTCTCTTACAGTGCATTTTATTGCTTTCTTGGAAGTCCTCATCATCTTTGTCCACTTTGGAAGGCTCAGAACAGTATGTCCTGATATTATCCTCTAGATACCAACTGAGATTTTCATCCATCACAGAAAACATAAGGATAAATTCAGCATCAAAGTGTTGATCACTGTCCCTATTCATTGTACCTGAAAAAGCAAGCAGTATATTCGAAGTCATATTCAAAATCCTTGGTAACTGACATTTTCTGTCAGTTTTAACTGTAGTCTCAGTAGGGCTGGACAATGTTCTTGCCACTTTTCTTGAGTGTGACTTTACACATAAACTTACAGACATACTCAGGAAACAAAAATCCCTTTTGATAGATAGTATAAAATAGTTGCACGTAAATCTGTTTCTTACATCAGTATTTATACTTCCTTTCATGAACACATCTCACTCTTGGATTTGTGGACAAATATTCTGCAAATTATATTCACTGTCACACACAAAATCAAACTACTCCCTATACTATTGAAGGTAACTAACTGAGAAGACCAAAAGCTGTTATTTCCAAATCAACTGTAATCTTCTCCTCTTCCAGTACATTATTTCACTGATATTTATCAATGACCATTATCAATCACCTTGCATATGTACCCGTTTACTCATTTATTTACGGTTTACCTTTCCTGCAAATTATTAAAGGCCCAACAAGCCCTGAAGCAACATCTCTTGGAGCATCTACGTGGGAGTGGTAAGCCCTGGTTATGCAGTCTGCATCTCCTGTAGCTGGACCTTGATCTTCTGTCACGTCCCAGGTGTAAGTGTACTGGTCTCCAGGCTCCACAGCATCATCTCTCTTTTGCAAATCTTTGGTGGTGTCAGGATAAAAAGCACCTGAAGATGCCACACAGCCACTGTTATCACAGCATATTCACAACAGGGTGTCAGTATAGCACCTGTTATGCTTCAAGTTCACTACATGTTGGAGTAAAATGAACTGAACATCTGAATACAGGTTAAAAACCCACAACTTTTAAATCAGGGGAACAGATGTTTTCTTTCTCCTTAGGAATCTCTTCATTTGCCTTTGAAGTCCATAGGAATACTTCAATTAATGGCACATTAAAGTTAGTCCTTAATTTATTGGAAGGGGACTATGTACTTCTGGTAAAAAGATAACAATTCAAATATTTGCAAAACATTTGTTAAATATTAATCTTGGAAACGGTTCTAAAATACTGCATGTATCCTGAAGGATATTCCAGCTATTGTTGGAAGGACAGCAACAGAAAGAAGTTCTCCAAAGTGCATGTACTGCTACATAACATACTTTCTGATCCCACAGAGTGTGACTATATCAAGACACATACTAGTTGTAATGAAAAAATTCACAAAATTTTAGAAGCGAGGCTGATACTTCATAAATTCTTCTAAGGAAAGGTTTTTAAAGACTGATTTTGAGACATCATATTCCCAACGATTCACAGAGTTTTTAAGGCCCAATAATAAAACTTTCAAAAGCCATATTCTGGTGCCATCCAATGAAGAAAATTCCCCATTGCCTGAGTGTGGCAAGACTGGCTATAGCAAGAACAAGCCATTACTAATCCCAAAGGCATCTCTAAATACATCTTGAACTGTGCCAGACTTTCATCTCATTAATTAATTAATTACTAAGTGGTATCTGTTTCTCCATTTTAAGAGATTCTTATGTGTCATATACCATATACACAAACTTAGTGTTAAGAATTTGGAACTGTATGTTATCACAGTTAACAATATCTTCTCTACAACAGCATCAATTTTTCTTTTATATATCCATGCCTGAATCTCTTATATACCTTTATACCCTTATTTTAGTTGAAACACAAATACTGTTATTTCAGGTAAAATGCTGATCTAAAATTGTCACTTTTGGATTTGTGTTTCACTCTTGAAAAAATTCTCAAACTTCTTAGTTCCTATTTTAAATTGATTGTGTCCCAGTTTAAATCTTTATTTACTTGACCAGTGTTCTCTCTGATGAGAGAACATCACTTACACTCAGAAGGATGATTAACTTTTGATAAATTGTGGGACAGGATGTAGTCAAGCCTACCTTCATTTTCTTTTGTATATCTTACACCATGTGGATGCAGCGTGTAGTTTCTGGAAGCAAAGTTTTTCAAGTGGACAGTAATGGAATCGCCAACTTCTCCTTTAATTATAGGACCTAAAAAACCCAGCCAGGAAGGTTTGTCAACTATCACATCATATAAATGATTGGTGTACTGAGTGTAGACAGCCTTCTTGTAAGTGCTTCCTATCCTATGTGGTCCTCTTTTGAGAAAGACTTCAGCCTGCCTGTAAAGAAAATACATAAACACATCTGTAGTGTCAGATACTCATTTTATATGTCAATGGTTTAAATTAAGAGGCTTAAAGAAAGACCCATCCTCCATAGCACTGTGCACAACCACGAGCAAGCCATGTGAAGGAAGTTAATACTGCCCAAAAATGCAAGGTATTTTCTATGAGGCTGAGTATTGTTTGGGCATGTGAGGAGGGAATTGTATGTACCTTGGCAAGTACAGACCTGAAATGTAATTAAAATGCCAATTTGGGGTTCCATGAAACTTGGGGAGCATAAACTCAGTTGCAAAGGCTCAGTTAGTAGAAGTCTGAGTGCATGAGGCTTTTGAGATGCAAACTAAATCAAACATGTTATGGCTCTTATTGGACTGTTTAAATAGCTACCATTTAGTTGAAGAGTATTCTTCTGCACTGGGCTTTTCCCTGCCCCTATAAACACCAATTTCCACACGCACACAGCCTCATAGTTAAAGGGCTCGGGAGAAGAAGAACTGGAGAACCTGAAAATGAGAGGTACAAAAAAAGGGACCAGCTCCATTGCAGGCATACAACCACTGAAAACCTGGAATTAATGCAGCAAGCTGTAGGTCATCACAGAGCAGAGAAAAGCAGTGAAAGTGCAGTGAACATCAGTGGTTCATTGTATTACAGCATAGCTTTGGAATTCTCAGACAAGATGCTGTTTCCACCCCTGATCAGAATTAGTAGCCTGCTGAATCACTGACAGTGTCCTACACCTCACACAGTTTGTGAGTGAAAGAAAACAAGCTGACTGCTTCACCTCACACCTAATGGAGTGGCAGATTATGGCTGAGTGAGCTGGCTCTCACTAGAGAAAAACAAACTACAGGAAATCATCTAATCCCTCATCTACAGACTAAATGAGAACTGCATTTTTGAGATCTTTCTAATTTTTGATTTCTCTCATCATTGTTTTTATTTTGGTATAGTCCTATTTAATTTTAAACGCACTGAAAAAATAGAAGGAAGGAACACTTCTTCTCTCTCAAATGCTTCTCTGATGCCTTTTATATCTGACTTTTCTTTGTTGATCATTCCTACCTCCAGGGTGCTCCCCTCCTCCTGATGATACTCATCCTCAGACTACTTATTGCACTCAGTCTGCCCAGGACCCTGCTTGCCTTGTAACAAGCTACCCAGCTCCTCCACTGTGGTGGAAGGACCCAGCTGTGCTGCTGCACTAGTGAGAACCACCCCTGCTAAAAATGAACAGCTAAAAAGGAAACCTGTGCACAGTAAGAAAGTTTTAAATTTGTCAAGCTTCTGCATTTAAAAACAACAGCAAAAGTCATCTCTTTGGCACTGGCATCTTAGACATTCAAAATTAAACATTAGACTTTCGGGGTCTTTTTCTAGTCTCTTCTTAGTAAGTATTTCATTACAACAAATTCACACCCCCTTCATATTGCAATGCTTTTAATTAGCAGAACATTGGAATGAAGTTCTCAAGCAAGCCACGAAAAAGTTCACTGATACCAAGACTCATTTCACTGTCTTCACCAGGTTTTCAATGTGGTCCCCATGTCTAAACCAGCCGATGCTATAAAATCAAACTCAAGCAGTGTGAACTGCTTTACTTACTCTTCTTCTGCAAAAAGCTGCCCAGAGACAGCATTGGCACTGCCGGGTGCGTAGTTCCAGTCAGTCTCTGTAATGCCCAAGTAGTATTCACGGTTCACTGCCCCAGCTTGCCAACAGCAAGAAAACAGCAAGCAGCTTAGGAGAAATAGCTTCATTTTGCATTCATGAACCTTGTGAAAAACATGAAATAAAAACACAGGACAGGCCTGTGCAATTTCCTTTTATATGCTACTGCCTCTCCCACTCCCCACTTCCTTACCTCCCCCTCCCTGCTGCTGTTTGCTTTGGTGAACACAATAAAAAACAATTGCACAATGTCTCTCTGTGTCAAGAGCAAACAAAAGATTCTGGTAACCTTGTCAGTCCAGATAATCTTCAAAGAAATTTTTTCTATTTCTGCCAGCCTACTATCACGCACATCACCATTTAGACTGTCATAGATTGTAACTCCTGTCACTGAATTGAAAGTAGATTTCAATGGATTTACAGACAAGCCTAACTACATTCTTCACTATCTTCATGACTATCTCTATAGCTCGGATACTACTGAGAAAATAATTCTTGTGACCTATGCCACAAGAACACAACTTCTCAAGCACACTGTGAGAAGCTCTAAGTAACACCTTTCCCCCGTGTAACTGCTCTGCATTGACACAGGGAGCCCAAGGTAAGCCGGCATCTGCCTGTTCCCCTTGCTTGTTCTGCTCCCACAGATCTGCCTCTTTCTGTCTGCACAGTCACCACCAAACTGACAGACAAGGGAGGACTGGGGTCACTGAGACCAGTGTACAAAGCAGGGCATGCCTGGGTCAGCACTACTACACACCCCACTTCCCTCGGAAATGTAATTTTAGCACAAAGTGTGGCACATGTTGCTAGAGATGAAAAGGACCGGCTATTCAGGGAGGGAGGTGGGGAATGTCTGCATTTCAAGCAGCTTTAGTAGTGTTCAAATGAGGCTCACAAATTTCACAAAATTACCTCCCTGCGTTATCTGCCTCCTAGTCTGTTGCAGACAAGATAAGCCATATTCTTCAATTATTAAAATCATAAAATCCAGATAATCTTAACTATTACCATTATCAAAATGCACTACTCAGTGCCAAATGCTTCTTTTGCTTGATTCAAGTTCTGTAATCATTTTGTTAGTCTCACTGAAAAATAAGAACAAAATTGGACCTTAAATATGGAATGTTTAAAAACCACCTAACTAAAGTTTGCAATGGCACTTTTTCTCAGCATATATCCATTACAACATGGCTGTGTCTGAAGCTTTAGACATATAAAGCCACCTGTAAACTTCTATTAAAAAAACCCACGTATTTTCAGTCACTTGGGAATTCTTCAAAAATCTTGTCTGTGCTCTGAGCACTGACACAGTCATTCTAAATGACATTTTGCATTGTACGGCAATTCAAAAATACCTGTAATAACCACAATCTTCTTTGAAGCAATTTTAATATTGGTCGAAAAATTATTATTTTGGATAGAAGACTAAGATTCAGAACATAACTACAGTACAGCAGTTTTCCTTTCATGACATACAAATCTAAGCCTTATTTACCAGGACTGTGGTATACAGATAAATTACCAATTTTAATCACCATTCATATAAAAAAAAAAATCAGGCACTGTCAGAATACAGAATTTCATAATCTCACTTTTTGGAACCTTCTACATGTCCGCACTAAATGGAGGACTTTGCTTCTGTCTAAATTAGTGTGGCCAAAGCCAAGATTTTGAAATCTGACCAAACCTATGATGAAATTCTGGAGTTTCATGGGTTGATGACACATGCTCAAAATTATTTCTGTAGGAATTTTTTTTCTTTGCCATGGATGACAGTCAGTGGTGCAGTGGAAAGATCACCTTATCCAGGTTGCTTGTGACCCATCTGTAAATTAACTGAGGTAAAAATGAGAAAATGTTACACTACTTAAATTCAAAGTCATTACTTAATTTTCAGCTAATAGAGTTGTTCATGCATATGTGGCCTATTTGGTTTATTTTTGTTCAGATTTCCATTGGAATGAGGAAGACAAAAAAGCAAACAAATAATACCCTTGAAATCTCCACATTTATTTGAAGGTAAAAATATGAGCATTTCTTTCCCCAGACCTCTGAATCCTCTAAATTACTCCTGCTTGATTTGCAAAAGAACTACAAGTTTTTCTTATTTAAAATATAGCAAAAACTTCTGAAAGGTAAGGTTTTTCCATTCCCACTTTTAATGGTGCCTCCCCCAAACTTTCAGATACCTGTGTGCCCAAACACACTCCTATTATCTTATTGAGGAACTCAAAAAACTGACCAAAGTGCCTGAGCTTCCCAACCCTGTATTCTCTTCAGAGGGTGTCTGAAGAACAGGAACCTCTCTCCCCTCATAGACAGGGTCTAAAAAGACCCGATTTAATTGGTTAAATTATGAGTCTGCAGTTTGGTGTTATGAATATCCCATTATTGTTTTAAACCCCTTTACCTCCATTCTCATATTGAAGATCCTGAAAATCACCAAAATTGCACTGAAAATATAAAGCTGATATTTTACTTCAAAAATTTTCCTTGAAAGAAAACAGAACAAACCAACTCAAAAATGGAATATTCTGACAAAAAGGTCTCAACAAAGTCTCCCAGTGAAATTAAATCAAATCCCCACCATTTAAAAATTCCTGGGTCTGAATGATGTGTGTCTATCTCCTGCTGCCCATGCTGCTGCTCTGGCCACCTGCAAATCTCTGCAGTCAAATACCCTTTAAAGACCTCATATATTCTCATATTCCAGTGTGGTGCAAGCCTTGTAGTGCCCACTTTGCCCTGCTGCTGTTGGGTGAGGTCCGTGTTCTGCAGCTGGATGGTCACTTTGCCTCGAACACCACCATGGTGGTGTCTAGACCTGGTTATGTCTAGATTTCAAGTAAAAATTAATTAATATTCTTTACAGAAATCTCATTTTTGCTACCAGGCACAGTTCATAGCACTTCTTGTTAGAGACAAAATATTTAGGATTGAATCAGGACTTACACTGATTAGATCAAGTTTAACTTTGCCTTACATCCAAAAGCCCTGCATGCAACTGACTGTTAAATTTGGAAATACAACTGTTAGCCTTTAGTATTCTTACAACAAATTTCAAATTAATAAGCTGAGCATGTAAAAGCTGACCTGTCAAGTCACAGTTGAATCTGACCCCAGCAACGGAGATGCCAAATTCTGGATTATGAATAAAGTGGGTTGCAAGATCAGGAAATTCACCAAGAACTAAACTACACATCTCTTTCTTTAATTTAAGCCCCTAAAATAGGAGATGCCTGTGGTAGAGTGGAAATGAAAATTCACCAGACACAATCAGACAAAAAAGGATGAATTAAAGACAGTTCCACAGTTTGCAGGCATGAAATCCTCAAGATTCTCCAAGATGTTTGGCAGAAGTATGGATTTATTGTTAAGTTTTCTTTCTTTTCCTTCTTCCCATAAACAGTATCCACAAATCCACGAGAATGTAGGATTAGCATTTAAGTAGGTAAATATGTTGCGTATTTAAGCCTAAAGAAAAACAAGTATGCAGTGACAGAGTGCTCATTTTATAATCATATCTTTTTATCATGCACCTCTGACCAGCCATGCCACCTCAAACCATCTTCCAAAAGACTAGCCCCATTCTTAAACATCATTAATTATTTTATTACTTCTTGCAACTTAATATAGAAACTAAGCAATTAAAATCAAATCCTACAGGAAGAAATCATCCTTTCAAAACAATCTGATATAGGAATATGAAGGCAAAATCTCAATATTGTCTTTAAACTGAATTCAATTCTATTTTTTCCTAAATAACTTACCCAAAGCTGACACTTTTGGATGGTTTGCATTTCTAAGAGTGTTTAATATTAGATGTTGATATACCTGAATCCCACTAGTTCTGATGTAATAGGGATATGTGCATTACTGCAAGTCTGAAGTCCATATTTCTCTTTCCTCTGGGTGTTCATCCTCTCAAAATCAGAGTGCTGAATACAGGCAAATTTTGCCCATGCACCTGCAAATGAGCCAGATGTCCACTTCATTGTGAATCCCTGAATTTTCATTGGGAATGAAACAGTAATTCTCTGTGAAATAAAAGTACCTTTTAGCTGCTAATTTAACACAGATTATTCTTTTTCATCTGATGATCACTGTCAAGAATTTTAGCTTTCCATTGTAGCAAGGTCAGGGCATCAGGTCACTTAGAAGAGCATTAATAAGCAAGTACTGAGTCCTCACAGGTTTTTCTCATATGCTCCCTCAAGTCACACTGTACTTGACTAAAAGAAAAAAAAAATCACCTTTCCCTCTGAGTATAAAGTGAAAAGAAACCCTGTGCACCTACTAACATGTACCAATAGCACACCTGACTTCAGAGCTGTGTATTTAATCTGCCAATCAGACTGGCTAACTTTCTTACTGCAGGAAGACTTCATAGATTTTTTTCAGTAATTGGTTTCTGCAGTTAAGAACTTCCAAGATGGAAGGAGCAGGGTAAGCTCTGCCCTCCATGGCCATCACGGTCTGTCTGTAACTAAAATTCAGTCATTTAGGAAATCATGGCTTCATGCAGTGCACTAACAACCCCTCCTGATATACTGGGCTTTGAACCAGGCCCTTACAGAACCACAAATATTCATATGGTCTAAGCAATGAGAGGGGAGTATTAAAGCAGTTCTACAGCAGTTTATAAAAAAAAAAAAGGAAGGTGATTTCAATACAAAAGCAGTTCCATGGTATTCAAACATCCCTATTGTCACAACAACTTGGAGGTTAAAAAACTGAAGAATCCTTGCCAGGGACAACAGGACAGGTGAAATAAAATGTAGATGTCAAACAGTTCAAATAACTTCATCCAAAACAGAGAGGCTTGAGAGACAAAGATTTATGAGAAAGGTTTCATTTGTCTTTGTAGCACTCAAATCTACCACCATGGATGCTGGACAGGCCATCTCTCTCTTTTTCTGGTGGTGAGGGAGAAGCAGTGACAATTTCCTTCCCAATTTCAGAGAATCCCACCCTGCAAATAAAAAAAGAAGTGCAAATCTCATCATTGCTGTGAAAGCCACAGCAATGATGGTAAGAATGTCTGTAAACTGAATGCTTGAAGAAAGGTGCTCAGCAAAGGCAGTCTGCTGACATAGGAGTAATGGACTTGGCATCAGTGCTGAATTCCCAGCCACTTTTTTTTTTTCTCAGTCCTAGCCTTAAAGGTCAGAGTGAGCAGCCACCAACTCCTGTATACCACAAAGAATTAGCAGATTAATCAAAAACAATAAAAGTATTATCAATACACATCCTCCGGTAAAAAAAATGCACTAGCATAGAGAATACATAAACCAAAAGGGTAGGTCCTCAACTAGGAGAAATTTCTGTAGCTAAACTGACTTGGAGGTGCTGAAGAAATTAACCTCAGGTGTTTTGTTACCTGGACAAAAACAGAATAGGTCCCACAGAGTGTCCGCTTCAACTCAGCAGCCACTTTGAGAAAACAGATGATCAGCTGCAGTCCACTGACAGCTATGAGAATTGACAGTAAAATGACGTTCCACTCCACTATGTTAGCAGGCTCTGTGCATCGAGACCAGGCAGGGTAATCTGTGAGGTACCTGTTAAAGAAACACTAGTGTGAAGTAGGAAGAATGTGTCTATTTTTTTGATGAACAATTTCTTGCAGAAGAGTTACACTGATGTCTCTTACCCCCCAGCAGTGTCTTTGAAAATATAATCCCATCCACTTGATGAATTGCAGAAAGGGCCTTGAATCAAACCCAGGGTAAAAATGATGCAACTGTATCCCGAGAAAGCAACTCCGAGCAGGGCTAGCACAATTGAAATAAAACTCTGGAGTAAAGAGAGAGAAATATTACTGTGAGGGGCAGTGTCCATAGCAAACACAGTCATTCAGTCTGCCTAGCTACCTCCTTGGGGCTGAAATTCACATTTGATTTTCTCAATATTCAAAATTCAAAAAGAAAAATAGCAGGTAAAGAATAGTAAAAGCACACACATACAAAATAAAGATTAAGACAGAGTTTAAGACAGTTCCACAACAAGTTACAGTATTGTTTGGGTGAGCTTTTTTAAACTTGCATTTTTAAAAAATTTTTCCCAAAATACAACAGAAAACCCTATCATGTATTAAATAGTCTGCATTCCAGATAGCATATATTGAGTCATTCGTGGAAAAAATAACTTCCAAATAAGACAGGCAAAGGCATATTTAGTTGGGGCACTTTATTGACACACTCAGGCCTTTTACATTCTTATTTTATTTTACAAGGATTTGGGGGGAGTATGTGTCTAGTTTTCTTGCATCCTGCTTATGCATCAGAAGGAAGAAGCTACACTTTCTGTGACCTTGCAACCCTATTTAGAATCCTTCTCTTTGAAAGGAAGTGAAAACGAAGCAGTAGAGAGGGCAGAAGGATGTGCTGGAACCACAGGAGCAGGAAGGCACTCAAAACAAATGCTAAGGAGATGCACAGATATAAAACACAGACTCACTCTGTAGGTTTTGTTACAGCTCTCACTCTGGCAACACCGATAGAACACGCTACACTCCAGTGTTATTAGAATTACTGTCAAAAGAAGGATCTGTAAGGGGACATCACAAGGTCAGTGAGATGAGTGCAGATATTACACCAAAGTATCCTTCACCTATGGAAAACAGGGACTGCATTTCTTGTGCTCTCTTGAGATTTTAAAGCTGATCTGTGGGAGAGCACAATTACTCAAGGCACACATGGAACTGGAGTGGCTTTACTAGGCTGTCACTGTACTTGTGTCTTGTGCTTTAAAGACAAGAGCACAGTGTCTCCCACCACAGTAAAGTGCTATGAGCTTGGGCACAGCTACACCAGTGAACCTGACACAATAAAACCAAGTTCACAAGTAAGAGAATCAATACCAATGAAAGGAAGGATATTTTATTGATACAACCACATCAGTTCAACAGATTCTTGTCGACATGGGTACCGTGTCGGATCAGGGTATCGCCTCCCTTACCAACACAGTTATGCTAGAAAAAGTCAGTAGTGGAAGCTGTTAACTAAATTCATTAAAACCTGGACTTTCATTTGTTTACTCTGTCGACTATCCATACTGATTTTCTCAGACTACTGGATTATTTCAGCTTGATCTTAGAATCGTTTCGATAAATAGGATCTGGACTACAGAACACAAACTGCCCCTCAGAGAGGCATTACTTTGAAAAGGGAAATACGAGAAGGGAATGTTTCTGAATCACAGCTTTATCCTCTAGCATGCTGCTGGCCTGTTTATAACACAATGATATATGCATTTTTAATAAATTGGTTATAATCCTAAGGCTAAAAATGTTTCAAAATATCCATATCACTGTTGCAGTCAACTTTTTCCCAAATTTGCAACTGTTTTTCTGTTTGAATCCTCTGTCTGATAGGTTTTTTTCCCTCTGCTAGAAAAGATAAGATTTTTCTTCTGCTTTATGGAGAATATACAATTTCAGAAGAACGTCTCATGTTTTGGTAACTCTCTCTGTTCAGCATCTTCATAAAAAAACTCTCACTTATGCAGATGAGTCCTTTTTAAGCACTGATTGTGTGCAATGCACTTTGATCACATAACTGCTTTCTGTCCCTGAGGATATAGCTCTTTATGAACATAGGGAACAGCATGAACAGTGGGCAACTCCATGGTGGTTTATTACTGTAGATGAACATACTACAAATGTAATGGGGAAAATCCTACTACGGCAATCACAGTGAGACAATTCTCTGTATTTAGCCTCACAACAGTGGCACCTGATGCATTGTGAACTGTATCCAGTCTTCTAAATATGGGACTGCATACAGCTCTTCAAACCATCTGAGCAATTATGAGAATTTTGTTTCATTTTGTTTTGGTAAATGAGCTCTAATTCAACCTTCCTAGAGGACTAAATCAACATAGTGTCTGCCTCCATAATAGAAGCGTAAATTATACATAAACAAAAAGACAGCAGAAAAAACCCCATCCTGCAAAATCACTTACATTAAATAGTATACACAGCTTTCATTAAACAGTTTGCCTAGCTTGTCATTCAGTATATTAACATTTTTTTTAAATCTGATTGAGTTTTTTGCCTACAGGGATTTTGCCGAAGTAATCCATATTTTCTTTAAAAGCACAATTGCATTGCTGAAGAGTAAACCAATATTATTTGCAGTAGAATACAATTCACTAAAAATCCATAGAATGGGCACTTACCATCACACCTGAGAAACAGATGCCTTCAAAATACCACACATAGTTGGGGAGCTGGTAACTGGCTGCATGCAGAGCTTTCCCATTCGGGAAGTACAGGAGGATGTTCACAACAATACTCCAAAGTGCAAGAGGTATCAGCAGGCAACTCAAACAGCTTCCACACGTCTCTAAAGCCATCTCTCAAGAACTTCGGAAATTTTGCTCTTCTAAGCGAACAAAAGATTACGAGATTTTAAATATGAAAAGCGTTCTGACCTCCCCAGCCTAATTCAGTCACTTCATATTCACAGGAACCAGTGACCGAGGTGCGATTCCAGGGACAGAAGCGCTTAACAGTTAGCTGAACAACACATGAATATCGCTATGTAAACTCACTGTCCTGTCTAAGCACATGTCTTTAAGTAGCCATTTCCCTTCTCAAAGATCCTCCTTTGTGATCTTCCAAATGAAGTATGTCTAGCAGTCAGACTCAGGAAGGAACTTCAAAGCTCTCATTTCCTAGTGACTGCTCAAAAATGCCCTCCTCCACCCCAGAATACAAACTGTAACACAGTTTGTGACAGAGGCAGGTTGTTCAGCCTCACTGCAGCATGGGGAAGGGGACTGTCAGATGATAAATATCCAGTCTCTGTATAGAAGGCCACACTTTGCCTCACACTACAGATTTAGTAACAGAGCCCTAAGGGGGAACTTGTTCCTGACTTGGGACAGCCACACAGAAACACCAGGCTGAGTCCAGGCCATCTTGCAGAGAGTACAGAAGCCCAAATAATGTTGGTTAGAAACTGCCAGGCAGACTTACTGTCACACTTTTAATCAATTACTCTTTCCCACAGCATTATGTGGCTCAACTGTTTTTCAAATCAAATCCTGCTATTTCTCCAATGGTTTCATTCTGTGCTTACAGCTGAGCTTGCACAGCTACAGACCTAACCTATGTACATGTGACTTCTTGTGCAGGACAAAAGGTCTGCCTGTTTTTTTCGAAATGCCTGCTGTTTGCACTGTGCAAAGCCAAAATCACACAGCTTCCCCATTGTCACGTGTCATCATTCCCTCACCTTGGAGCAACCAAACATCTATGCCAGTAACACAGAGCTGGAGTGGTTTGAACACAGCTTGGCCCAAGCCTTCAGTCTATGCCCCAGTGAGTCATCAGAAAAGTAACTTCAGAACGAGCTTAGGCTTTACTCAATAGGAAAGTTGTAGTCAGAGAACAAAAAAAAATGGGGCTCTATCAAATGCAGGAAGGCTGATTTTAGAAGCAATGATGTCACAATACATTTTCCTCATGTTTCCTCTAATCACTATGGACACTTTTTTTCAGGTCTCCCTCCAATCAGAAGTAGTAGCAAACCTGCCTTTCCAGACTCACAGGCAAAGACAGAACTCCTGTCATCAACACTGTGCCTTACATAGCAGAGAAACCAGCTGCATTAAAAGTACACAGATTGAATCTTCAAGACTGATCTTTTATTAAAAACTCAAAGATTATGTAATAGGGTGAAATATTTTTTCCTAAAAGCAGAGGCCAAAATTAGTAGTAAACAGCGTATTTTATAATGAAATTTGCTGCTACTTCTGTTATAAGCTGTTATAAGTATACTTCTGTTATAAGTTCTGATTAGAAGAAACTAACTTGGGAAACAATGCCTGAAGCAGCATTTGTTCTGCAGTACAGCAGTCCACATCACAATGTAGTTTGCATTTAAACTGAGCTCTGCAAACATAAAATCATGGTGTGGTTACTTTGCTGGCACACAAAACCACTAGAATAGGAAACAACCATTCTACACTAAGAATTAAGCAAGTCTTTAAGACAGTTTCTCAAATATCTTACCAAGTGTTGCAGGCACTGCTTTCCTGTTACTGTCATTATCCATGAGTTGATGCCGAGACTGTTACCGAAAAGTCATGTTTACTCTGGATGAGTGACTGCCAACTGAAATGAATACAACCTAAATGAACTGCTTCTCCACAATGTAGTTGATAAACCTCCCAAAACAGTGTTAGGCACCAGGCAACAAAGGAATCCAACCGGCCTTTTTTTACATAACAACATAAATAACTAGAAGTAATGTTGTGCTTTATCACTACTTGGATCTGAGCTGAAGTTTCAAGTCCTAATCTAGTCTAATCACTCCATCTATTGCAATTTCTAAAATTGTTTCAGTTCTGTAATTAATTGTGTGTACCAGAAAGACAAATAACCATTATGAAAGCATAAAGGCAAAAATCCCTGAGTTGCATGGCATTATACCTGACTCCATTGAGGATCCTCTTTTCCCCTTCTCTCCTTCCACGTCCATTTAAACTTGCAGATATTTTTTTCAAACAGTGCTTCTTCACATACAAAGACACCGTACGGCACAGCTGCAAGGAATTTTGTGTGTATACATATGTGCATGCACATATTGTCCTTCCTTCCTCCCATAGCAGGGCAAGACAGGGATAAACACAATAAAAAAATGTCATTAAAGACTCTCAACTACTTCTGTGTATTTAGGTATGAATAAATGCTATTGCAAAATCATGTATCCTGCGATTCTAAACACAAACTCTTCCCATCTTTGAGTTCTTCTGCTGCTGTGGATATGTGTGTACAATTTTGTTTTCACAGTTAATTTCTTTTTTTCAGATACTCATTTGTACAGGGCAGATTTGACTGTGTGGACAGCCTGAGATACCTCTCAAGTTTTTGGGCTACCTTTAAAGACCATTCTCCTAGTTACAAATAGCCTAAGGATGCACTGAGACCCATGGGACCTTTTCTCCCATAAAGAGAAATCAACTTGCCTGTTTTCAAAGGCAACATTAACAGCTAAATTCCAAAACTGAAACTCATTTCTCTGAAGTAAATTGCACGTCATATTTTGGTTTTCACCTGAAAACTGCCACTACCAACAGCATACTGACCTTACCAGCAATTCTGTTGCCAGCCCATTATTCAGATTTACTTGTGATAAAACATTCACTCTAATATGCTACAAGCTATACCTCAGAGGTTCTTGCACAGTAGCTTACAATAATTCCTCCAGGCTGCTTACTGGTAAAGTCAGATATTTCAGATTAATCTGTTTCTGCTGACCTGAATTTGGACTGTATTCCCCAAACACTGTGAAGCCTGAGGGTTGACTAAGTGAGGTAAAAAACAAAGAGTCAGGCCCACATACATTGTTAGGCCTGTAATGGAGCAGTCGGAAGGTGATACCCCTTGGGGAGGGCAGAGGGGACTCACAGCTGGGTTCAGCTGCATGGGGACCCTTTTGGGAACTGCCAGTCAGGACCAGGATTCCACATGTGCAGCTGTATCTGTCACAGAGCTGTTGTTGAACCCTTGTTGATTCAGCTAAATGATCCAAACCAAGCAGTAAAGCAGTTCCACTCCGGCAGAGGCTGTTGGAGAGGAAAAGCAGGTTATAACCTGACGGCATTATATCCACATTCTCATGCCACCGCTGTCCTTTACTCCAAGACCAGGCAAGCAGTGTTTCAGCATGGGCAGGGAAGGAATTATTGACACCTGATGGGTATTTCTAATACAAATCTTTATTTGTGAAATACAGGGGAAGTTCAGAAAAATCCTAAAAAGGTGAAGCGCATGTATATACCCAAACCCAGTATTCATTTATATCCAGGCCAGACTAGATTTGGTTTGTGTTCATTCCAAGATCAGAATGAAAGAGCAACTTTATTGGGAAAGTAGGATATAGTACAGAGCTGTTGTGTCAGTAGAAAGAAAAAAAAAAAAAAAAGCCTCTTTAGTGATGTGTTCAGGCAACTGCCTGTACTGAGATAAAATGAACCAAAGAAATTCAGGATACATTTTGACTTTAAGTACAGGCAGGTTAGTGAAAAACCTGCTTATGACTCCAATAACAAAGGCTGGCCCCAAGTCAGTTAAACTGATGGCAACAGCACAGTTTGGCAACAACGGGTACTTCAGTATGCATGGCTTGTTTAAAAAAAAAAAAATCCACAGAATACTCATTACAATACATAGACACACACCAACGTCAACGAATTGTCAGGTTTCTAGCAAACATATGTCTGCGAGGGGAACAAAAAGAAAGAAACATATTAACATATTAATAGAAAGAATGGTAATAGTGTCCAACTATAAATGAAAAAATTAACCTGACCAAATTTAGACAACCATAGCATGCCTCTTCTATACTGCAGTTAGACCATGGAAGACAGGAGGAAGAAGACAGTAACAGCTTTGAAAAAGTCCCAACACTCAACTATGTCAATTAAAAATGTGAAACACGTTCTTATCTACAACGCGTGAAATTAATTATATCCGGTTCATATGTTAAGCCATGGTAATTCCAACACTACCACTATGACACTGATTTTAGCAATATGCTCAAATTGTTTATCAAGGCTTTAAGGAAATTTGGAGGAAATTCCCCTTCCTCACTCAAAAAAATCCACCTTCAAAAACCCTTCATACCTGTCTGTAGATTTTATTAGCTGTAAAATTTAATTCCTTCTCTTATCTTACTTTTACTAAGTAAGGCCAGGATGCTGCAGTTTTCATTACGTGCAGCATATTCTCAGCAGTTTATGAGCTGCTGTGGGCAAAATGCAGGGCTAATGCAATATAATTAGAACAAGCACCACAATGTGCAACCATGGTTTAGGCAAATACCACAACCACCAAGAGATCTGTGTCTCAGTTATATCACCTATGTAGTGCTTATGATCTTATGTGCCATTGGGCAGACAAAAGCCTTCCAGCTCCTAGCTCCCATATAGACTAATGTCACTGTGACAGCTGAGGAATCAGCTGAAAGGATGTGGCCAAACACTACATGAAAATGCTAAACACAGCAGGGCCATAAAACCAGTTGTACAGGGAACTTGTTGCTTATGAATATCTGAAAAGTAACTGCTGAGTAAGACTCCACAATAGCATCAGTAATAATACTGTTTCATGTTCATCTGAGAAGCAGGGTTATAACTACAACTGACTTACCTCCTCGTGACTGCGGCAAAACCCACACAGTCCTCCAAGAATACCATTGATTATCTGTATGAAGCACAGAATGAACTCTATTCCTCCCAAGACAAGGAGGATGGAAAAGAGGGTGACATTCCACTGCACAATGTTTTGAGGTTCTTGACATTCCGACCACTTATTATACTCAAACAAGTACCTGTACACAGCAATTAAAAGCGTATTAACATTGTGTCAGAGTGGATGCTGACCATACACTAGAACCAACTTATGCCTAGTTTTAACTGCATCAAGGATATTCACTCCAAGTGGGAAGAGAAAAAACAGTGGTTTATTCCATGCAAAGTTTCACGGAATATGCTGCGTTGGAAGGGACCCACAAGGATTGTCAAGTCCAACTCCTAGCCTTGCACAGGACAATCCTCAAGAGTCACACCATGTGCCTGACAGTATCGTCCAAACACTCCTTAACCTCTGTCAGCCATTGTGCCACTTCATGCTAACATAAAGCAACTTCAGAAGCAAGCCTGACAAAACAGACTCTTACACAAATCATATGACAAATTTCGTAACAACCACTATTCATAGTTTGAAAATACCTCCAAGTCCTACAACTTTATACTTTGTTAGAGATGTTCATGGACATGAACAGTATATGATATATAGATTTAATTTTATATATATATACATATTGTATATAAGATATATAATACATACTATATATAATTATATATATTTCTATTGCTTTGGTTTCACATTATAGCAGTGTGGGTAACTGATGCCATTTGTTTAGTTCTTAGTGAGCAAGAAGTATAAAATTATGAATCAATCTTGATATACGGTTACTGGATATTGCTGAAAGGTACTGGCATAAAGCCCATGTGTACATGGGGTAAGATATAACATCCTCAAGAACAGACAACTTACCCTCCAGAGGAATCAGTGAAAGGATAGATCCAGTTTCTCTGTAGGTGGGTAAAACAATATGGTCCTTGAGACAAGCCCAGTGCTGAAATGATTATACAGTATCCAGAGCCAAGGATCCCAACAAAGGCTGCCAGAACTGAGGACAGCATCTGCACAGCAGACAAACATGTATTTTCAGCACAGCCATCACCTTGTGTTTGGGACTACCTGGGACCAGGGTGTACAGGCTCACTTACCACACAGTTCTTCCCACAGTCCTCATGGCCAAAGCACCCACAGCAGTCACCACTGTGCAGCCCAATGAACACTGCAGCTGGAATAAGTACCTGTGTACGGAGCAAACACACCACACTGTTCGTTTTGGTTGCACTGAGAGGGCAGATAAAACACAGTCCTCACATTGCATTCCTTTATGTTACTTCTTGGTGGTCAGCCTGTACAGCTGATTCAGCTTTACTCCTATTTAACACAGCAGTCATCTTGCTACTGACATCCCCAACCCCAGGACAGGTATATTTCTACTGCCACTTTGTTTATACACAGCACTTGAGTGCAAAAAGAGCCTGCTGAGGTATTGATCCATTTAAAGTATTTTGGCTTTAAAAGTTTTTGTTCACATTAAAGGCTGTATCCTGCAAATAAAATGCTTTGCAAAAGAAGGTATTCACTTCCCGCTAAATGAACCTACAAGATGTTTCAATTATTTATTTAAAAAACAGCTACTGCCAATATACTAATTACTTAAGAGCAGTCATCACTGCCCGTGTGACAAACCAGTCTGACTCGAGTAGGAAGTCTAGCAATATTTTGCCCAATTCAGGGAAACATCCCATTAGAGACATCTAGCTTTCTTCAAGTTTTCACAACCAGTTTCCAGTGACAGAAATGCAAAGTAACAGAGCAGAAACTATCAGTAAGAAACATAAATCATCCATACTCCAGAGCGTTTAGCATAAAATCAAGAAGAGTCAGAGTTGATTAGAAAGAGGATCCTCCCACCAGCACAAACAGCACTTTAATAGAGTCCACTTATGAAGAAACTACACACAGGAGTACTCTGGAAAATCATAAAGAAAGCATAAAGTTACCTGCAAACTGTACAGACTTACTTAACAAGAAACTAAAATAAGATCTACTTGAACAGACACATACTTGTCAGCCCTTATTCAAACCTATTGCTGAGCCCCAGTGCTGCAAGTCCAGAAGAAGTTGTACAAATGGGTTGCAGGAGCAGTTCCATTGATTTCACTTGTATTATTCTCCGTGTAAAGCCCAGTCTTTGCAAATCCCAGTCTAGGTTCCAATGGGGCTGTAACACACTGTAAACTCCTCTCACTACATAGAGCACAATTGTTTTCAACCTGTGATTTGCAGACACCTTGAGATCATAGAACCACAGAATGTTAAGGGTTGAAAAGTAATTGGAGCCTCCTTCTGAGATCTTTTAAAAGCAGATGAAAAAGGAAGCCTGGAGTCAGGGGAGTTAAATATGCTACAATGTGGTCCACAAAACTGAAAAGGTAGAAAATAATAGCTTCAGATTAATGATATTCTATAATGAACACCCTGGTTCTTCATCCTTTGCTGTTACTCAAATGCAAAGCTTTGACAACTGCTACCCGATTCCTCTGAACAGAATCACAGAATCATAGAATCAGCCAGGTTGGAAAAGACCTCCAAGATCATCAAGTCCAACCCTTAAATCACCAAGTCCAATAAGTAGCTAAGGCAGAGAAATAAATGTCAGCCTCTCAGATAACAGAAATCAAGGAATTGTAAGTAAATGCTAGTTAGTTAGGGAAATTTAAAAGGACAATGGTTCAATAATAATAATGAAAAAATTAAAATTTAACCCTTTATGCAAACTGTGACCTGCTGAGAGGCTTGGCTTGCATTTGGATTCTGTGACCTAGACCCTATGATTTTTTTAGCTTTAAAGTGACATAATCTTGCAGATAAGATAACCAATAGTAACTAATAATACCTACGGGATAATGTAGCTAATTTTTTTTTTGATACAACTACAAAGTTGGCTGCTGATGAGATGTTTGATGAGTAAATTAACGCAACTGGTAAAGGAAGAGCAGTACCAAATAGCTCCAAAATAAACTTGAAAGAAGCCACTAGGTCATTACTTACCAGAAAGCCTCCACCTAGAATGCCATGAAGGCACTCTACATATTTGCCGAGGTGATGCTCTGAAGCAAATCTTGTTTCGCCATTGGGAAAATAAAGTAAAACGTTGGCCACGATGCAGAGCAGGGCAAGGATGAGCAACTTATAACCAACACATCTAGCACACCTTCCAAAACACATGTCCTCAGCTTTACAAATTTTTTGAGTAGTCTGATCCAACCTATCTCATACCTGTCCACACCTAAAAGAAGACCAGTGTTTATTCTCACCTCCTTAAATACCAGGGATTACCTTAGCTACCTGGATGACGTTTACAACCCTTCCTAAGCACTGTTCCCAATTGCAGAGTGAGGGAGCAGGGATGGCAGAATGCCACCGCCCTTTTTAAATGCAGTAATTGTTGATGAACCAAATGCAATCAAGGAAATATTGAATACTAGGTAATTTCACTCTAATATATGATGCTTGGAATGATCACTGGTGAACATGATTAGACGTGAACAACAGGCTTAAACCACAACACAAGTTCTGTTAGGAACTGAAAAAAAAAAAAAGGTTTTGTTTTCTTTGTTAGAAGAAGCTTTGAATTTTAGGTTTATAGACTGATTCAGAACAACCTGAAGCCAGGGAAAGACTGAGTTGACACCAACAGTACTGAGTCAGAGTTTTGGGTATAAACAGGTCTGCAGCAATGAGAGTATGTAGAGCAATCTCTCACTTTGCTGTCCTGTTGATGGAACAACAACAAACTTCACCAGGAGGTTGGAAAACAAGTAAAATGAACAGGTAGGCTTCTAAGGAGTGTCCTTGTTCTTGCCATTATAAGATAAGCTGAATTTAGATTAATAGCCATTTGGTAAGGGGCTTGGTAACAGCTGAACTACTGGTGAAAAATACTACTTTAAAAAAGCAGGATTATAAAAGACAGTCCTTGCACTGAAATATCATGTATAGAAACATACACACAAAAAAGTGTCAAGAGAGAAACAGATTGTATCAGGAGTTGCCAAAACTACATGTACCAGTAAGATTAATTCGCATAGTAAACGGAGATACAAAGTGACCTATAAAAATTAAGACCTAGCCTTTCATCTTTTCCCTCATGCCAATTTTGCTAAAATAGCCCAAAGTTTTCTTCTTCTATATACACAGATCAACACAGAGGCATGAGCTGTCATGCCCCCTGCCATCACATGACAGGAGGTAACTAAAATGCCCAGACTAGATCCAGGAGGTGCTGCTGCTGCTACCATCATCACGGTACAACATAATTCTCACTGCAAAAACAGAAGTAGACAGATTGATTTTGGGAATGTACAGGATATCAGAAGACTATAGTGGGACTTTTTAAAAAACATTCATTCAGGTTTCTTTTTTTTTGGTGGTGGTGGGGAGTGGGGTGGCAGGTGTTTAACAGTTAAATAACACAGTAAACACAAGCCCAAATCAAATCCATGGTATACTTATGTGCAAGAGATGTAAGCAACACTTAAGCTGAGAGAGAGTGCACAAAAAGAAAAGGCGGGGGGGTTTGGGGGGGAGGAGATAGCCTGGTGCAGCTGTGGTCTTGTGATGTTTGTGACGTAACTTCTCCGGGTATTGTAGCTGCTGACCTTGGAGACTTCCTTCATTATGAGAAATATCCTCCAATTGTAGAAACACAGGCTAGCCATTGTTGTGCACTTCACCTCTGATTACTTAAACAAGCATAAACATTATCCTGCAAGTTTCCTATGCAGAAGGAGATGGCTGCTCAACTGAAAAGTCCTTTTATTGTGTTACATTAAAAAACCCCAAACCACTCCTCCACAGAACCCACCACCCAATACCCTTCCCCCACCTCAACAACCACACCATACAGATGGCCACTAGGACACAGATTTAAAAACTGTTCTATTTATAACTTACATAATGGTTTTCTAAACACTTGATTGAAATAAAGTTTTACATAATCAAGAACTTCCTATATTTAAAATCAATTCTATATTTAAAAGAAAGCATATGAGGCATTGCAGGCTGCAGTTAGAACCAACACCCCTCCAAAAATACAATAGCAGTTCACACAGATTACAAAAATCTTGAGCTTTTTTACTTTGTGGGCCTGTTCGCTTCATAAATCCTAATTTTACTGCTTGGCAGGTTGAGCAGCAGTGGATTTTTGGAATGCATCGTGGGCATATTGGGTTTTAAACTATGAAATGTACTCACAGACCTGAGAAAGAGCAGGGCCCAAAACGGCAGCCTGTGGCATGCTCCAGCACCATCTGAGTTTACAGTAGTGTAAACAAAACCAGAATTGGGTTTTGAGTCTTTGATACAAGAACCGCAGTGTTTGCACTTGGAGAGGTGAGACAATTGCATACTCCCTCACATGTGCTTCCCCATGGCCCATGGGAAACGCTGCTGTTTTTCTCTCACAGGACAATTTCTGTAGCTCTGACACCTACCACAGACAAAGAACACGTATTAAAATCCAGCACCCAGTGTTATTAAATACAATAAAAGTCCAGACCCTAGGTCTAAGTTTAGACCCTAGGTCCAGCCCTCATCTCTGTCTTAAAAGCACCTATAGCAGTGTGTTACAGGAAGGACAAGATCATCAAAGGGGCAGCTGAAGCAATTTTGATAGCACACTCTAAGGTCCAGTAGGTAGGAGCATTGCCAAAGATTTCCATATCCTCCCCTGGCAGGACAAGATGGTTCATAAACAATTACAGTACCTGGCTTGTGTCCCCAAGTCAGCAACTCTGCAGGTTAAAGTCTGTCAGCAGAACAGTGCTGCATAGGGCAGGACACTAACCCTTCATGCAGAGAAGCGGCTAAAATTAGATGCCTTGTCCAATTACTGAGGTATCTAATACCAAAGCTATTTTTGCATGGAAGGATCCAGCAGTCCCTCTATAAAGCAAAACCCCCACCTCAGTATTATTTCTTATTCCTTATAACTAGACAAAGGATAAAACATCTGCATCAGGGTTTTCCAAGTAAATATAAGCAAGCTCCTGACTTAAAGATGCCAGAAAAATGGAAAGAAAGATGTCAATCTACTGAAAAACATAACATGCTTGTTCCCAATAGTTTCTTCTAACACTCCAAATGGTCAGTCCTACTGCTTTACACTGCCTTATAGCCACCTCCAGCCACAGTCTGCTAAAAGACACAACAGCAGACAAAAGACACAGCTGAAACAGACACATGACATGTCTTCCAATTGCCTTGAAAACAATGTAAAGAGAGAAATAAATAAGAAGTTTTGAAGTAAATACAATTGTTTTACATTATAAAACCTGGTCAGATGTGAATCAAGAGGACTTCACTAACACCACCGCCATTTGGACACCCTATGCTATAGCTTATACAAGAAAGGCTCAATATTTAACTTTTCTTGGAGAACTTCTGGTCCCACCCACCATCCATAAAGATTAATGGAGGGAAGTGCTTCTTGTGAAAGCACTGGCAGGGTGTGGTAACTATACGGCATCCGAAGGTGAGACACAGCCCTAACAACATGGGCTGCATTGATGCATTTGGAAAGACTGGGCAACACAATGTGTATTGACAGAGGTTATGAATTACCACTTGTATTCCCTTGTAAGCCATTCTCATCTGTTCTTTTACAGTTTAGTAGGTGGCTGCTCATGGAGGCCAATACTAGCTCAGATAACTGCTGGGAGAGTACTGAGAATGTGCAGTCACCTGTTGGCTAATCTAAGGGCAGGCTCATGGGCAGCTGTGCAGACAGAGCTCTTGGTGACCTTAGAGCAGCCCTGACTCCCTTTGACTCATTCATTTCTCCATGTCCAAGTGATGCATCGCCCCAGTTTTCCAGCCATCATCCGCAAAAACACTATGCTGTAGCTGTGACTGTCCTCGCCATCTCCCAAATGCTCGCTGGTTGGCAAACTCAATCTGGACAGTCACAAGAGGAAACTGCTCCCCATGAAGTCCTTGGTGCCTACGATCTCCTGGCGACAGAAGAAAGTTTCTAGATTACTTGTACTAATTACATCACAGCTCCTCAGATGAACTTACGAGCTACTTAATGAGTATGAGCAACCATCTGTTGCCATGAGCACATGAGAGCAATTGTTCCCTACACAGCTGTAACATACATGCATGTGCTTGCTTGCTATCTCTGCCATCACTTTGAGAGAGAAAACTGATTTGAACCATAGAAGTCAGCTTGGAGTGAGTGCTCACACTTCTATGCAACAGCACACATTGACACATACAGAGAAGATTTAATTTATTAATAATAATGCTGACCTAAGAAGGAGTCAGCAATGACGCAACAAGAGTAGTTTTGACATTCAACTAACCAGCTTGGAGACTCAAAAGCTTACAGTCAGGGCAGAGCTACAACTAAATGAGTGTATAGAAATTCCTTCCTCTAAAGAAGAACCCATAAACCTTACTTAAGAACAACTATTACTGACCGTAGACTTGCAATGCCATGATCAAATAAACCACTTCAAAAACTGTTTTCTGGTGACATACAAAAACCATGCTGTAGCCTGCATTCATTAATTCTTACAACAGTGTTATGATGATAAAAGTAGGACATAGGACAAACAAATCCTATTTCTATGTCTGCCACAGCCTGTGGGCGAAACCTTGGCCGTGCAAAATACCCAACAAAAGTCTGTTTCCCTTGTAGTGTACTATTTACACAGAGGTTTGCATTTTCTATTTCTAGTCTATCCCTAAAAGTGTGACATTCTGGCAAAAATTAAACAAGCATGAGGCATTACCATCACTGCATCATCATAAGCATCCTCTGCTCTACAGTGTGTGTTTCTAATGGTTGTATGGATTAGAAAATTGGCATTAGCTCAGCATACGATCTCTGCATAGCCCAGCATGATGAACAGTCTTTAGACTCGCTGTGTGCCACTGGTGTTTTCCACCCCCTGCAGCAACCCTGCACAAACCAGGCATCTGGTAAAAGACAGCCAGCTGAGAACATGGAACAAAAAACACCATGATTATGTCTTTTGCTTTTGTGGAAAGTCATCAAGCACCTTACTGTTTCTCACATAGTGATCCTGTGGGTAGTGAGGCTCTAATCTAGCAAAAAAAAAGATCACCCCTATCATACCACATATTTTAGATCTGCAGGCTCAAAAAAAAAAAGGGGGGGGAGGGGGGAGGAAGAAAACAGAAAACCAAAACATTAATTATCCATTTTGTTTCTTTATCATATGCTTCATGCATTGCTCACATAGTCTTGTCTCTGGAATTAGCAATTAATAAGTTCATGTCTAATTCTTAAAATGATTCTTGCTGAACAATCCCACAAGTGCTGAGAACAGTCTATGTATTGATTTCATAGCAGAAGGATGCAAAATTGAATGTTTAAACTGAACATGTCTTTCATGTTAGCATGACTGATACTGCAGCATGCTGCCTGTCCTTGCCTATCTTTCAGTATTGGTAGTAGTTGAATCACAATCAGAAAAGCAAATTAGACATGACCACAAGACTCCTGAAAGATCATTTCCTAAACTTCAGTCCCACCCTTCCATCAACCTTTGCTATCGTTGTTTAAGTTAGGACTCTGAAGTCCACTATACACTCAATATACACACAATTAAAAACGGTGGCTAAAGAATAAATCAGACCACAGAAGATCCCTTTTCACTTGAGCAACATTTAACAGAGAAAAGCAGAAGAAAATACCATTTAATGCTGATTATGAGTTAATTAATTGTTAGTCCTTTTTTAAGGTAACATACTGGAACAACACAACTGAGACTATTCTGTGTAAATCTGCAAAACACCTGTTTGCTATATGGTGACTGTACTAGATACAGTGCTTTATTGCGGCTGCTCCTTTCACAAGGTCCTTCAGACTCAAAGATGTGGTGCCATTCAAATGAACTGCAACTGGCTTGGAGGGTGGGGAAAGACTAAATTCCTGAATTAGGAGTTTTCCTTTGTACTATAACTACAGCTAAAAGTAGTCGTGTCACTCGTGCATCAAAACACAGAAGTTAATGCTGCAGAACTACAGACGTGTTCGTTCCAGAGCAGCATTCCCTCACACAGCATCTCCTCTGGGGTCAGGTCCTGCCCGCGGGACTTTCTGCCAGTGCTCAGAAGATGTAGAGTCCCAAGAATTCCATCAGCTCCCTCTAGTGATGATTAGGCTGTGACTAAACAGGTTCTGCTGTGCTCGCTCATGCGCCCCTGCCTCCCGTGACCTCTGGCTCTCAAATCTCCCACAGCAGCTCCTGAAATACCATTTTCAGGTGACAGGCACCTGCCTACGGCAGAAGATGACAATACTCAGTAACAGCTCCTGGTGGCACAGGAGCAAGGCAC